GTTTCGAGCGTCATATATACAACACTTTTCCCAGCCACGTGTCTAGGCTTCCTCAGCTTTCTACCACTCGGGATCAAGTTTTGTGACAAGATTTGAGCCAAAGATGGAAAATGTCACGCGATCTTCACCTACCGTAATCGGAGGGGGACTTTTCATACATACGACTGGAGACATCGCGCTTCTGGACCCACGTAGTGAGTCAGATTCTCCATTGGGGCAGAGGGGGAATTTTCATACGAAAGCTTACTGATCATCTTGACCCTTTGACGGTATGTAAGGACGCTAATATTACTACCACTTATCGGTCTAAATGGACAGGGAAAGCTTTGTCTTCAAAACGTAAAAAATTCAAATTAGGGACTTTTGCAGAAAAAAGAGAACTATCTCTATTAAACTTAGTGAGAAGTTCCCTAGAATTTGATAGTAAAGACTTGTTTTTCCATAAAAGTTTTGCTTTCAGTACTAGCTGGTATTTTACTGTGTTAATGAAGCTAAAGCAGTGGCAAGGAAGTTCGATGAGTTCATCAAAATTATTTCCCACAAATGTATAAGATTCAAAACAAAAGAAAATTTCGCAGTAAGCAAAGGTTGGAAAAGAAGTCTCTTTCCAGAAATGACTATAGCTAAAACCAGCAGCTAAAAATGCGAATATTGAATGAAAAAAAGCCGAGAAACGACCATGCGCCGTGGAGGATCTTCTATGTATAACTATTTTTTTTGCAGACACCATCTAGAGTTGATTTTGACTGACCTATGGTCCACATCTGGCACTTTTGAACTATCAACAGTACATTGATATTTACATTACATTGATATTTTTACGGTAGGGAGCCTCTTCAATCTGCGTTTTCAAATTCCTCTTTTCCGATCTCTTACTGCAGTGTTGTTCTGGATGTTAGGTTTTTTTGCAGTGGAGCCAAGGACCAAATTTGATAAAATGCCCAGTTTTCATCGGATCGTTGCAAAAGGTGAGGAGGATGGGGAAGCAATCGGATGTAAAGCCCTCCCCTTCCCCTCCCTCCCCAGTTCCCTCCGTAAGTGTTCACAAATCACATTTGGAATTGCTCATCGTATGAAAAGTCGCTCACCCACCGTACATGATGTACTGATCCTTTTATGGCAACCGTTGCGCTTAGTAAAAACCGAATTCAGAACTCTCATCTCATTTGCATTTTCTTCGATACCGTCGAGTTTCTTGCTCATCGAACTTTATAACATTTATCAGTTACTAGTCAGAGGTTATCTTTGCACTCTTTATGTTCAATATATCAAATCACCGAAATGAGGACATCCTCGCCGGCGTGTTTATGATCACGGTAAGACACAACCGCTTACGACTATACTCGCACATTTTCTCTTCAGGTTTCGGGTATGGGCTTTGTCATCAACATATTTGTCATGACAATGATAATCAAGAACCCTCTATTTCACAACGCTTTCGGTTATATAAGTTTTTCACATCTGGTTGCAGATACAGCTATACTTTTTACAAATGCGTTTTGGGCTGGACCAGCGACACTTTTGTAAGTTCTAGATAATTTACTGTAATTACAGTGACCCGACGATGTTTTTTATTTCAGTATGTTCGATGATACCATCACGGATACATTCGTGGGCGCTCGCATCGGTCAGCTCATGAATTTCTTTTGGTTCGAAGCTTTTTACTGCCATCTACAGATTGCTATAAATAGACTACTTGCAGTTGCAAAGCCCTTTGCCTACAAGTGAGTGGTTGAATCACAGGGGTGATTCCCAATAGGAAGTTAACCATTGATTCAAGTAGACTTGCGGCTGGAAGGCGAGGCTTTGTGTCCTAGTTGAGACCGCTCGGCCCGCGACGCAGTCTGTGTCTCTCTCGCGCGCGTGCTCTCTCATCCTTCCTTAGCCTTAAAGGCATCGTCCACCCAAAATTTCGACCTCCATGTTTTTGCCGTTCCATCTCACCTATCTCGCATTACCCTGCATTAGCTCCCCTCCAGCCTGGCATGATTAGAAAGGACAGTACATGCGACGATTAATAATTACCAAAAAAATGAGCCGAGTTTAGAAAGTGCTTCTCGTGGTCACTGAAGATGTGGTAGGGAGAATAGCGTAAAAGCTGGTCATGTTTCCTCGCAGACGAGGGTTAAGTTACAGATATTTTTGAAAATTTAAAACTCCGGAAGACAGTTTAGAGTCATCTTTTCTCGCATTTGAGCTGGCCATTTGAATTAATCTATGAGCACTGACATTCAGATGAGTATGTTACTCTGCTAAATTAGATCTTAAAGGCAGCGTCCACCGAGAATTTGGCCTCCTATGTTTTCGTCATTCTGGGGCCTTTCCGTGGTTCTGATTACAGTTCCGCACTTCAAACTTTCTAAAATTCACAAAAAACCCGATCCTTGGGGACCCAATCTTGAGGGTGCGGACGAGTTTAGAATTGCTCGTCCCCGTCGGCAGGCCAGCGGGAAGGAGCTGCAACTGCATGGTTGCAGTTGCATTACAGTGTGCAGTGTGCAGTTTCTGCTCACTACCTTGTCAATACGTGTCGGAGGCACGTATTGACAAGGTAGTGAGCAGTCCCTGGTAGGCGGAGTCTGATATCAGACTCCGCCCAGCCAGGGACTTTCGGGCCCCTTATCTCCATTCAGAGACAACGTTAGAAGACCGGACCAACGCAGATGCTCCTTTTCTGGGGCCTACATTCAAGATCGACACTAATCGGAGGGGGTTAGGTTTAGCCTGGACACTGCCTTTAAGCAAAATTTATCACTTGAATTGTTTGCTTTCTTCCTTACTGCTATGTTTGTTCAAATTTCTCTTCTGTGCACACCTTCTCTGAAAGAAAATGATGAAGATCTTTTCGTCTGTATTTTTTCATGCCTAATTTTTCCAAAAGGGGCACTATGAATTGATAAAACATTCAGTTAGCGTTTAATGCCCCTAATCTCACATACCATCCTTCAGCCCACAAATACAAACACTTTTTTTGTCAGTCTGTTTGTTCTAATGTTCTAATGTCTGCTTTGTCTTGTCACTTTTAATTTTTGGAAATAATTCACTCATCGCTTATGTGCTTTTCTTTCTCATTGATACCAAGAGAAGCAATGCATCGTCCGGAGGAGAACTAAGGCAGGAATGTGCGAGATAGGTGCGAGGTAGGCGCGAAGATATTACCTCTCATGGGCACGCCAGGACAAGAAGCGGCAAGCCTTTGGAGGATCCCGATACGCCGCCTGGAAAATCAAAAGACCATTTTCTTCCACGAATTGTTGCACTTTAAACTCACTGCTGTTAGGAAAAAGGCGATTCCAAAGGTGAATATCTGACAATGAGATTGCATTCAAATCTAATCGTCACACAATGACGACAACAATCTAGTACATGTCTTGACCGTGTTGTGTGTCAGCTGGATAACCAAGAATGGTACAGCAGTTTATTGCACAAGACCCTTCATGGTTTCGCATTCTTCGAGTCTGAAAACCCAAACCACTTCAACCTATCTGACCAAACAGCTTGTCGATTACAGAGAAAAACCGAATCTGCCATGTGCTTTCTACGATGGTGGTCCGAGAAATTTGAGGGGGGGGGACAAAAAAATCTGATGCAAAGGCGTGGCGTTGACCATGGCCCCAAAATACTTTTGCGAGGCAATCAATAACTCTGCAATTCTAGGAGAAATATTAGATTGTCAACGGAAGTTTTGCTGCACTATTTAGAAACTCTAATTTCTGACTCTCAAACCAATTTACCTACTTTTTTTTTGAAGTAAATCATGCTCTTCATAAAAGCATCTTAGACGCTTTCCAGTGGGCATACATTGCAGAGAAAGTAGAGATAGAAGAAAACTGCTCAAATTTTGATATTTCTGTGTTTGGTCGTGCTTGCAGCAGAAAGCCGTCGATATTATAGGTTTCATCACCTGCTCTTTCTGATTGAGCAAAGTCTGCGCTATTTGGACCGTTTTGTACTGCTTGCTCCAAAAGAAACGCTAAAATAAATTTGCTGTTTTGTACTGCTCGCTGAATCATAACTGTTCAAAGAAAGTTTCAATCAGTACAAAAAACTTAGAAAAAAAAGCTTTGCTCAGTCAAAAAGAGCAGGTGGTGAGAGCTACGATACCGACTGCTTAGATTTTACTGCAAGGCTCAGAATGTTTACGACCAAGCACAGAAAAATCAAAAGTTGAGTAATCTTCGTACAGCCACTTTCTGTGCGATGCATGCTCAACAAAAAGTCAATAAGATGCTGATATGCAGAAAATGATCTACTTTTTCGAACAAAAATAAGAGCAGACGAATCGATTCGAAAAATCTGAAGTTATGAATTTTTGAAAATGGTGCATCAGAACTTCAGGGACAACTTGATATTTACGAAGCTTACTTTGATTTCCGAATAATTTCAAATGTTTTATTTATTGGAGCAGGCCACTCCCACAATTTTACAGCTCATGTAGAGTTTCTGAAAATTTCTTATTCTCCGAGAGGAGCGCTCGGTCCGATGCTGGCTTTTTATACGCTTGGAATCCTTGATCCAACCATGAGTAGCTAGTGATGGATGTCAAAAGATGTAGAGATTCGAGAAACCGAATTTCCACAACTTCACCCCGGCGATGCCCGATAAAAGCATCGAAAAAGACTATCTGGCTACCTTCCGTTTTCATTCTAAAAAGAATGTAATTCTAAAGCTGGACTCAGGGCAATAAAGCTTGAAGCATAGGTCCCACACTTCTTTGTTAAGGCTCAATCATTTTATTACCCCAGGTTTTTTAGTAAACTCTTCGTTGGAAGAAACCTGGTGATTTTCATCGCATCCACATGGATTCTGTCGCTTTTTCATGCAGCCCAGTACTCGTGGTGTGAGTCAAGCTGCTTGTTTTCTTTCGATAAAATTCAAAACCTTTCTCGACAGATGACTGCTCGATGTGGTTCAGCGCTAAAGCAGCTTCATGGACATATCGTAATACGAGATGCACATACATAGCAACACAGTATATAAGCTTTATTTTTGGCGTAGGCATGAGTCTTCTTATCGTTGTTACAAACACACTGACGCTTTTCTATCTTCAAAAGGAAATCAGGGTAGGTTTTCGCGACTTGGGAGGGCGAAGAGCGAAAATCATCACATCAGGCAATTCGAAAATCCAGTAAATCAGATTCGCAGCGACAAATGGCCCACATGAAAACCAATATCAGTTTCTACATACAGGTTAGTGAGGGTCTAACTTATTTGCTCAAACTTAGCAAGTTTCTAGGGATGCATCATAGCCTTTGTCATGATATTGACCCTATTTTTATCTCGATCTCTTACCGAAGCAGCATCCTCGAAGCTACAATATGTTATATTTTCAACTCTAATCTGGGATTTGGCTCAATCGAGCAACGGGCAAGTCATGGGGACCCCAAAAAAAAAAGAACGAGATCAATGGAATTATTTGCAGCATTGTTCTTCTCGTATTCAACAAGCCATTGCGCTATATCTTTTCACGTTCCTCGCGAAACACTATACAAGTTACGCAAACTCTTGGCTCCTAGGGTATCTACAGAATACCGAAATCAACCAATATAACCTGCAGGAGTGCTGATATAAAGTGTTAAAAATTTCTAACCTTGACACTTACGAAAGAGAAACTCTAACGTAATCAGAAATAGGCAAAGGGAAAAAATAAATATGGCGAGCGAAACGCGCGATTACGCAAGAAAGCTAGATGATCAGAAAAGCGATAACTTAAGACAACACGGAGTTTCTATCAAGATTAGTTGCTGATAATAGCTTCAATTACATCCATTGGGCAGAAGCAAACTTTATAAAATTGAAATAATAACCGTATGATTTTCTGTTAACTCCGGAGTAGTTCTCAAATGCACTATCAAAAATTGTCAAAGCTAAAGCACGTTGTGATTCTCAGTGAAATTTGATATAACCCTGTCGGGTACTTAATGAGAAAAAACATTCAATTACTACTTCCAAAAATAATGTATGTGAATAATCAGACAGATTTATATTCACATTTTATCATATTATATTCACATTTTATCATATGTTCTCTAGATGTTCCAGAAAAACAAAAGGTTAATCAGAATCAATGGTATTCTTGTGGCGTTTAATCTGCTTTCAACCGCGTTGAGAAGAAGGGATGTTAAGATAAACATAAGAACCTGAAAAAGTTCGCAAAAACTGAAATCTTCTGAGTTTCGGAGCAAACCAGCTCAGGTCCATCGTCCTTGCCATTGTTTCAGTTTCGTTTCCGATCCTTCTGTAGTATATATAATCACCGGAACGGAGCCAGATTCCACAAGCCGAGCAGCCTCTTCTTCCTTGTTCTCCTCGCAACTACACCTGCTGATGTGGAACAACTCAAGCAGTTTTCTTCCTTGAACCAAATAGAGCTTGTCCAGCAGTGCTGAATCTGTCTTTTGTAAGTGTTCCTTGCCCTTACTACCCGCTAGTATTACTTCGTGGTCTCCAGAGACAAAGCAGGAACTGCTCTGAATAAACTTGCTGCACCAAATTCAAACGAAGCGCTTTTGTTTTGACTGACCGCTTCGCCTTGAGGATCAGGATCCTCAAACTTTATGAATGGGGATTCGCAAGGAGTGTCATCCACTGCTCGATTGTTATCTTCAAAGACCGGTAAATATTTCTCTTCTGGAGCATCAATGGCTGACAACGGGACGTTCCAGTCAACATCACCAAAATATTTCTTCATGTTATTGTTGATGAAACGGCTAACATCTGAAGCTTTCACAGTGATGTGATCCTAAAAAATGTGTATGTTACATTTATTTTTATCTGCTTTATAATAATAACTAACCGCAAATGAGCTTATGGCTTCATTCAAGCTGTTCAAGACTTGTGGGGGAATTTCTCCGTTATTGAGATATGATACGTTTTCAGCAGTCTTGGATAGCTTTCCACCACCCACGATTACTTCTGCTAAAAGGTACTGTGCCTGTAAAGCCACTGTATTTTTATACAACGAAAATCAAAACACCGTCCACCCTAGTCGAGACTTCTGAGACTTCAATGCTGTAAAATAGCGGGCCCTTATTTAGATAACAGTACAATTTTCGCTACAAAAAACGGATTTCGAAACGAGAAAATCTCTCCAGAAGGTAGATGCGGCCAAGGGGGCTCCGCCCATCAACGTAGGTGGTTTACTGTTAAATGAGCACGAAAGCCGGCTTCGGCGAGAAAAAATGTCGAAAATGTGATAATTATAGTGAAGGGAGGATTTAAGACAACTCTAGATACACTAAAATCCGATGTTGGACTTTCCACCCTTTGATTCAACTGGGCTTGGTGGAAGGCGCGGCTTCGTGACCTAATTGAGGCTAGGTAATGATCAGAGAGCACGCGCGCGGAAGAGACGCAAACTGCGCGCGGGCGCGAGCGGCCTTAATTAGGATACAAAGCCTCGCCTTCCAGCTGCCAAGCAAGTTGAATCAAAGGTTATCTTCAACTCACATTAATGGGCGGAGCTACCACTGCTCCTACCGTTTGGAGTGATTTTCTCGCTGAATTTATTTTTTGCAGCGAGACTCGAGCGATCACTTTTAGGGGCCCGCTATTGTAAAAAGTCAAAACCTCACCAATCTCAACTTGAGTGGACGGTGCCTTTGAGTTGTAAGACTTACAGCACTCATGTAATGACTGCTACAGATGTATTTCTTTGCAGTAAAGCTCATAAAGCACACAGTGAGTGTTTCTTGAGAGATTGTAGTATACATCTTCAGCGCGGCAAGAAGAATTGCATTGTAAACTTTGTTCGTTGATGTTCGAGTCGTAAAGTCTGTTCGAATTCTTACTCCGCACACAAGACATATAGAATGGGTCATCGTTGTGAATATTGTACCTGGAAGTTCCGATCTAACTCAACGTCTCAAACCTCAAGGAGCTAATGCGGGGAATTATATACGGGACCTCAATCCGCCGATACACGAATTTACGTAATAGTTTTCTAGATAAAATAAGGAGTAATTTCCAAACGGCGGGACTACAGCCAAAATTTTAGAGAAAGCGAAGAAACTTTTTACACAGCTAAATTGCATTTTTGAAAAAATTCAAAGATCATTTTGAGTGATTGCGACAAGGTAAACAGGCCTTAGAAAAACTCTGCTCTGTCTTTATGACGCCTTTAGTGCCCCTTCTCGATGTCCAAGAACTGAATTTTTTGTAACAAAGTCAAAGCTAGCACATGGGTTCGCGCGGATGTACCAATGAGAAGGATCTCAGAAAATGAACTTCCTAGGTCAAGATTGGCGAGATATCGATAAAATCGATAAAAGCAGTCGATTGTTTTGAAAAGTGGTGTTGTACTCGTGCACTTAGGACCACGAGTGCCTGGAGCGGATTCTGGAGAGCATCGAAAACTTACAAGGGAACCGTGACGAGTCGAAGTGGCCTTTCCAGATGAGACCCATACTGCTTTGAAGAGCATTAATGGGTGATTCCAAATCTGGCTTCCAAATCTGCCAAGCGCCTCTAGACGCCGAGTTATGCTCGTTTTTCAAGTCAAAAAATTGAACGCAAAACTGAAGCAATCGCCCAAATTTCCTCAATTGGTCCAGTGTCAAGTATCAGAGCTGTTTATGCAATGGATACATTTTATTTAATATGCCAACACTTAACATCGCTTTATCTGAGCGCTGGAAAGATGGTAACAATCAATTTTATCTAAACTGCATTCATTTTTCGTTCCGAAGAACGGTCAAAACTCAGCGTCTAGAGGCGCTTGGCAAATTGGAAGGCAGATTTGGAATCAACGCTTAATACTCTTCAAAGCAGTATAGGTCTCAAAGGCCACTTCGACTCTACACGGTTCCCTAGTTAGTAATTTGAGACTTTCGTTAAATTTTAAGCCTGGATGCGGACTCAGTGGGCGCAAGAGGTGCTCAAAAGGGCAAGAACTCAAAATCGATTTGGGTGAACAGTGCCTTCAAGCATCGGCAAAACGATCAACTCGAGATTTTTATGCCTAGGTTTGCTTACCCCAAAAGATGAACAGAAAAATCCCGGTCGCCCATCAAGCCCTCCCTGCCGAGGAAATTGCCCCCGATTCATGCGCGCAAGCCATTCTTTTACGCCCTCGGATGAGCTCGCGATTTCCCTCCCACTATTGTAGACGGCATGCCGCGATGTTATAACCACGAAGGTCGCGACAACTTTGCGTCTCCAACATTGGCGGGATTCAAGCACGACAAAGACAGTTTGGCGACCGCATTTATGCTGTAGTGTGTAATTCCCCCTTGATTCAAATGGCTTGGCGGTTGAAAGATGGGGATTCGTGACCTAATTACGGCTGGAGAATGATCAGAGAGCAAGCGCGAGAGACACTCTGAAAGCATCTCGGCCGGGAGCGGCCTAAATTAGGACACAAAGCCCCGCCTTCCAGCCGCCAGTCCACTGAATCAAAGGATTACATACAGTCGAGTAGATTTAACGGTAAATATAGTGTGCTTGCACAGAAGGTGAGATGCGGTGAAATTTGCGCGTGAACAAGTAGCCACGTCAGTACCGCGAGCATCTTGCGCGCGCAATTGGCCGGCGTCACAGTCGAAACTATTTCTTCACGCGCCAATTTTACCGCATTTCACCTTCTGTGCAAGCACACTATATTTACCGCTGAATCTACTCGACTGTACGTACTAAGCAACAATATATCGTTGAATTCTTTGACCGCACGGACTGCTCAAACGCGGCGGATCCGCGCGACGAGGCTAAAATGTTGCGAGAGCACGATTCGTACAATGGCGGATTTGTGACGGAGCAAGCGTTTTACCTCGCGCCGCGTGCTCCGTAGTGATGTTCAGTCCGTGCGGTCAACGAATACTATACGTATCACATGCAAGCCTAGTTTGAGAGTGCTGCTCAAATTTCGCAGCACAGTTTCAAAACATTTAACATGTTGTTTATCTAGTGGAGAAAAACTTCCAATTTGTTTGCTTTTCACCAAGAAAAAGAACTTGCAAGTAAAATTAGATATCTTTTCTCTTAACAAACTCGAGGAACACGTAAAGCCCGGCGGTTAACGAACGCTGTATCTATTTACACTAGCTATTTACTACTACCTTTTGAAACAGGCTCAGCAGATCTCTTAAGAACCACTGCAAAGCCGAGGGCAAGGTAGATAGAAAGGACAATCGAGTTCTTCAGAATACAAGAACTATAATTAATAATTGTAACAAGTCAAGTTATAAGCAGTTGTGAACATATGAAAGAGATCGATCGGTAAAAGTAGGCGTGTTTGGGAAGACGAGGCGTTCCGGAACGGCAATCGTCATCGGAGCGATTTTCCGCCTTGGGGCACTATGTGAATCACATTTTGACATTTGTTGATTGTGCATAACCCAGGATCTTCACAGTTGCTTATCTATCTAGTCTACTGGGTCTTCCCATGCGAAAATGTGAATATGCAATAGTTAAGGTGCTTACGCTTTTCTTTCCGCTTGGTTTTACTGAGATTTCGTTTGCGCTTCAGAACTGGTGAATTTTTGCATATGCGACTTCATCAGCTTTTCTCCTAGATGCTGTGCGAGACTAAAGGTCAAGTTAATAGTACATGTAAGGCATTGGATTGCATTCTTTCATGGCATTTCTTCATCACAACATTTCCTTCTCGCGCTCGGATCGTTTTTCGCGCTCTGTAAATGGAACCAGATTATTCGATTCGAATTTATTGAGCTGCATTTTACATTTCCTATGTTCCTCCCAATCTGATCACTTTCTGTTATAGAAAGATGATACATTCGGACGATGGAGGCCTAGATCTCGATTGCCCTGGACCTAGTTCGAGCACAATATTGCCACAGTCTTCTGGTTCTCCATCAAACATATCTGGATGGGATGAATTAATGGAATTTTATGATACTAAATCTTCTAAAGGAGTGAGTTTATTGCAACCTTGTAAACGTTTTTCTTTGCTGCAACCTGAAAATCTGGAAAAAGTGCGAATATAGAGAATTTGACCTTACATGCTGATAAAAAAAGAATGAGACTGCCTTTTAAGAGTCATTGGTAGAAAGTCTCATTGAATATAAGAACGACAATCGAATTCAGTTCGTCGTTTGTGTGCTTCTTGATTCCCATGGATTCATCTTGGGTAATTGAACTTTTTCAGCGTCGCTCAAAGAAAAGCTCGACACTGCCTGAAAACAAGGTCTCAAAAGTTAGTTACGTTTTATTTTTTGTCTTGCTAATTCGGCTAAGGTATTGTAGATATTGTAGACTAGCAAATCTATGAAGTTGCTGAACCTGGGTCTGCAAGCGTTGACACCATAGCTTGAATCTTATCCGTTTAAAGATTTTATCCAAATTCAAAATTTTCAAGAACACACACAGCGGCCGCACCAGCACATGTCCACTATGTGCATACCATGTGCGCTCGGGCTGGTCCCAAAATAGCGAGCAAACACTAGCGAAGATGGTGAAGCATCTAAGAAGTCATGAAGGAGAGGTGAGTACGATCCTTTGGATTAAATTCTAACTCTCTGCTTTTTAGTTGGACAGCTCACAAAAAGTTGCGTGTACCCTTTGCTATAACTTCTGCTCTAAGTCCGAGTTGCATAAACATTACAGGGAATGTCATGGTGGTGGGGATTTCGAGTTTTGTTTACTGAATAAAAGGTGGTGTGAGTAATGATTTCAGAACAACCAGAGCAGTTTATCGAGAGTGAGGTACTCTATTTTACGAACTCTGTACACCGCCAGCAAGGATTAATAAATACATACACACAGTAAGTGATTTTGTTATTGGATTCATCTCGATTTTTCTTTTACAGGGCTTTGAAAAGAAATTCGTTAGCTGATAAGCGTTGTATACCTGCTGACTCCCTGTTCAGGGGATATCCCACCAAAAGAAGCATTGGTATTACATATTGTTACTGCGCGATGCCAGTTTAATAATAATGTTTCAGAGAGTTGTCGTAGTTTGTGGCGTCGAAAGTTTGAAACATCGTCGCACCCGAAGTTCCTTTTCCGGTTCAAGATTCGGCCAAGTTCGTCGGCTCCCATCACATGGTAATTTTTTGTACTTAAGCTATAAGTCATTCTATATTGCAAGCTCTACTCATCGTCGTACATGAAACAGCCAAAGTATTATGGTATGTGTTAAGGGCATGTCCGCTTTGTACGAGCTCGAGTGTATGTGGATGTTCCTCATTTTCTAATGACATATCCGCGCGACTGTTCATACTTCGCCACTTTTCGATATTACATCATGATTTGGAGAATTTAGCCACAAAGGTGCAACAAGAATGGTTTGTGGATAATTCTTCTTAACTCTCTTTAGTATTTTTACGCACCAAGATTAATGGAACTTGTCTTTCTTATGTAGTGTCCAGAAAGATTTTTTTCAGGGAAATTCTCACAAACGAAGTTGGCTTTGACCTGAAACCACATGCAGTGAGCAGCGCTGAACTGTTACAGCAGAAGGAGAGGTATGCTGTTATAACAAGTGAAAGTCTTCTGTCGGTTCATACCTTTGTTTTTTTTTTTTGTAAATAATTTGATTTTTTTCATAAGGTGTTTTTTAGAAGCTGTCATTTTTACGTCTTGAGAACACTAGAGGATAGATATCGTTTGCTACAGGAAATGATTGCGAGATGTGTATATAAGGTAAGCCGACTTTTTCAGTTAACTGTTCAATTATCGAATTTCAGAAAGAATTAAGCACATCTGAATACTCTATCTGCGCCGTTTGTTTCATTCCTGTCCCGACGCGTTCACTATTCAGACATTTTTCCACAGGAGAGCACAGGAAGATGAATGTGTAAGTTTCGTCAAGTTGAATGCAAATCTGTTTTCTTCCAAGTTTACCTCATTAAGGCACGATGGATTGTCAGAATTCCGGGAGGTTCCTGAAATTGCTGAATCTCCTACTACAACGGCTGTAAATTTTCCATATTTATCACTTCGATATTCCAAAGTATTCAAAATCAAGGTAAATGAGCTGTCACTTTCGAAGTTGTTTCGCCAATTTGAAACTTTTCGTCGTGCTTCATACCTTTCCTCCCGTTTTTTAGGAACTGGGAGATGCTGATTCTATGACTTTTTTGAAATGGCGTTGTTGTCTTGCTAGCGAGATTGCAGGGCATGTGGATGACGTTTTGGAGTTTCCGACCGTCCAGATTTTGAAGGTTCACGCGCTAAAACATTTTCAGACATTCCATGTCGATTTTTTCGACAATAGTTTTCTCGCCTATGAGTGGTAAGTGATATGATCTGCGCAGCGTTCACTTCCTCGCTAATTGCAGGGCACTTCTAAAAAGGGAGCTCCCAAGCTCGGAGTGTGCTCGTTATTATTCACCTCTCAAAAGAAGTCCGGATGAGGGACCATTCGACATCACGTCAGTTCTCAGGCTTACTCTTTGTACTATCTTCGATTTTGTGATTCAGAGACCCAAATCACTTCCATGCTCCAAATAATATGCGTCTGCTTCCCAAATATCTTGTGGATATCCAGGTAACTTCGTAGTCTATGTCAGAGAAAGTGCGGTTTTGTATCGGTTTGATTTGAGGTCTGCGGTTTTTGTTTCTGGTGTGGGTACTCATCTCAATTTCTGGACCATATTGTCTGCCATGGATACATTGACACTGGGTCAGTTTTCAGTAGATTATATGTGGTTCATTGTGGTACACAAAATCTATTGCAACAGGTTGTTTAGACACGGTTTGTCAAGTTGCACTAGGAAAGAATTTTTTACACTCTCAGGATCACGTTTGTCTAGAAAAATGGGGCATCTTGATCATGTCGTGAGTCGCTGATTTTCGGTGCACTACTTGTTTTCACTGCATAGAACCATTTTTAGGAAAGTCTAATCCCGAATAAAATTCTTGGTTCGGTAGGAGAAGAAGCGCTTTCTTCTATAATTACACCGAAACACAGAACATCTCAAGAAGGTAGCGAAGAACTTACTATGATTCGCTCATCATACCTATTTAGATAGCAACGTCATCTACACTACTCCACGATCTAGCATTGAAGCTTCAGCGTGTCAACAGGTTTTCCTTTCTTGAAACCCAGTTCAAAAAGCAATAGATAGCAATTAGCATGAGGATTAGTGTTGCAAACATAAGACTTAGAGCCTCATTGACGATTAAAAAAATTATATTCTTATCATAAATTTTTGCTGTTCCTCATATAAAGAAAGCATCTTGGCAGAAAATGTTGAATCCGTCATCTACTGCTTCGAGGTCTATGGTACCAGCAGGAAAATCTCCGCTGAAAGTGTCTTTTCCCAATGAAGAATGTACTCTTTTCCCTTCTTAGATTACTTCTGGGTCGGGTTCTTCTTAACGCACATTTCAGACTTCACAGCTAATTCATCTGTGTACGACAACGATGAATCCGACACCAGCTCTATTGCTAGTTCAATGAATGACTTTTCTATCTCTGAGAACGCTCAAATCGAAAGGTACATTTCTAAATGTCCTATCTAGTATCTTATCTAAAAAAATTTTTCAGTGGAGTGCAGTCTTCACTGCCAGATGCCCAAAGCTCAATGGTTCCAACAAGCACTACAGATACCCATTCAGAACAGATATTCCAAGATGTTTCTTCCTACAAAACGGATGGTGAGTCTTTACTTATTATGATTTATTATGACGAAGGCTCGTCATCAGGGCAAAATAATTTTTTTCCTTCCAAAATTCTTTGCGGCGTTTCATGTTTTCTTAGCTTCCACTATCAAGGCATTGTGTTCAGATGATGAAGATGACGTGCGAGAGACTGCAAACCATGTGGGCACAAGCAGTATCGCAGAAGAGCACAAAGTAAACATTCTGGAGAAGTTCACTTGGGAAGGGTAAATTTCTTTTTCTAAAGGAGTTTAATTTATTCAATTCTTGTTCATTGCTTGGTGTGAAAGTTTGTTGTTGACTTTATCCAATACAGTCCGCCTCCTCCTCCTCTGGATGTCGACCAGACAGAACAACTTATGATGTTATCGCGTAATGAATGTCCATTCTGTAAGGTAAGAAATGTAGCTGGTCCGTTATCTATATCATCTTTCGTTTTGTCTCAGACCGCACACGGATCTAGAGGACTACGTGTTCCGGCTTTCGCCAATGATGAGATCAAAGAGGAATGTATGATTGCACATATGGTACGATTTCATCATGAAGATGGGCGAGCTAAATGGGTTTTTGAAGCCAAAAGGTGGGCGTGTAGCGCAGTGTAATCCAATAAAGTGTTTTTTCTCAGATATCGCATGTCTACAAGTAAGCGTGCTAATCCCTTGAAGTTTCTTTTGGAGCCGTCGCAGGTTCGCAGCTAAAATTGTTTGCCTAGCGAAATCTTCATTCACGTATCAGTTTGCATTCAGGAAGGTTATCTCGTCTGTTCATCTTGTGAGAAGGCCTCTTTCCCTAAGCTCGCGAATCTTCGTCCTCATTGGGTCCGCTGCGTTGAAGTTGGGGGAAAGTATAGGAAAGATCTTCGTTTGGGCAGATCAGTCCTAATGTCACCAGCTGCATTAGTTCTACGGAAGCGGAGGAGTGTGAACTCGCCGTGAGTTGTCGAAGTCTCAGTTTCGAAATCAGGATCAATGTTGACGATGAGGAAGCAAATTATCGGTATTTTTGTATTTAGAGTGCGGTGTCCCGTTAAAGGGTGTTTATCGGCTTGGCGCCCAAGTCACATCTATCCAAATTCTGTCGGTCAGATTGCACACATGCTAGCTAGACATCTGACTGATAAAGATGCTTATGATATTGCCTTGGAGCTGGGGTTTGTAGTTTTGGCTACTTCACGTGCAATTAGCATTTTATATTTTCAGTGAAAAGGAGCAACTCGACAAGGTATTTCCATATTTGTCTGTTTCAAAATCCTTTGCAAAAACTCTGAGCCACCCAAAAACCATGTGCTTGCAATGTTCCAAATGTGAGCATGGCGTTCGTAGACCGAATGAGCTGGTGCAACATGCGCAGCGCTATCATCCCACAGAAGAACATTATTCGTGAGTAAAGTGCTTATTCTTTTGGATTTAGGCGCTTTCGTCTTTTTAGAGGAGCTCCAAAATGTCCATTTGAATGCGGAAGAAAAATCAAAAGGCGACCAGACTTGTCGGACAAAGTGCTGAGGCTGATTCATATGTTCAGATATCATCTTGGTACAGACAAAGCTGTGGAATGGATCCGCGATTGGTCGCGGTAATTTCCTTTTTTGTGCCTTTAACATTTTCTGAAAGAAGTCTTCAATTACCTGCTAGTCCTGAGAATATAGCAGTAAAACTGGTTTCGTCTCCCGCGTATCTGGATATCTTTTACTCCTCTGATCTGATGTACCCAGGTTTGCTGAGCACGAGTTTTTGATTAATGTTATTCTAGGAGCAATAGTGATGTCATGGACAGCGAACCAATTTACAGATTTGATGTGCTTGCTTCTCTTGAGAAATCACTATTTCTGGCATCTCCGAAGATTAAGTGCTCATTTTGCGAGTGGGTTTACCTTTTTTGATTGTTGTTGTTTCCACAAATTGCAGCCACCGCTTTAGAAACTGGTATTGTCTTGAGATGTATCTGAAAGAACACAGAAAGCCCAGGAGTCCATGCTACAGGCGAACTCTAGCTGAGTGTGTGAAGTTGTCGCCTTTTTTTGCAGTACTTGGCATCGGTTTTCAATAAAAGTGTTTACTCCACTTATAAATCCAGGAATGAGGATGCAAATACTTCTGCACAGGCGAATAAATCCTCACAAGAGATCTCATTACTAAGTATATCGAAAAGGAGAAAGTTGCGTCAGTGCGAGTATGTCGATTCAGCATTCAACATCTTGTATATAGGCTACTTTGGTCTCCTGTGTTTCAGGTTTTGCTCGAGAGCTGTTACGCAGAGTACGAACTATTCTGAAAGAGTCTCGAAATTTCTGCATGCTTTACATGTACATCTGCAAAGTGCACCTGCAGTACAGTGGCTTGACTCGAGGTCTTGAGATCTTTGGATTTTGCCTATCAATGTTTTGATTCTAGGGATTATTATTCTTATGTTTGCGAATTTCCTTATCTAGATATCGTTACTACGCTCGAGACATCTCGGAAGCGGGGTAGGCAAAACTCCCATTTTAAAAAAGTAGTGCTTGTAATGGTACTTTCAGGTAAAACCAGTCTCCATTGTGCTATCTGCTCTTACGAAACGGATGCCACTCGTAGGATCATTAACCATGCTATACTGCATCAGGAGTTGATGCACCATGAGGAGTAAGTAGATTTTTTGATGGTATATGGATTCGAATTAACTTTTTGGAGTTTCAGTAGCTACACTGATCCATGCAGCATTTGTGGTGAGCAGATACAGATTTACAGTCAGGTGAAGGAGCCATTCCAAAGACTCTGCCACTTATTGGCGAAACACTCTGACAATAAGGACCTTGTGCGAGACGCCATCGATGCTTAGTCAGTGAATTCTTCAGATATCACATCATTTCGCATATTTCCTGAATAATTTTCAGTTCCTGTGATAACGAAAGTCCTGTGTTGCTGATGGATTGTCAAAGAACTCTGGAAATGTTTTTGGAAGGGGAAAATAGGATTGCTTGCGGAAGATGTGATTTTTCTTCTTCGAATGGCTACGCTCTCATAGAGCATGCAAAAACACACGATATGTGAGTTGCTTGCAGCCCTGCTTCTTTGTCTGCTATGAAGTCATTTCAGAACTGTTGCTAAGCAAAACCGACGAGAGATCAAGAGGTAAGTTCCATAACTTTTGCTGTATAAAAAGCATTCAGTCGATTCCAGGAAACTTCCAATCGTGTGTCCATATTGCAAACGAATGCTTTTATGTTCTGCACGCTATTCGCATCGTGTTACACTTTTTATACATTTTGTAAAATTCCACAGAATGACCAAAGAAGACGTTGAAGATTTTATCAGTAAATGGTGCGACCAAATAAACTGTATAGTTTACTATGATATAATTTTCTGAGAGTAATCGTTTTGTAGTGCCGCATGGAACTTAGCGCAAGAGTTTCCTTACATTGATGCTGCTGCTTCGATAAGGATTGGCAAACTTCAGTGTGCCATTTGCGAAGCCTCGCTGCCGGACACTGCTCAGATTCTGAAGCATGCGACAATTGTGCACGAAGGGTGAGCTTGCTGTTCTTCCTAGCACTGTTCTGCGCGAGTGCATATATTTTGAATGAGTCATTTTTTTATACAGCTATCAGCCCCATTTTGTTGCCAAGGAAGTGACTACGGATGCTGGCAAGGGTGACCTGATCGTAACACAGCTTGGCAGCGATAATATGCAGGTGCCTGCCAGCTTAGTCAGGTCTGTTTTAATTGATTATATTCACTTCAAATCTGATGATCGACAAGATCTCATGTGCATACTCGTGTTCAAACGGAAATCCTCTTACAGCTCCGAGATGTTCAACGACGAGAAGGTTTTCAGCAATTTTTCCTTACCAAGTGAAGCAATAGTCAGTGCAGTTCCACCATCAGAACTTGCTTCTCAAGAAACTGAGTTTGGTACGAATCTTGAATCCACTCATTCTGCCGAGGGAGAGGATGAAGCATTATTCACTGCTATTACTCCAAAGAAAGAGTTTTTGTCAAATTCCGGACAACGGCTATCACGGACTTACGGTATGGTTTCAGGTTAAAAATTCGCATTCAATATCTTTATTCTATTTAGCACCAATGAACGATCGTGTGCCTCTGTTGCCATCGTCCTCTGATGATGAAATCATCCGAGAGGGTGGCAGAAGTGTCAACACAGGTCTTGATGATCCATATTCACAACGCGGTAGCGCCCGGGATGAGCAAGAAAATCATGAAGAAGCAGCGTGTGCAGCGAAGCAGCAAGGTTAGTTGTACATTGTTCCAAACTTCTACCTACTTGCACAAATAATGGAGAAAACAATAGAGGTTTAGAGTAGCGACCCGTAGGCATTGGGTATACCTTGCGCATTTCGTCGCCGCACAATTAAGCCTTGCTCCAGTAGCTTATAATTCTTCGTAAGCGCAATCTCGGTCAGCTAGATCTGATGCAACTGCATCAACTTAAGGAAACTTTGCGCCTGTGCTTTTGAGGTTTGCGCGCAGTGAAGTTGTAATTTCTATCAAAACGCTGACGTTTGCGATTTTTCGAAATCGCGCAAGTTGTGATCGAGGTCTTAGGGGGAGGGGGGGGGTTGATCCAACTGCGGTGAGCCCCACTCGTAGCTGACTTCTGTCAGCCTGTTGTTAAGAGATGATAACCAGCAGTTTTTGCAGGAATATGCAGTAATACAGACATCTCCGGCAGAAATATAAATGCAGCCTTCCGTCTTGATGTAACTTCTTTGCCAGGTCCATCCACAAGTACACCGAAACCAAACAGAACTAGCACTTTGCCTGATTCACAAAGTACGGTAACAGATAGTCATGTCATGTGAAATGTTGTATACTTTGAGGTTCTTTGCTGTCGTGGTTGTCACCGATTAATGGATCTATTGTGCCATCACGACGGGCGGAATTGATTTCAGAATCGGTAGGTTTAACTCTCCGCTTCCTCTTGTATACATATCATTCTAGCAAGATGGTCGTGATCTCAGAGATGCTCTTGACAACATCGACACCAGGCATGGGAATGTTGTAAAAGTGAGCTTAAGTTTTTCACAGTACTGAATCAATTTATGGTTATATTTATAGCGGAAACGTTCCCATCACAGCTCCAGCGATGGTACTCTATTTGACGAACTTCCACAACGAATGGTACAGAAAATTGCGTTAAAGTCGAAGCCACCTGATGATATCAGTCATATCAAAGGAGCGAAGGGACATCCGTAAGATTTATTGTTTTTGCCTGCCATTTTGTTTCTTCCAAAACTTCACATGAGTCAAATATGTATAAGAGACTCATAGCACGCAAAGATTGCGGACGTATCGACGTCTCTGATGGGGCGCTCTTTCCTTTCTCTTACCATCTACGGTTTCTCCCATGTACGAACTATCTCGGTCGGACACAAAGGCGCCCATTCTTTGCGTGCTATAAATGGCTTACAGTGTTTATAATATTTCAGTTTAGTTTAGTTAACATATCGTGTTGTAAAAAATGCAGGCTGTACTGTCTATAGAAATAATTTTCCGATCAAGTATACTTCCTTATTCTATTGATTGCGGCTTATAGGTGCAATTTCTGCGAATTTAAAGCTCGCAGTGTCAGTGATATCAGGCGACATACAAGTATAGCACACTCTGAAATTCTGCCATCAAACTCAACAAACATCGTTACGCCTTGTCATCTCTGCAATGAGGTAACTTTCCGACAATAGCTGGAGTGTCGCGTTTACAGGCTTCATTTTAGGTGTTTGAAAAGCGAACTCTCCTCCTAAAGCACATTACTGATAGTCATGCAGAGCTTCAGCAACCTTTCAAGTGAGCTTATCCTTATTATTTACGGTTTCAAAAATTGCGAAGTTTTAGATGTGCATACTGCCCAAAAACGTACGTAACCTCTCTGCGAATGCGTGAGCATGAGCGACGATGTCATGAATCGCGATTGTTTGTTGATGCGGCAAGCTTAATCTGCCCCCTCTGTGATAAAGAGTTTAGTAGTAAGAGAAATCGGGATCAGCATGTAAAAAGGCATAAGAATCCCAACAGTTCACTGGCTCGAGGATTTTGAGAATTATATAGTTTTGTTTTAGAATATCGCATGTCTATAATGATGCACATTATTACTGTACAAATTTGTACTGGGATCCAACTAATCTCGTTGTTGATTTTGTTCTCATTTTGCTGCCCCTTATTGTTATGTTGTTACTCGTTTCAACAGCAGCTGCTATGAGTAAATAAAGCAATAGTTTATTGTATGGCCAACATAATGCGAAAAATGCATGAGTTTTCATATTGTTTAAAATTATTGTATAAGTTGTTCCCATTCTATAGCAAAAACAATTTATGTGTTGATAATGTGGTTAGTAATGCTGCCAATGTCACCATTTACTGTTTGGAAGACGGTTGTAAGGTGAGCGTTTTCGTTTGCCATTACCCTGTGAGAGAGGACGAGCAACCCAAATGGTTCGAGAGAATTTTTTAAACTGCAGTTAAAGTGATTAATCAGCTAGACATCTGAAGTTATCAGCCGCACGGCTCATGCGTTTACTAAAAAGCTGAGAATATATATATATATATATATATATATATATATATATATATATATATATATATATATATATATAACGAAAGCCTATTGAAGTCATGTTCGCGGTTTTTCTTTCTCTCTATGTCCTACTATTTCTCCGCAATTCCAAACCAAATTTGTAGAACGTTGTTTTGCCGCTGTGGTTATTTATTAGGTGACAGAGGCAAATCGTACAGTTTTCTCCATCGCGATCAGGCCGAACCTTGGCGTGAATTTGCGCTTCGCAGCGCTAGGGGTTTGCGGTGCATATGCGCACTGTAAGGGATCGTTCATACCGCGCACAAAGGCGGACGAAGGCGGACGAAGCCGGACAAAGCCGGACGAAGGCGGACGAAGCCGCACAAAGGCGGACGAAGGCATGTGTGAGTGTGTGTGTGTCGAGAGAAACGAGACGAGGCGTGTGTGAGTGTGTGCATGTGTGTGTCGAGAGAAACGAGACGAGACAAGACGCGCCTTCGTCCGCCTTTGTCCGCCTTTGTCCGACTTTGTCCGGCTTCGTCCGCCTTCGTCCGGCTTCGTCCGGCTTCGTCCGCCTTCGTCCGCCTTTGTGCGCGGTATGAACGATCCCTAAGAGAGAGCGAAGAGGTTGCGGAGAGAGCAGACAAGCAGGCCGTAGACGTGAAGCAAAACGCTAGCAAGGCGGATTCCCGCCATGTCAGTTTTGGCCGGATTGGGAATGAGACAGACTGTATCGTTTTTGAGCATACCAGTAAGCCACAAGTAACGGGAAAAGCCGATTGAATCGTGTTTATGTGAGTAGTTATCTGAACCTATCGTTCTCCATTTCTTTCACTAACCATTTCGAAAATCTCATTTCAGATTTCTCAGATTTCATAAAAGGAGATACAGCAACTTTTGCACTTCTCTTGCCTTTCTGCAACTGACTTTGGAATTTTATGGAAGTTTTCAAAAATTCCTAGCCTTCATAAATGGTCAAATGTTCAACAATCTTATTCTAACTGCCAAAAACGCAGCTTCCATTGGGTCAGACAATACAAACACTCCACGAATCATGAACATGAAGCATGAAACCATTCTTTACAGTGAACCGGAACCTTGTGGACCATAAGCTCGTCATCTGAGAAACTCATCAACAGGAAATCCAATACTGCCACCAAAGGTAAACGAACAGGTTAGGTAATCGAACAACAAGGAAATAAATTCGATACAAATAGGAAATCTATTTTTCTGTTCAAACCACGTACCCACTTCCCCACGTATAACATCATTAATTTGAACAACCTAGTGTATAAGAACTTCAACGCAGAATTGCGCTTATGAATCACATCAAATCTACATAAAACAACCGAGAAAGTATAAGTCATTGTACAAGCTTGATAGAGATCCACATTCAACAGGGCTCGTACGAAGATCAGGAAAGCAAGGTACAAGTTTTCTCAAAACAAAGATAATGAGGTCAGATGCCGGCAGATCAATGAACATGACCAATGTCAAAAAACTTAGCCGGTTGACTTGCGCTTCAAAGCACTTGTGAGCAGCTGATTCAAAGTCTCGTTGTCAATTTTCTCTTCTTTCGACTCTACAGAGCCCGATGCACGCGATGTCTCGTCAATCTCTGCAGAAGACGAGATGCCATATCGACAAGAGATTCTAGCTCTGACTCACCTTCAATTTGGCCTTTAATGCCATCTGTGACAGCTTTTTCAAGCTGGAGTTTTTTGCGCGCAAGAGTGTGAATATCAACCTAAAATGGAGAATCAGCTAGAATTGACAACCTGACGATTTAAAAAGTGAAACAAACCTCCACAGTGTCTTTACTGATAAGTTTGGTCACAAACACCTCTTTCTTCTGACCCATACGGTGGCATCGATCTTCTGCCTACAACAAAAATGGAAAAAACTCGGAAATTTGCGAAGTATTTCCATGAAGTCAATCCCTTCCTAAATGTGCTAGTGGTGGCAAAAATAAGCATCACTTTCAAAAGAAACTTTGTTTGCCTTTCTTCACATCGACAAAAAGAACGATCCAAACCTGCTTGTCATTATAAGGATTAAAGTCGATGTCATGTAAAATTATATGATTTGCAGACGTCAAATTAATTCCAAGTCCTCCTGCGCGAGTCGACAAAAGAAATACGAAAAGATCATCATCGTTGTTGAACTCGTTGATCATCTCTTGCCTAGAAAGAGATCAAAAATTCAAATCAAATAGGCACTGTGTGGCTGCTTACCTTTCCATCACCGGTGTTGATCCATCTAACCGTTTGTATGCATAGCCCCGTATTCGCATATATACCTCCAGAATATCAAGCATTGAGGTAAATTGTGAGAAAATGAGTAACTTGTCACCCTGAAGCAAAACCTTCGATGTTGGAAAAGGTTTGAGCTGGACTTGCCTTTTCTATAATCTTTGGTAGCAATTTATCCAATACACGACATTTCCCGGACTCTAATGCCAAATCTTCGCTCAAAAGAAACTTCTTTGTGCTGCGGAATTTCTCACATATTTGATGGATTTGGAAATCCGACTGATACGAGAGATCTTCAGCAACATCCTCCCATTTCTTTTTCTCATAGGGTTTCTCCTGAATGTTGAAAATTTCTTACAAGACGGACCGAGAATTCTGTTTAGCCTACCTTTGCGCACAGTGTCTTTGCGAGCTTATCCACAAGCGAATCTGTATACTGTACCCGTCTCAAAAGAGGATGGTTTGCAGCTTGTCTCAACCGAATCAGGGCTCCATAGGCATTACTTGTATCACCATCAAAACCCTTCACACTAAAAAATCAAGATGGAAGGGAAAAAAACAAATTACAGAGGGGCAGGAATTAAATTCATGCCTGTCGATTGTGTCCTCGTAAAGTTCTTTTTGGCTTTCGAGCATCTCCACTTCTATTACTTCTTCGTGTTTCTCAGGTAAATGACCCAGCACCTGAATAAATTTATTTCTCACTTCTTTGTTGTTGTCCATTACTGTTAATTTGGTAAAATAGTGAAAGTTTCGACTCTGCATCTTTGGGAAAACAAGTTCTGTGCTTACTTGGACTTTCAACCGCCGCAAAATGTACGGTTGGAGAATCTGCTTGGCTTGTTCAATTCTGTCCTTTTGATACATTGAATTCGATCCAGACTCGAGTGCGGGACCTTGCTGAAAATTTCCACAATGTCGATCTCATACTATTCTAGTAAATTCGAACTCACCTGCTTGAAATGCTGAAGCAGTTGTCCTATATCCTCGCAGTATTTGGTAAATATGTTGGTCATTACGAAATACATCAAAGATATCAATTCTATGAGATTGTTCTGAAGTGGAGTACCCGTCATCAGTATCTTTCGTTTGCCCTGTAATAAAAACTGCTGCTAAAGCGTCTTCTTACACTACATGAGGTAGCCACCTTGACTTTCATCAGATTTCTATACCGATCAGTGCTGCAATTTTTCAGCATGTGTCCCTCATCATAAATAACATAGTGCATGCTGAAATTCTTGAAAAATTTCTTATCGTCGTGTTTCGATGAGATCATGTTGTAGGTGGTCAGCACAACGTCGATCTAAATATATAGAGCATATGAGGCTCATGATATAGCAAAAAAAACTCGACTTACACTCTCTTTTTTCTTTTTAGCCATATGGCGAAGTTGTTTCCGCTCCTCTTGACTCCCATAGTAAGTCAGCAGCTATAACGCCACGAGAACTAATAGCCTTTCGGAATCAACAAAGTTGAACAAGAAAAAATCGAGGACTTACACGGATCTTTGGACACCATTTGATAAATTCTGACATCCAATTTTCAATGGTTGATGATGGAACAACTATGAGATGTGGGCCGCGAACGTTCTCTTCTTTCAAGTGAGCAATAAATGCAATAACTTGAATTGTTTTCCCAAGACCCTAGGAAAGAAACACGGTCAATTTCGACAATGTTATAGACCGCAAACAAACCATTTCGTCACCCAAGATACAGTTGAAACCCTTTTCATACATCATCACAAGCCAGTTCAAACCCACGTGTTGGTAATCATGCAAAGTACAACTGAAAATAACTAGAATCTGATTCAACTATACGCCATGAGATGCCTCACCTGCCGTCAAGAAGTTTCGGTTGGAGTCTCTTATGAGATAAGTGCTCGAATTCTGCAGCTACAGCTTGTGCATGATCTTTGCAGTCATCAAGAATCTTCTCGAGAACACCACGATTTTCCAGGGTCTCCATATACGCGTTTAGAGCCCCCATTCCACGAGGAACCTCCGCTATGGATCTTTCCTACAATTTGTTAGCTATAGTAAACTGTGGATTTATGTTCTAGTGCTACCCAAGATTTCATAGCCTTTCAAAGTACTTGCGCGGGCCAGCGGTTACTAAGTCAGTGTTTCAACCTCCCATATTACTCTGGTACCAATTTCGTCCCCAGTGAGAAAAAGGCTTAGTTGGCCCAGGGGGGGGGGGGATCACAATTAGATCCGATCTGGTATTAGCGCATCATACCATTATTGCATAGGAGTAGTTCGCTTTTTTGCTTGGTTTTTTTCACTTTTCTGTATCGGAGTCGAGTAGCATAGTATGCTACTCGACTCCGATACAGAAAAGTGAAAAAAACCAAGCAAAAAAGCGAACTACTCCTATGCAATAAATCTTGACTTCGATAGTACTCACCAGCTCTCTGAACGAGCTGAACGGGCGATCATCGCAAATTTTGGTCGCTATCCGTTCAGTAACTCGTGGGGTAGCAAGCAGTTGCTGACGAGTGGCCGTATTAAAGAACTCTAAACATGCCAAAGCCACCTCGTCCTCCTCGTCACCTCGGCTGTGGTGGTCCTCATCCTAACATAATTTCGATAAGAACAACGTATGAATGGAAAACATGCTTACATCACTGTCAGAATCCGATTGCTCTGAATTACGATCTGATCCCCTCTCGCTTCCATCCTCTAAAAATTCTTCGTAGTCGGATGAAAGTTTGCGCTTCTTCGCATGCTTCGCGGCAGCTTTGGCAACTTTCTTCAACGTTGCAGCGGACTGCAACAGAATCAAGTCTGATATCAGTTGAAGAAAAGACTACTGTACATACCGTAAAACGATCTTCTGCCTCATCATCATCATCGCTTTCCTCGGAAAGAACAGCCTGCTTGCGCGAGGACTTTTTTATGGGAGAATCGTCAGATACTCGTGTTGACATTTGCTGTAACGACTACTGATTGCTCCTCAAAAAACTACATTTTATACTAACCCGTGCATTCTCATTCAACCGCGGTTTACACAACCATTCCTCTTCTTCGCTAGACTCTGACAACGTTCTGTTCTTTTTTCTATAAAGAGGAACAAATCAACCGATTTTCAAGTCACCAAGAGAATAGACTCACTCAGTAGCCCCAGACTGTCCCAATCCAAGCGCATTCTTACGAGATTTCTCAGTAACTTTCGGAGAACTGGCTCGTTTTCGGGGATTTCTGAATGTGACCAAACTTGTTACGGATGTTTCTTGTACATATTGCACAAAGCAAAATACTGAGCAGGTACCGTTTCTTTCGAGGTCGTTCCTCTTCATCACTGAGTACGAATTCCTCATCAGGTTCCTCCTCCTCATCATCTACTACGAACTCGTCTTCTTCGTCACTCTCTATCACTTTTTTCTTTTTAGGTGTGGGCCCTGAGTAAAACGCATAATGATTTAGTACGCACACAAACATGTATCCCCTCGTCCCCGCTACAATGGAAATGTTCAAAAATATCGTCCAAACATCCAAAACAGCCATGCAATCTCATTATTGAAAAAAATAGTGTTCATGTATCTCAAAAATGGTGCAAACCTTTCAAAGTCCCGTTCGTCTGCTTTCCAAAAAAGTTCGTTAAACGAGACTGTGAGCTATTGTTCTTCGAGCCAATCGAGGCAGCGATCTATGGTATCAAACTATACAAATGAAACTTAGGCAGTCCTCTGAACGCATAAGAAAAAGCCATCGAAAACAAAGAACCTTTGCTAAGGCCTCCCGTTTATGCTGCAGAGACTGCAACATTTCGTCAGATGCAGTCGTCGAACGATGTGCCACTCTTGGTTTACTCTCATCTCCAAATTTACTCGACGACATCAAATCGTGCTTCAAAAAAGTTGAATGGGCAAAATGCTAGCTTAGCACTTTTGAAAGTAGATAGTGAAGGGACACTCAGCACATAAAACATCATATTCATAATTTATTTATGCATACATCATATATTAGTTGATTACACTTCGTTCTATTATCCGTAGTGAACACCTGACAAGAGCAATTAAAAAAGCAGTGCATATTTGAGCACATCACTCACCAGTGACGGACCGAGAAAGTGGATAAATGGGTCGCGAAATTTCAAACAACAAGCAGCCTAATAGGTATAAAACTGTGCGTTTGTTTCTACTAGTAGGAGAAGCAAATATTCTCGACATTCTTCGAAAATTCGAACTGGCCACGCCCCTTGTGAGAAAGGAAATCCTGTCGCTAACGCTCTACAAAAAATTCTCGGACCGCTATTGATAGTCAAGCACTCATTATTGAATTTCGGTAAAGCCTTCCAACTTCAAATTTGCGAGATCGTCAAAAAAGCCAGTCTCTAGAACCACACGACTTCTCGCCCATTTCGTTCTTATTTCAGTCCATCGTATGGTGAAATTGTCTGGGCGTTGAGCGATCTTAGACACAACCTGTAATGCGTTAGAAGAAATTAACATCGAAATAGGAAGCTATCTGTAAAAATGTACATACAAAGACAAAAAAATTAACTGTTGGATGTGAGAGAGTACATACTTGTTCTCCAAGGTTCTTCAAGGTAAATGAGCAAGGGTTGCTACAATAATTTTAAGAAGTGTCAAAAAGTTGGTACTCACAGAAAGACACTGCATCGCAATGGATTTTCTTTGCTGTTCGAGCATCTCACTAGCCATAGTCAACAAAGCTTCAACCAGCTTCGTGCAGTCTATGCTTGATAGAAGCTTCCAGCTGCAAAAAGGAGAGATGGCAGAGCTCATAATCAGAATGTGTATGTACCTTTCAACAAGTTCTAGAAGACCGACTACCAGCGCCTGTTTTGCCTTCCAGAAGATCGTCTGCGACGTTAGATATGAGCAAAGATGATCTATAGCTGTTGTGGATTCCTTCACTATAACATGAACTTGTCAATATTCAACAAGTTTAAATCCTTCGATACCTTCATGATAGGCACCAATACCCTTGGTGAGAGCTGTCATGTTCTGACCAATGAATTCTGCTATTCTTGATTCCTTAGAAACCGGGCTTTCTTCATCCCCCGATTGTTCCTCATCATCACTATTTTTTTGTAAATGTGACGAACAGAAACTGACACTAGGCTTACTACAAACAATAGAGCAACTTACCTCGGATGCAAAGCCTTTTTGACGTTTTCCTCTACTTTCTCAAATAACCAGTCTGCTGCTGCTGAGTAGGACATGCTTTGGGCGAAAGTGCCACATGCTAATAAGCCGGCTGCTGCGTAGTCCTTTCTCTTTTTAGAGGCTTGGCTCTTCAAAGTAGTGAACGCCTAAAAGTTTTGTATGTGACTTAAGACAATTGGGAAAAACTCAACAAAGATGATAAGAAGCGCTCCAAATGCGCCAGTTTTTCACATATTTCAAGAGTGACGCTTCTGAGAAGCCAATGAACTAAAAAGTACTATGTGCAGTCAGCTAAGTTGATTCACTATGTGCCAAAATCTATCAGTACTCCCAAATATTCAATGTCAACGATCCCATCCTACAAGCAAGATCGAAGTATGAGAAAGAGAAACGAAACAAGCATATAATATCCTCAAAATAAAGTTCCGCCAACGTCAATTCTCGTAAAACTCGCAATGCATCGCTTTCTGTAAAGATAATAAACAATCTAACCTCCTCCAGCTCCTTTTCACTCCAACAATTGCCCAGAGAGTCACCAGCACTCGCAAACACAGTAGCGAGTGCTTTCACAAGATGTTCTTTACCAGTCCAGAGGCGACCAGATAGCAGCGGCATCAAAGAGGAGAGCAATGCGGCTGAAATTTGGTCATCACTAGTAGACTGCATCAAGAAATTGCAACAACTCACCTGCATCTTTCCCTTCTACTCTATCCTTGAGGCATTCCATCGTCTCCGTAAGCATTCTAGCTGCTTGCGCTCTGACAGACCAGACGTCATTATTCTGGAGAATATCCAGTACAAACGTCAGTATTTCTTGACGGTAAAGGCGAACAGCTGCTTCCGTACCTGAAGTTCGACTACTGTAAAGAAAATGGTGAAAAAGCGCACAATGACTTACTAGGCACTAATTCATTCCAAAGTTCACACCATTCCTCATTGCGCTTTTTGGACGCTTCGTCTCCGCGGATAACTGGAATGGAAAGAAAACTGTGATCATAGCAGATAAAGCTGTACTCTGAACCTACCTGGCTGGCACTTTTCTAGGAAAATACAGGGCACAACTAGTTTGGAGTAGCCTTCTAGTAATTCCGGACAATTTGCTGACAAGCTTTTGAGAACATATTTAGCAGACTGTTTCATAGCTTCTGAAGAGAAACGGATCACTACATTTGAGAACAGGAGAAGATTTGCAAATCTGCGCGAGCTTCTTTTGATGATCCTCTTTCAAACAAAAAAAAAAGCAAATCAAGTGACGCCTACCGTCCTCTCCTAACAAATCTTTCGAGAGAGCTTTCATCAAAGCGCCAAAGGAAGTCGAAGAAGCATATTTTGCTAAATATGAAACGGCACTGGCGAAATGCTTTCTCACAGATGGGTTCCGATCCCTGGTTCCAGCAATGAGTGCATTAAAAAATTTGTCTGCAATTCTTTATGAGGTTCATCCACGAATAGATATGACAGATTCATACCGCATTGAGCGGGGTGGTCCATAAGCAGCTGCGGCGCTCTCAATGCCATTACTGTCAACAGTTGAGCACATGCTGTTCTCGTGCTGGCACCTGCACTCGAACGGAGCTGCTCGCACAAGCGAGGTTGAACACCAATCAGAACATTGCTATCAATCTAAAACAAGCAAGATTATAATCAAAACTTATATAGGAAATTCTCTCAGGTACCTGAGGAATGAGGTCATGAATGGCTGTCATGATTGGCGACGTGCGCGCGATTTGGGCTCGTGCATCGTCTAGCTGGAAAAAAAGAGTTCATGGTGACCCAGTTGACGCAATGCACCTGTCAAAAATCATGATTTACTGACCATTTCTAGCTCAGCAAGACTTGAGCGAGCAGCAACATAATTCAATATTGCTGGTTCAGTATCACTTATAGCGTCGATGAGAGACGGAATCAGCTCGGGCAAATACGGACGCAATTGTGTTCCGGCCTTCTTAGCCAGCTCCAAAAGTAGAGAAATGCTGCAAACATTGTCTCAGTGAATCACTCATTGGTTTTCGGAATTATCATGTACCTGAACTGCTTGTTGATTTTTGTGTCCGAATGTATACCATTCTGAATAAGCACCGGAAGGAAAGAGTCAAGAAATGCATGAGGATCATGACCTTTAGATGTCTCGGAGGACAGCCGAACAACTAACTTTCCAAGGCTCGCTATTGCACGATTAGCGGCTTGGCGAACAGATTCCTGCAAGTCATATATTATTCTGTTTCGCGACATCAACAGATCTCAAACCTTTATGTCATCGCGAAGACGAAATACGGTCAAGACTAACTCAGCAACGATAGATCGAATGTACGGTGTATCATTGCTTTGAACCAGATCAGAGAGAGCAAGGCATCTACATATTGGGTTGAACAATTAATTAGAAACAGATATGAAAACAATATGTAGATAGCTACTTACGAGGATTCTCTCACACGCCATTCTGCACTCGTGAGCTGCTTCTGTAGCTCTTTTGCTATTTCATCGGCAAATTCATCAACCTACAAATATAACAATCTCTTGAAAACAATGAAAATCTGCATAATCTTGTAACTTTCTAATGGTTACTGACAATTCCTCGTCTAGATGATGTGAGAACAGACCATATTGAACGCATAGATTGCCTCACTCTGAGATCTGGATCATATCGATACCTAACAAACATGATGTGATGTCTGGAAGGGAATTCGGGGAAAATAAAATGCTGACCTAAATAACTTTGGCACAAGCTGACTGATATATGGATCAAGTTCGCTGCGCGCTTCTTCAAGCAAAGCCGCAAATCCAAGTGCAGCACCCTAGGACAAAGCTCAATAATGCAGCGACAAATCACTGAATCATTACCTTTTTAGTGTTCCACACAGAGTTGTGTCTTGCGAGATTCATGAATTTGTAAACAAGATCAGGCTGATTGAGATCTGTAGCTAACGAGCATAATTCCTTGTATGTGCTCAACTGCTGTCTAAATTAAACAGCAGCATCGTCAAAGTACAGACAAAGTGCTTCATTCACTTACCCATCTGGGCCAGTGATGTTTTGTTCCTTGCCAAAAACAACAGAATTTGAGTCGAGTTTGACAGCCGCAAACGGTTTCCCTTCAGATATATTGCACATAAGATCATTCACCAAGGCTTTGCGCTGCTCAGCCGTTGCTAATTCGTAGATTAACCCTACTCCGTTTGAAGCAATATCTTGGATGAAGTCTGTAAAGGAACTGATTTAATTCGTGGTTTACAAAAGCTGGACCAACCATCTGTTTCTGATAGTCCCATCCCAAAAGCTGACTGGATTCTATCCAACATCCCGTGCAAAACAGCAGCTTTGGCTTTAGAACTTTTTCTTACTATAACGAACAACCAAACAAGTGCAGATCTTCGTTCATGATGATTTGTGGAAGGAAGTTTCTCGAAGATTTTGGACAATATACGGCTCAAACGATCTTCACACTTCTGCTGAACGTCGCTGGGTAGAGAAGGGAGCTAAAAGAAAGACTGTACTGGGTAGCCAATTTTCTCATTAGAAAGTTACTTTGACGTCATCCTCAGCTACCAAATAAAGATTGCGCCGTGAAGATGTATACGGTCCAAGGGCAACATCAAATAAGGCAGATCCAACAACAAGTTGCACTTCAGGCTGTGGAGGACCACTTCCAATTGAGTATAAAGAAGATGTCAACTGAATATCATGCATTACTCATGAGCAAATATGCAAAAAATAGTAATGGTTATCTAATTAGACTCTGAAGAAAGCGGAATAAAAAGCTAAAAGGTCAGGCGAATGAAATAATTACCAAGTTTTTTATTATAGAGCTCCACATCTCACAAAAGCAATTATGCTAATTCACCCATATGAATGAAAATAGGAGCCCTAGAAATCACCTTCTCGTAGAGTCCATCGTCCATGGTAGTGGCACAAAATCCTATGGCCCGAGTCGACTCTTCGTGTGCTTTTGTCGATACAGCATCCTTCCTCGAAACTGCAATCTTCTCGCAAACAACTAGCACGCGACCGAGATCTTCTTCAGACAGTTCAAACTTCTCAAAGAAGAGAAATAATACGGTACTAATGATGATACGGTGGATGTTACCTCATCCTTTGTCAAAATTCTACGCAGTATATTGGAAAGTGCACCCAGAGCTGATTCCAACACATTATTAGGCTTATTGTAACCTTCTTCGGCGATATTTAATAGTTTATTCATTGTTGACAATGTAGTAGCTGTAGATGTGGGGCAAGTTATGACGAAAGCGCTTGCCAGCCAACAATCTCCAGCCGTAACATTCTGAAATGACTCCAAATTGATAATTACGTAATGGACAAAAGCAACAAATTACTTACTTACATTAAACATGCAGACGATTTAAGCCCAAAATAGACGCGGAGAAAAAGAACTGAAACCTACAGGCTTTTCCAACGCCGAAAGCACTGACGGCAGCATCTCCTCTTTCTCCTTCTCACTCATGAGCGAAACTGCCAGATGAGATGCGACATTCGCCAGCTCCGACCGAGTTGTGCCTTTAGCACGCTGTATACATGCAGTTACCGCTGATGGCATGGGAATACTTGGTGAGCATATAGTCGAGAAGCAAGTGGCGACGTGAAAAGGATGAACATCTGAATGCTACTCGCAGATGAGAGGAAGCAGAAGTTAGGCTCCTACCGTGAGCGTTATTCAAGGCTTTCAATGCGATAGCTGTCATCTTCTCCTGTGTACTAGTGCTCAATTGCTGCAGTTGACGAGTTATTTTCGGTGACACGTCTAACCATTCCAAACCAGAGTCAGTAGTTTTGGTGTCAATTTGAACGCCAACAGATCGACCCATAACTGCCCACAAATAACGAGAGCACTAAAAATCCGCTGATGAAGTTTAAAAAACAGCAACACCGTGATTTACCATTTGATGCACAGCAGGTGTCACACTGTCAGAAGAAGAGGACTTTTCTTTTCCTGCCTCTAGATCAAATATGTCATATTTAAGGCGATCCCACAGATACGAAACAACTTGTTCAGGCGAGACATCTGCCTGCAGGGAGATATCCAATAAGCGGTTAGCTTCTCCACGAATTTCATCTCGACTGCAAAGGAAGTGGTCAAGCGATCTCGGTCATTAGCGATCGAAATAAATCGAAACGAAAAAACGTACGTGTCTCCGCAAGCTTGCAACAGTGTCCATCTCAAACCCATTTCGTTGGAAGTTAGGAAAGCCTCCATATACTTCAAGGCAATAAGACGACATTTGGGATTTTGCTGAAATGCGCAAACATGTGAAGAACTAATTCGAAGTGAGATCTAGTTAGCAAAGTAACGAGTCTATCATTGCGATGTTTGTACAAACTGTCAACATCAACACCAAACGTCTACTTCGCAAAATTTTTTTAAAACTCCGACTCAACTCATGATCCGATTTCAAAATGAAGATGTATGAAAATCTACAAAAACTGGGGACAAGCAAGAAACTGCTAACTTTGCTTTCGGTAATCATACCTACATGTGTGATGAATTCTTGAATCAACGTCTTCAACTTCTCCATCAGCTCCGCGTCTTTCAATTTCCGGAAACCATCCAACCATTGTGTGAGACAATCGACAACAGCATAAGCTACATCATCTGGACTCTGCATATATGTGAACCAAATAAAAACAAAATGTTACTTCAGTTTACTAGGAGTCAATACGTAAACTTTCCATCTGATCAGATAAAATGCTTCAAATGACAATGCAACAGAAACAGGCTCACCTCCGCAATACTTTTGAATGTACGTCCTATGATGTCAGCCTGCCCAGTGAGTATGGCAGAATCTCTTTTCCCAAGTATGCCAAGACATCGATACATGAGTGACAGAGCAACACCATTCTGGACAATGCCACTAGTGGAAGCGTCTCAGAAGATTCACACAAGATAAAGTTACCTTAACTTCAGAATCTTGTATTTTCTGAACTCTGTCAAAAAGCAAGGGACCAAAATTCTTCTGAGCTGCGGCAGGCATATTTTCTATGACTTTTACCAGGAAGTTCATGGCAGCTATGAGCAGCTTTGATTCAGGTCGCGAAGTATGAGTGAGTCCCTCCAAGCATACCTGAATATATAAAACTAGGTGAAAAATATCTTGCAGGCCGCCTACCTTCATATTATTCATATAAGCTACCGGAGCAACATTTGATCGGGTAAGGTATTGTAGAATCTTTTGCTTCATTGGTGCACAAACAGGAGAAACAATTTTCACGTTGCCAATCACTGGTTTAGTAGGTGTTATGATGCCAAGGTAGCTTGCCATAAGCTCATCAACAACAACACGATTATCCACAGAAATGTTACTAAACGCCAGAATCAACTCCCCATATAACATGAAAATGGAAAAAAATTTACTTACATATCCATTTTCTTCATGGCCGATTCAGCAGCATCGCTTACCCTAAAAATCTGTGCGTAAGAGCGCTTTTCAACACAATTTTATGAGAGCAAGACTGAAGATAGATTTAACATACGCCTCTATGCTCTGCGCTGTTCCCAACGCCAGAATAGAGAAAACAGCTTGGTCCTCGAAAATACCCGAAATGAGTAGCTTTATCACCGCCAATTTGATCTGAAACATAATATAATCGATTTCCTGTTTATTTCTTGATGACCTGCAAGGAAGTCCAGAAATGCAACGCAGAAATTTCTGTAATGCGAATGGTTCCAAAGAGTCAACATGTATTCACCCAATCAAAAACACAAACGATAATAATACTAAAAACATTCAAGTTACCTGCACAAAACTAAATTTCCTATTCATCACTTTTTCTGCTACCATGACGAACTCTTCCGCACTCATTCCATAAGTGAAAACCTTCTTCGCATCTTTTATCAGAGCACAAGTTTGTTCAATGTCTTCACTAAACAGAGGTCGTTAAACAATACCAACACATTCAGGCTGTCTTACGTTGAGTTCACATCGAAAGCCATAATGCAATAAAAGAACCGCAATAGCAGAGTTTTCAGTTCCGCCGAGAGTTCAAACTTTGGCCAGGTATGTTGGTCCTTTTGCGCAAGACTCAAGAAGCCCGGCACGCAAAGAGATAACAGTCTAAAGGACGAGAAAGTATTCTAATTTCATAAGCCATTGGCGACAGCATACAACAACTTACTCAACATTTTGGTTGTAGTCGTGAGCTTTAGCAGAAAGCGTATCAAAGAGAAGCGGTAAGAGATCAATCTGTTGTTCTTGCTGGAGATTTGCACTAGCATATCGCAAATATACCAGGGATAGATTCTAGAAAACATGCGTTGACTGTGCAACAAATGATAAGGAAAAAAATTTGATATGAAAAAAGTCCTTCTAAAAGAAATCCGTAATGTTAAGGATCTTACAGCAGCAACAAGTCCTTTATCCTTGACCAAGGCTAGAAGCTCCTTGATTGGATAGACTATGGCGGCGTTGGACTTCACCCGTCGATTATACTGACTTAGAATCTCGCGGACCTGAAGTCACAGAATTCGTCAATATCTTTGTTATGTGACTGAAGGCAAATCGTACCTTCCCAACAGTCGTTGACTCCAAGCCAGCGATTTCGATGAGTTGAATGAGGTATTTGTCTGTGAATTTCTGTAGCTGGTCATCCGATTCGATCAAAGCAAAACGCAAGTGTATCCTCTCCACTATAATAAGACATACTAGGTTGTCATTTTTTCATACCCGAATTCCAATCAATATTGCTCAAGAGCTAAGGCACCTACAACGGTGCAAATTTGTAGCAGTACTTCTGACTCGATAAGCTACGGGAACACGAATATATCTTGCACGAATTCAAGACCACTGAAGACGGAGTTACTGATGCCATTTTTCCTTGATTTCTGGCCATCAAAAAAAGAAATCCAGCACGTGTGATTATTCAATGTGTAAAGTATATGCGTGAGAGAGTGAAAATTCGCAGAATCTGTTTGCAATTTCTTTCTTTTTCTCGGAGATTCGCTCTTTTATATTTTGGCTTGAGACTTTATGCGTATCGAGCTTGCTGTAAATCAATTGATTAACGAACGGTAGTCTGCTGTTAGATAGAGCTGTAAAAAAGACCTGCGCATAAGATGTTAGTGACTCACGATATTCTCTGACAGGAACTCCTTCATACTGCATCGAGGTATTAGGACTTGCCATCAGCGAAATCCACACTCTTATATTTACAAGAGCAGGATCGACCTGAAGATAGAATGCTATCGTCTGGCAAACTCTGTGTTCAACAAGTAAGGCCTATTGCGCGAAAATGAGATGGAAAACGAACGGTGCAAAATACCCAGAGACTCCCAGACAACTTGCACTTACCACAGCACTGCGTCATAAAAACAAGTGTCATGTGTTCAGTTGCTGCGCTCCAAAAACAATTTGGCGAATTCTGAAAACGCGTCCTTTGAAAATGCGTTGTGACGTTCGAACTCGCTTTTCTTTTCTTGCTGGTTTGAGTTTGCAAAATCATTGCATAATCCTCTGTAATGTTTGGTTAAGATGTTAGTCGCATTTGGCATTTCATTAAGCCTTCTATGGTAGTGTTTTTATGGTTATTTCTTCTGTGAGGAGAGCTTCATATTTCCTTTTTATCACGTAATAGATGTTTTACAATCTATCGCGAAGTATCTTTGCCGGCAACTAAATTTGAGAAATATCTGCATTTTGATTCTGAGTGAACTGCGGGTTCCAAAAACTTATCAAAGGGAAGGAACCGTTGCGCAGTAAACTGGCCTCGTTCTTTTTATGTATTAAGCTGGTTTTGCCTGAATTATGAGATGAGCACGTGATGTCTGTTTTTGAATCCAGAAAATTCTTCTTAGTCAAGCTGCTGCACGTTCGTGAACCATGAATTTGGGATACAATTCGGTCTCGATATGGATTCGATCTGGCTCGTCGAATTGCGTATCGTAGCCAGACTGGATTTCCATCGGGCTTGCCGATCTGCGTATATACGGTGAAACTCGGGATTAGCCAAATCTGAATTTGCTGAGTTCGAAGCACCTTGTACGGGCATATGCATAACTGCTATGCTTCTCTTTGCCTAAGCCTCTACTTACAATGTCGTATACCCAATTACGAGCACTGTTTTGACTTATAAGAAGAACAACAAACTTCTGTGATGTTGATCTAATATTTAGCTGAAACCATAACTAGAATCATTGCGGTACATTGTGGTTAATCGCTGAGAATGTATGAATTCTCCTATCATCCTACTATCCAGCAATTGACTGCCCGCTATAAGCGAAGTATCGAATCTGGATTGTGTTCCATGAGCAGGACAGTGCCCAAAAACCTGACCGCTGTTTGTACCGCATTACCGAAACTGAAAATATACTACATATTGCACTCTTATCATCTGGCCTTATCGCACTTGCAGTGAAGACTCTAAGTCAGAATACATATCCGCATTAGAGATTTTCAGAAGCATGGGTCGCGGAGAACTCGAGGAAATATGCGATCGGTATCTTAGTCGAAAAGAGGAACAACAAAAAGTTACGGAGACAGTAGAGCGATGTTTGAAAAAAGGCTATGACTACGAGAAAATGAAGGTTTGTTTTTGAATTTGTCTTTGGTTGTCGATAATTTCTTTCTTTGAAGTCCATTACCAGCTGATCTAGGATCGCGTGCTTGGCGCAATTTCTGATTCTCATCGAGCTCACAAAGTGATATCAGCGATCTGCATTGCATATCCTCAGTTTCGGAAAAGGACAAAGGTGGGTCTTCCCTAATATCTTCAAGTGCTGCAAATCAAAATCAGACTTGGAACTTTACCCTTTCTCAACAAGTTCTTTTGTTGTAGTTTGAAGAGCATAAAGACGACTCGAAAAGAATCAAAAGAGAAAGAGATAGATCACATTCTCGTGAAAGAATAAGGAGAGATGATGACAGAAGAGACGATAGACACAAGGAACGTCGGCGGCGTGATGATGAGCTTAGCAGGAAGGAGTTGGAGAAGGTAAACGCATATTTTATATTTGTTCGCTATGATGATGTTATGGAACATTCTAGTTCTTTGTAGGAAAAGGAAAAAGAGAAACTGAAAAATCTCGCCAAAGAATTATATCAAAAGAAACTTGAAGAGGAAGAAGCAAAGAAGAATGTGGTCGTGACAGAAGAAACGCTCAGGTATGTCTGCCAAAATATATTTAAAGAAATAAATAAATTTATTTAAGAGCGAAAGAGCTGATGTACAAGGCTCAACAAGAAATAGAAGAACGGAAGCGACAATTAGGTCTAGCAGCAGCGAATCCAGAGTTGGGCGGAGTCACACCTGTTCCAGTTATGATGGCAAAAAATGTGGCTTTGAGACCACAAGAAGCTCAGATGTTTATACAGGCTTCCATGAACAAAAAGAATCGCGTGGAAGAACTCAAGGTTAGTCCTGCGTTTTTCTTTCGCAAAAATCCATCTATGAAAGAGATTTAGGCAAAATTAGCGAAAGCAACATCCACTATAAATTCTTTGGTACGACCTAATGCACCTGTCATGGCTCCTTTACCTGAGATGCCCCCAGGATTGTTGAAAGAGCGGGATGAAGAACCGGTGAGTTACAACCCCTCTTCCAAATCAAAATCATTTCTTTCTTTTCAGCGTCAAGAGGAAGAGTTTCTGGAATTCATGGATCCACGAATTACTGCACGTCCAGCGGAAAGAAAAAGAAAAATGTTTAACTTCCACGAAAAGGGCGAATTTGAGCAATTGGCGAATAAGCAAAGGGCTATGGCTAAATTGGAAAGGCTACAGGTAATTTATCACATTTGTGACTTCTATATCTCTTAGGCCTCAGACAGGGTTTATGCGATTTGATTGTCGCGATTCATTCGCGACAAGACAACTGTTACGAGTTCATTGCATGCCGACCAGCTTGCATTTCGGTTGTGATACTTTTCCAGCCCGAAATTTTTGAATGTGAAATGAAAATGAATGGAAATCGCGACGATCAAATCGCGTGAACTCTGTCCGAGGCCTTATACGTACAAATCTCGAAGTACGGTTATTTTGTTTTCCTTTTTTTGGGATCTATTTGTTTTTACGTGGAATATAAAAGCAAATTTTTTTTCGCTTATAGCTTGGATAGCTCAAACAAAATCTGTGCTGATTTAGGGCTCATGATTTATTAAGTCTTTCTCTTTTTACCTCCTGGATATGTCGTTCACAAATTAGCATCCCTATTTAGGCTGAAATTTCACAAGCAGCAAAAAGCACTGGAATATCATCAGCTGTAAAACTGGCTATGATCACACCAGCGGGTAAGAGTTCAGACGATGTTCCTGAAATTGAATGGTGGGACTCTATTGTGTTGGAAAGTGACAGGTATGTATTCGTTCCTACTGAACACCTTGCTAAATGCACTTGACTTACAGTTATGATGCGATTCCACGTACGGATGATAACATGCGATTCAAAGATACTATTAGTGAACTAGTTGAGCATCCTATCAAATTGAAACCTCCAACAGATCCAATGACTCCACAGTACCTAAAAGTATGTCGTTAACTTTGTGTTTTTGGTTTTTTTATAGGATGTCATGCTTAAATAAATATTCAGGTGTATTTGACTGCCAAAGAACGGAAGAAAATCCGACGGCAAAATCGTAAGGAAATGCAAAAGGAACGGACAGAGATGATTAGAATTGGACTAGCCAAGGCACCAGCACCCAAGGTAGATTACTTATCACTTATTCGATTGTATTTCCTAATTTTTATATATCTTTGTTTTGTACAGGTGAAAATTTCCAATCTCATGCGGGTCTTGGGAAGTGATGCCATACAAGATCCTACCAAAATGGAAGCACACGTCAGGAAACAGATGGCGGATCGTTTGAAAAAGCATCAACAGGTGCATACTTTGCAATGTTGTATCTGACACAACTATTATCGAAAGCCATTTGGAATTTGTGTGTCTTATTCTTTTTCTTTAGGCTAATTTGGAACGGAAATTGACAGATGAACAGAAGGCATTGAAGAAGACAAAGAAGATCGCTGAGGACACTTCCCTTGCTGTGAATGTGGCTGTATACAGGTAGCTAATGACGTGATTTTCTTTTATTTTATTTTATTCCGTTGCGCATTTGACTGCTTCTGGTGTTGAGCTGCTGATAGTCTACTTTACCCATTTTGAACGTATATATGATTAATATGTCTTCTCTACAGTATCTTTGCTTTTCTTTTATACAAAAGTTATAGGATCAAATCATTGCTGCATCCTGCCAAGAAGTTTAAAGTTGAGATGAACGCAAAGCAACTGCAAATGACTGGTGTCATCTTGTTACATAAGAATATCAATCTCGTCGTTGTTGAAGGCGGTGAGTGTGCCTCAATTTTCTTTTTTGATCTTGGTTGGGAAATTTTCATTCAGGACCCAAGCAACAGAAGTTCTACAAAAACCTTATGTTGAATAGGATAAAATGGGAGGATGAAGTGATTGGTCAGAAGAAAGATGCAGACAAAGATGCGCCTGGAGAGAGAAATCAGTGTCAGTTGGTAAGGCCACCTGCATTTTGTCTCGTCATCAATGTTTCTAGCAGTTTTTTCATCAAAGCTATGCCCCATCTCGAAATTTGTTCATTTAGATATGGGAGGGTCAAGTCAAACGGCGTAATTTCCGTGATTTCAATGTTGTTACAGCTACTATAGAAAAGCAGGTCAGCAGTTCTATAGCCATTTTCCAAACATCTACCATCTATACAACCGAAATATAATAGATCTTGCATTATACACCGCTCATATGTTATAGGCACGCGATCTACTGGAAAAGCACAATGTTGCTCATTATTGGGATGTCGCTTACAGCACAACGGTGCTTTTGGATGGTCAAGATCCTACCCCAATATGAGCTAATGTAACATAGGCTTTGGATAGCTTGGATGATTATATGTGTATGTGTGATTGTAATTCTGATTTTTTTTTATGTCAGTTTGTTTGTGATTGTTAAGAGATGAATATTATAAGTATGTGCCAACAGGTGAATGCATCCTTGACCTGGAAACAAGTAATTGTTTTGTTTCATGTGACTAAAAAAATTGAAGATAAAAACAAATTAAGATGAAGACTGTTACCGAAAAGTTGAAAGCGGATATAGAGATCTTGAAAAAACGGGTAGAAGCAAAAGAAGCGATACTCAAAAGCGTTTTTTCAAGCATTGAGGAGAGAGAAGAGCAACGCCAGCTGATCCATAAAGATAGCTTTTGACGCCTTTGGTACCTACTAATGCTGTGCCAAGATGGAATTTTAGGTTCTGTCAGTAAAACCTAAAATTCTTTCACCTGTTCCAAACGTATCGCTGGAACAGAGTTGGTGTGTTGGATTTGAAGATACGGTCTGCGTCTCGATTACAGCCAACAATACTGGGCAACACAGTGTGTGAGTTCTTCTTGCCATCTTCGCGAAGTTTTCTAGTAGTGATCCAGTCCTCGATGTCAACCATCGAAAAGGTTCTTCAAGGCTATTAAACTCTAGATACCTTCATTAACGCTTTCTTCATTTCTACAAATGGGTAGAGGAACGAATAAGATAAGTGCCGCGTGCTTCCGCGGAGCGGAAATGATCTCACCCGATCTCAGTCGTGACGCAGTTTAATATTCCAATTGTTTATAAGTGACCGTGCGCCTTCTCAGTGTGCAGAGGATAAGCATTCTCTCAATGTACGAAGGTTGCACAGACTATGCATTCGCGGTCTGCCCGTGCTGCATTTGCAGACTTCTGGCAGTATGCCAGATCGCGTGGCGATGGAAGTTGCTTGAGGTATGGCCAAGGCCTAAGGGATCGTCCATAAGTTGCCGGCGTTGCCGAAATTTCTGAGTTGCCGTTTCTGTAGGCGCCAGAGTTAGAAGATTACCTGCTTCAGCAGGATGCGGGCGTTGCTGTTGGTCAATACACCGTCCTGCCCATTAGCGAAGTGGACCAAACGGATCAAGTGGATCAGGCATGGCGCGTGCTCAGAGAGCGCATAACGTACACAGAGCACTATGAGATCCTACGACCCGGCAACTCTGGCAACAGTTGGGCTAGGCGACTATAGGGTAGAGGACTATATGTCGCCGAAAAAGGGCGGTCCCCGCGGTCATTTGCGACAAATACGCACTCTTGTACATGTGCGGACATGCGTTCCTGCAGGGAATCCGCGCGGGACTCTTCCAATTTCGGCGACATATAGTCCTCCACCCGCGACTATATGTCGCCGACAGGCTCCATCCCACGCGGACATCTGCTACAAATCTGTGATGTCTGTAATAGCATGGCTGTCCATCACGGATGTCTATGTGGGATCATCTCTTTCGGCGACGTATAGTCCTCCATCCAGTTGCGGGAAACCTATGGCCAATTTCTAATAGTGAATACACTTGAGGTTTTTGTGTGGACTAGGAGCAAGATTACAGGTCGACAGTAGCATGCATAGCAAACAAACAATTCTGCCGCTTTCTCGTACCCATGGAGGTTTATTCATACGATTTTCAGGACCCCTACGTGTCATCTACTCGAACCCAGTGTCGGCATCGTCAAGTATGTGGCGATAAACGAGCTTGGATCAGATCTACCATGTATCCGGTATGCTCGCTTTGAATTACCCTAATTTCACGCGTTAGGACGCGGGGGATTTGTTTGCTAAAATACAGCACAGGTACGCCGAAGGACTTCGCGACAAAAACCTATTTATATAGAATGCTGCGTATTGCCTGAGGGTATCGTGCGGCATAAGTCTCGTTTTCCGAAACACAACGAGGCGGCTGAACGGCACGCTTGAAAAACCGAAAAAGGTGCGTTTTATACGCGTGAAATTAGGGTATTTGAGTTCCAGTCAGTGGAATGCTCGACAAACAAAGAGTCTGTTGACTTTCTACTCATGATTAATAGCGCACAGAGCGACCGCAACTTTTTTGATTGCTAGGGAATCAAATAGCTTAGAAACTTTTCAAATGCCAAAGATTGCAAAGTGCTGTATATCCGATAGTCAGATTTCAGCGCAGAATCGTCTGCAGACGTATTGGTGGGATTCTCAAAGTCGACGTATTTTACGAGGGCTAGTGCTGTGCTTCTGCTCGAATTTCAGCCTGTTTCCACCAACAGGTAATCTACATCGTAACTGTAGTCGACGAAAAGCGATGTATGGGCGATTCATCGCACGCAGAGAAAGGACCCCGCTGTCGGCTCCTATTAAATCAAACGCGCTTTCATTTCTCCAGCCGTCTGTTGTCTCTCCCAAACACGTACTACTTCAACCGGAGGCAACATCAACCAGTCCCTGCGAGCGATGAATCGCCTATGTATTGGTCGATGAAGGATTTATTTACCTTGTGTAATATTTCATTTTTTCAATTGAAACTGTGTAAATCGAATTTCGCTTCAGACTTGACAAGGCTATTGCTTTGCCGCCGGACGAATCGATTTTGCATAAAGTGGAGACGCACACGATAAGTGTTTCTCCTCCTCGAAATTGGTACACGTTTGCAAAATTTGCAACAGCCAAGGAGCATGGTGAATAACTCTTTCGTTGCCAGAGTACGTCCTGAGTCTTCGAGTATGCAATTGCTTTCCAGAGATGTTGCTGTTACTGCGTTGTTTGAAAGTTGCCAGCCATTGTTGTGCTATTGAACCAACTTCAAGCTATGACTTTACAGAGGCCAATCCTGATTTTGGATGCTGCGATTTCGGTGAATGGCAGGTATCTATACTCTTGATAGTTTCTGAACTCGAACAATGATCGTAGCCACTAGCGTGTCACAGTCTATGCAGTCCAGGAGATTAAAGGCAGTGTCCGGGCAAAAACTCGATTTTGAGATTTTGTGCTTACCCGGGCCTATTCGCTATACTGAATCCGAAATTCCACATTGGAGAGCGCGAAAACGACGATAAAGGGCTCTAACACTGGAGGGAAATCAGCAAGTGGGCGGGGTCTTCCCCACTGTGAATTCACGCTCCCAGCTTCGGAGGCGACTTTGATTCCGGTTTCAAGTCATTCGTTTGCACTTGATCGGTAGTGATGTCAGGGCGGCTAACGGATTCGAGAAAATTGCTCTGGAAACTGGAGCGTGAATTCACAGTGGGGAAAGACCCCGCCCACTTGCTCATTTCCCTCCAGTGTTAGAGCCTTTTTCGTCGTTTTCGCGCTCTCCAATGTGGATTTTCGGATTCAGCATAGCGAATAGGCCCGGGTAAGCACAAAATCTCAAAATCGAGTTCTTGCCCGGACACTGCCTTTAACTATATAGTGTCGCTGCAGTGGCGACAACCTTTGCGCGCAAGCAGTTTTATGAGTACCGGCAACTAGTTCTTCCGCGTGAAAATATGGAGCGCACATTGGTTTACGCGCAAATGTTGTCTGCAATGCAGGAGCGCTATAATTGTGCAGCCTGTCCCATTCCGGATAAGGTCAAAATTGTAATGCCATCCGCATCGCACCGATTTTGCTTCACATTTACTGCTTGCTTGTCTGCTCTCCCGTAAATCCCTTTGCTTTCTCCGGAAAGGCGCATATGTAGCGCAAATACAGGCTGCGAGCGCGCAACTTTACGACAATTCGGCATGATCATTGGAACAGACTGTAATCCACCATGCTTGTTTCATGTTCATAGAACGTAGAACATAGAACTCAGCTACATCAATTTCAGGTATTTGTGGGGCACAGAATGATGGATGGTGTAGTTGCCATATCATCTACGTTCGACCAACCAAATGCCAAGATTGACCGCATTTATGGGAGGTAAGTGTGCGAACTGATTGCTAGTTAGGCCTATATTCTGCCTAACAACTCTCTTTTGCACTTGCCTGAGTGATTATGCCGTTCTAGGAATGCTGAATTACTGGAGCATTTTGCTCGCAGACAGTCCACATTAAGGACCGTATGAGGTGTGACCAAGAAATCAACGAAACTGTTTATATTATATGCATAAAAGACATGTACAGTGCTTAAGTGAAATGATACATGTGATTTCCGTCGCTAAACTTCCAAGTTTGGAATCAAGGACAAAAGTCACAATTGAGATCGTGAATACACTCCAAATATCAATCTAAACTAGATCACAATAGTCTTGTACTTCATCGGAATGAATGAATCGGTCAATAATCATCTGATTTTCGTATGGGAATGAGAAGATTTGAATTGCGCTCTCCATTTAGAGATCTTCATGGAAGGGGGGTGGGGAGGGAGTGGCTGGGTTCAACGGCTTCCAAGCACTGGTTTTTTATAAACACCGCGTTTTAGGCTGCAATAAGAGCTTTGTTCATTGAATAAGTGTCTTCTCAGCTGCTGAACCCAAGCATGACAGATTCTCTAGGAACATCAGTCGCTGTGACAAATAAGGTAATCTCAAGATTACAATGACAATAGCGTGGATTAGTGGGCGATGGGAACAAAGAGTGATTTCATCAGGATTTGGTCGAAAATTCTGTTGGTATTACTATCTATACACTCCTTGATCGTCAGTCTGCAAAAACTGCAAGCTCTTATCTGTGTGAGCGTGTTTACGTGGGTTTAGTAGCATAAATTACGGGTATCAACAAAATGTGAGGAGCAATGAAAACGTCGATAGAAAAATAACATAATATGCACATATATAAAAACCTTGATGAAGAGATGTGTTAGAGAAAGATCAGTTGAGGTCATCGTCGATCGTTCTCAAATTTTCCACCTCGCGGAGTGAATGATGCCGTTCGTTGCACGCTTCTGCAATATTCGATTTTGTAGACATTATGCAGATAATTTACGAAAAGGAAACAAGAAGCTACCGATGCGCGGCTGCGAATCCTAGAGCGTTGATTTGTTCGGACATCTCCACTGGTTGAGAAAGAGGGGATTTTCCGTTGTTGAGCTCTTCGAGATGATGAGAATAGCTTTCTGAATTTCTGTTATTAACATGTGGTTTCGATTTTTTTCGCAGTAATCTAATGCCTCAAGAATTTAGTAAGAATTTAAGTGACATGTCTTTTATCACATCGCTATTCGGGGTCCGCGAAACGTAGAAGCTTATAAGCGCTGCTTCAATTTGGTCTCCATTACGGTGTATTACAGTGAAAACCCTGAGATTTGCGCCATTGATTATGGAAATCTTGCCATAGGGAAATTATAGAATATCAAGAACTCTATCACTGAGCCAACTAGATTAGTCTTTCAGATAAAACTGATGAACATCTTCATAAAAATTATACTATTGCAGGCCACTCAAAAGTTATGCCAGGTATGATTAAACACTTGTTGCTTTAGGATTCCAAAGTTCGACTCTGTCATTCAATAACTTTAGGAAGATAAACGAAAATTGCTGGTCTTAGCATGTCACCTCAACATCCCGAAACATTACGAATTCACTTCTACAGAATCTAGAATAATTCCAGATGGCGGTATATCTCCGTACGATAATGTCTTGGAAGTTACCGCAGCTCTAACATTTAGAGAGTGATCTCTGTTTCTCTAATTTGAAGTTTCTTCTTTCATGAATGGGTTTAATGATGCACCTATAAATATACAATTCCTCCGCCGACTTCCTGCCACAGATACTATCCTGTTTTGCTCCACTCCAGCGCTACAGTACACTGCTACATCCTGAAATGGCCCATTCAAGATTCTTTTCTGCGGAAACTACTGGAAGGTCGTTTACCTTGCTACTCCCGTAAGCTGCATGCACCTTGATTCCCATGTCTGTGATATGTTTCAAGTGGAGCGATTTTTGCCTGAGCGGATCCGTTGAGAACGAAGGGTTGAACAAAAGGAGACCATGTGGAAAACAATGTTGAGCCAGCCACGCCGATACTACTCTTTGCTGCATATCCGGACGTGCTGTGAGGTAGAGAATCACGAAACCCTCAAATTGTGACTGCTTCATGAGTTGGAGCGCCCTAGGAGTGCGTGGGTGACCTACCAATTCATGCCAATATCGGACGGTGTCCACAGCTCCAGCCCGAACCCGTGGATCTCTCCCGCTAACGGAAACAGAAGCTGTTAGCGAGCCATCTACGGAGAAAACTACGCATTGAGTTGTGGTTGGAACGACCGCCACAAAAGAATCCAGGTATGAACGATCACCATGTACAACCATCTGAAATAGGACACTTACATAGAAGCTGAAACTGGTATCAACTCCTAATTACCACAGCTTTTCTCAAACAACGGATTGACTACAGATCTCACCTTGACGGAGTGAATTCCACATGGCAGTGAAGTTCCCAGCGATAACGCCAGGCGTCCATGAGAATCGGTCTCAAAAACGCCCACTTCATACCAGTCGCCTCTATAAAATGTATTTTGAAGGAAAGCCTAGGTTACGGTACGTTTTCTCATTTGAAAACTGATTGAGCGCCCTTAACCGTGTCCTGGAACAGAGCAGCCCAAACTACTGGTAGCCGAGAAATTTATCACTAAACTATAGCCTAGACCGTATAATTTCTAGCTTATTCGAAACACGACTGGTCCGCTCGGAAATAACAATCTGGGTTGAAGTGAAACTCAAATTTGGTCGCATACAAATCCTAAAGACTGTCGGCATAGACTAAAGTCTAGTCATGGTCTCATATCTCCAGTAACCACATAAAGAACCAGGTAACCAGGGGCGGTATGCATCAATCCCCCGTTCTGAAAGCGGGCGATCACCTTATATATATAGCTGAATGTCTGTCTGTCTGTCTGTCTGTATGTATGTCGTCTGTACGTATGTGCGGAACAGAAATTTCTATTTCTGAACCGATTTGGACCAAACTTGGCACACATATACTTCGGGGCAGGGAGCGTGTCATAGGCTACTTTTCGTTATCGATCGATATCGATTCTATCGATTTTTGCAAAATTTGAGCTACAGGGCTGGGAGTTGGCACAGGGGGGTAATCGAGCATGCTGATTACAAATATATTATTGACAGGCCCGGGCGGAGCCGGGTTTGCCAACTAGTTTTCAATAAAAACCATACATCACGGGTCGGGCGCCCAACCCGGCCGGGCAATCATTTTCTATTGAAAAAGACCGCCTGCTTTTGAAACGGGAGATTGATGCATACCGCCCCAGAATGATCATTGTCTTCGATGCTGTCGCAATGACAACACTCTAAGAATAAGTTGACGACAGAGTTCTTGTGCGGCTACGCTGGCTCTTTCAGTATTTCACAGAAAAAATTACCTCTGCGGACAAATAAAGGCGGAAACATTCTCTCTTGAAAGCGCAGTGAGATCCATCGGTCCATAGCAGAACTTTGCTGTTACGTTGAGTTCGTTACCGGCGACAACCAAGACATCATTTGCTCGGTGATTGGGAGACAAATTAGCAATCTAAAAAATTCTCTTTCGTCAAGATTCTTCACGATAATCAGAGCTCACCTTGAACCTTGTTCTTCTCCTTTTCCACTGCAAAGGTGGTAGCTCAATCTTCAAAGGAAGATTGTTCATGCTTGCTGACAGCGTCAGTGGTACGGTCTCTTCGCTTCTGACAAACTGTCGCAGTACAAAAGCCGCTGTATCCAGAGATTCCCAGTAGGATGCATGAAGAATGTTCGGGAGAGCTGATGACGGTAGAGCTACCATCGCTGCAAGAGAAAATTGGTCTTATCTCAAAAGATGGCGGGGGGGGGAGACATGCTGTACCTGTAGGGCAATACAAAACGTGGTCCATGCGCTTGTTACCCCATAGGTGGGTGAGATCGACACTAGAGTCGAAATACAGCTGGTGTCCATCACCTAATGGGTAGCGCTGATATCTGCAATTGTGGAGTGAGCAAAATTTTGGCAAAGTGGAATGCAAAAACAACCTCGGCACATTAGCTGGCTGCATAATACTCAAGTTTGGATTCAACACTGGCTCTAAGCGTGATCCACATGGATCCAGAGAATAGTACAGGTTAAATAACTGACATGATTCCAAAGCTTCTATGTCTGCAAATAGATAGTCTGCTTCGAGCTACAGTGCTTAGAATTTGCCTTACCATATCCAGCCAGTTTCTTCTGCATCAATACCAGTCCTAAAGGGCACCCAAGGAGAAAAACTGTAGACGGTTGGAAGTGAAGACGAGATTGCACCTTGGAAAATGTAATCCTTAGGATAACTAGGTAGGACATTGGTCCATGACTTACAGTTATGCTATCTATGGAAGCAGCTCCTATTGAGGGCTTTTTTCGAAGGCTCGGGCATGATAATGTGCTATTGTGATGCTGCACTTTCGGCGATTTATGATTTAGAGCTTCCGGGGAGGAATGGTTGGAGACCTTAAAATTCGACTATCAACCTTGAATTTCATCGTCTACCCGTCTATTACTACCTCATCGATGTCTTGTAAAGGAGTTCTTGCTCTGACACTCGGCTGCCTTGTAGGAAATTCGAATTTTGTCATTGCTTCGTAGAGCAAAAGGCCACCCATGGAATCACCCACAACAAAAATCTGCAGCGATTTCTCAGTAATGTTCACCAATTCAATGATCAGGTGCTCACCTCGCCATTGAACTGCGGCTGAGTCTCGATAAAGTCGCTGTAGGCTTCATTTGCTCGTCGTATTGTTCCCTCAATCGCCTATAAGAGGTTGTGGAATAAAAGTCTCAAGACTGTTACCGATCCCACCTCGAGGAAGAGATTTTGAGCGCTTGAAATAATAAGTGAAAGTGCCGGGAGAAGTGCTCCGAAAGAAGCAGAGATCGACGAGAGGCGATTGACGACGGGATCCAGCTCGGAACCACAATGGACTGTCACGACGTGGACTCGACCCCGCAGCTGTGGATAATGCCGTTGAACCAACGAATTTATGGTGGATCTCAAAGGAGACTGTGATTTTCCGGCGATTTACTGAAGGAATGAAGAAGTAAATCTCACTTGAACGTGGTCGTATCAGTGGCCTTGTCTGCCGGGTTGTCCGGGCAGAATTCCCCATGAAATACTATCACCAACAACGCTGTATTTGCTCCTGCACTTGGTGTTAGTGGTGGCGAGTCTGGAATACGAAACGTGCTAGGAAAAAGCTTCTCAGATTCTATGTAGCGCTTACGTTCATCCGCAATTTCGAGTTCTAGTTCGGAGCTCCATCGAATAATTGATGGCTTGTGTTTTAGGGATGAACCATCGCTACAGTCAAAATAAATGTCACCCGATGATGCGTCATCATCTGACTCTTCCTCGACAGTATCGGCCCTAAATTTGTTCGCTGCTATTTTTATGGAATTGAAAGTCACTTCGAGTTTGATAATATTTTAGAAGGTTAAGTTTGAAGAAGTGATGCAGGAAGGAGGAGGGGAGGCGAAAATATGTTCTGAGGTAGACGTAAGAGTTGTCTCGGCCACAAAATCGTATGAATCATGCATGTGCAAGGGCTAGGCTGAAGCCTCTTAATCAGTTGCTGTGTTTACCAGTATCCGATTGTTCAGGCGCTGTTTCAGTCTTATGAATGAGCGCTCGATCGGGCGATTGGAGCATCAGCTTATAACAGTAACGCCCGATCGACAGACTGGTAGATATCGCCTCTGTTTTGCGCACATTCCTTTCCCTTCCCCACTTCCCATGCCCTAAGCAGCTAAGGAACTCTAGAACTCACTCGTTCGTCATCACAGCTGCTAGATGCTCAGCGGCTTCCGCTTCTAGCCTTCTAATGTCAGCCATTGTTAATCCTACCCACTCGTCTTGCCATGCCCACGCTTGCCGATGCGCACGAAGCATCGTGTTTCTCAGTGCCAAGTCGTGAATCCAACGTTCTGCACGGGTCTGGAATCATTTCTCAACATCACGGTCTTAGTTAGGATATGCAAAGATTACCTGCATCCCCCAGTACCGAAACTCCACTTTGCAGATCTTATAAGCACACATGACAGGCTTTCCTGGTTTGGACAGAGCAGTCAGAAGGAGAAAATTTCACCAAAAGTTGCACCAACCTGCCTTTACACATTCCTCTACCCAATTATCTGTCAGTGGGCCTCGGCCAGTCTTTTGACTACTGTATATTTTTGGATCCTCTTCAGGACAGTAGTCATGGGATGCAATTGGATCCTAGAAAGAAGAAATTCGTACTGTATAAAAGTTGTCTTTTCTATGACTTTCTTTATCAACCTTAACGAAATCCATGACGTCCACTATCCGACTTTTCAACTCTTCCGGAGTTAATTTGAAGACGTTGTTCTGGGTACCAGAGTCATTACAGTAGACAGTTTCCACTTCCAGGCTGAATCTGTCCATCATCGGCGTTGAATACCTGAAAAGAGACACTTTCATTGTAATTTTTTTACCCAAAAAAAAGAGTTCCAGCGCACTTTTGCACAGTGTTACTTTAGTTTTCTGCGCTCTGTGTAGAAAACTATTTGACTTTCAAGTTAACTGCAGGAAGCCAGTTTGGCCAAACTGTTCTTGCTTTTTTGCTTGTTCGGATATCTCTAGTCTTTTGCCCCGAAGATTATGAGCGCAGCGGAACGAAATCCGTGATAAATACTCAGTTGCTGATTTACTGAGAAGACTCGTGTATCTAAGCAACGTCTTGAATCACGCCCCTCTTCACTTGGGAATTCGATAAGCCAGACCGCTTCCGAGAGCAAACAAATAACAGTGTCATGATTTGAAAAAACATTCCATCCCAAAAGTCATTCAGAAAGGACATATTCTGATCGAAAAAAAACAAAAAGTTGTGAGCACAACTGCGAAGGATAATACAATGAGCCACTATACGTAAATAACTTCCTTTGGCTGCTGTTTGGGAAATAGTTGCCTGGATATTTTTCTAAACATAGATGCAGATTGTTTCCATACTTTCCATTTGACTTTATTTTTTCTCCAGTTCAGTGAGCTTGCCCTTTATAAAGTCTTTCCAGCATCTCTCATACCCGTAAAGTTTCCCTAATCTTTCTCTTAACTTCTTAGTCATCTATGGATATCATCTATGGATATTTCTTCCTTTCCATCCCAATAGCAAGGTTCTTATACGGGCAGCCCTCAGATGATTTTCTCTTTCGATTTGGGATTAGCAACATGTTTCTTCGCCATCAACTTTCTCCCTAGAAGAGCTTCATCTCTAGAATTAGTAACTGACATTTTTCACAACAATTCCAGTGTTGCTTTAAGATAATTGTAGCAAGAGTTCAAAAGCAGTTTGGAAGGTCTAGTTGAAAATTGCTATCGTGACCCTTAAGTCAATTTACAGGATTAAGTTTTGCTGGCATTTTGTCCAACTCCAACTGTTGCGAAGATCCAACGCTAGCCGCATGTATCCAGGAAATTGCTAATCTACATTCACGTCTGTCTAGGCTTCTCTTGGAATACAACAGACGGCTTTGTAGTATGTGTAATTTTGCTTTGCAAGCGTGTTGCCCATTAGGCGCTGTTTTTCAGCTGCGCGCATACGCTTGCTAATTGCTTACACAATTTCAACACCATATGGCCAATATGTGCAACATACGTTGCTGAATTTCGAGTGGAATTTTTTTGGCTGCTCATTCCGTAACAAGGCTGAATGGCAAACCCAACTTCCTCCTTTGCCCTCAAGCGCAACATTTGCCGGTCCATTTAACAGACCGGAAGACCACAATGGGCAATTAGCATTGTTAAGGGTTTTTGTCCCAACACACAAACAACATACCAGGAATAGAATTGAGCATTGTCAAACCATGCAGAAAAAATGTTAAAACAATGAATTTTTCATAAGACTGACGGGCTGACATGTTGTACATGCATAATTTCTTCGATATCTGACATAAGACTGTAGAGGTAAAGATATCGTCTATTATGAGACTAGGATATCCGAGCATTTGTCTTCTTCCTCAAAAATTTTAAGTGTTGAAAACATTTTGAACCCTAAAAATGCGCCTATAGGTATCCATCTAGCAATAGGAGATCGCGCCTCTTGGCATACATACCCCCCCCCCAAAAAAAAAATGTCGCGCACATTTTTTTAAAAGCTGAAACATGTTTCCTCACATATTTCAGGTAGGAAATTATCCAAAATGAGTTGTACAAGTCCGAACTTGTGAAATAGACGTAGTACGCAAAGAGTCTCATGTATCTGTCTGATGTATGTATAATTAATATATGAAGAATCGTAAGCGCAATTCAAAAACCATCAGAAAGCGGGAAACCGAGCGGGTCCCGAAGCGAGCACGTCTTCTAACACCTTTGAGATTACTGGTTCACTAGTCCTAATCTAGAGATGGTGAATAGCTTAATCAGCAATTTTTTGAGCAGCACAAATTTTCCGCAAATAGAATTAACTACGTATTGTCGAATGCCTGTATGACAATTTTTTGAACTAATCGAGTCTTCAATATGATTTTCGCGGATGTGTTGGAGCACTGCCCTTCTGAGTAAAGTTCAAAAATCCGTCCGAAAACCGCAATTCTTTCTGACATAATGGCACAGATTGGCTGGGCTCACAAATTGCCTTTGTCACCTCATCGAAGCCCCAATGGAGGAGACTCATTAGTATCCATTAGCAAATCGATCCAGAGTACATGTCCTTGACTGAGGAGTTGGAATGTGCGAGGTTTCCCATATAAGTAGAGATATGAATAACTTACCTCGTTTTCGTGTATGGATAAGCATTCCAAGCTTCTTCATGGGCTTCAAGTGCACTTGTTGGCAGAATGCTGCGAATCCAAACTGAAACAAACTCCAAACTGAGCATAAATTCGCAATCAAAAATATTTTAATTTAAAAAAATTTCAAAAAATCCCCTCAAAATCTTTCTGCGCTCGAATTTCGGCGTAGTTAGTAACTTGTTATTGTTTTTCTTAAATAAGCAAAAGCCGGAGTGCAAACTGCAAGACGCGCCGCCGCTCGCGCGGAACATGTCAATCATTTGTCAACCCCGCTATTTTCATGGTAAACTGATGGCACTGGTGATGTGAACGTGTTTGCGGTACTTTATTTGCGCATCATAGAGTATAAACGGAGAATCTTGTCTGGAGCATATTGGCACACTTTGAATCGCATTATTGGTTGTATTTTTCGACTCAAATTTTTGTGGTATCAACATCACTGCAGTGGAATAGATTTCCTCAAAAATTTGTGCAGTTGCACATTTTTCAGGACCGAGCTAGCTACGAAGCCTGCATTGTTTTTTTTGAGTTTTTCTTACTATTATAGGCACAACTGTGAAAAAAGAGTGGATGAGTGATACATGTGTAACATGGGACCTGCGCTTTCATGGCCAAAATCCGAGAAAATGTGCAATTGCACACACTGGCGAGATTCTATTTCTGCGACTCTTAGGCCTAAGACATACCTTACGCGATTTGACCAAATCGCGACGTCCACGCGACTTAGCGTTTTGCCAAATTTTCACAAATCCGTCATGGGCGATTTTCAAATGCATAGGCATGTAGCTTTAGTAAGTTCTTGCAAACAGATCAGGTCCTGTCTAAACAAAGGGCGGTAACGACCAGTTACGAACAGTCGCTTCCGTGCCGAATCGCTCAGCGACTGAAATCGCGTGAGGTATGCCTTAGGCCTTAAATTGATGCTTCTTCCCGCCTGTGCGACGAAAATGTATTTTTCATTGTTGAGAATGTTTCTTGTTGATTCGCAATCAAATTTGCTTGATCTCATACATTCCATCAGACCTGATGATTCATGATGCAGTAATCTGATTGACTTGCATATCAGCGACAGATTACACGAACATGCTTATTGTTAGATAAGAACCCAGATATTCGAAACATTTTTACGAATCATAATTCGCCCAAAAAATCGCACTTAATGTTATCTCATAAAACTACTGTGATAAGGTCTTTCATTCAGCGATGGGTGTCATAATCGTAACTGGAGCCATAAAAAAGCAACAAACCTGGTATTTTACTACCAATATGGTAGATTTTAAACGTATATTGTCCCGAACCGCCTGGACCATCCTTATATGGTTTATTGCTAAGGATTTCCACACCGCTATCTTTGCCATGGGAATCCAGACGACTTTTTTTCTGTAATACATACATATAAGCAGATCGTCAGACATCACATTTACGGAGCCATAAAGCTATTTTCTCTCACAATTTCAGCTTTTATGTCTGCAATTTCTCCTAAAAACTCGCCAAAATGTATCTATTCTCAAAAACGAGCAATATCTTTCCGCTGTTTGAATGATTGCGTCAAAATTTGAATATTTCACTTTAGTACTAATACTCAAGTTCTTATATGTATTCAAAGACTCAAACACTTTGCAACCCACGCAAAATGAGTTCGGATATGATGATGGTAGCTTGCGAAGTTCAACATCCATCCCTCAGAAGTACAAATGAACGATTAGATCTCGGTGCAGCATAAGTTTATCCCCTAATGATGTACAAAGTGCCAAAATAGGGAAATAGGGGGATGTGGCTCGCAACTAATTTACGACTAGTGTCCCAACAATGCACTTTTCACATTTGGCCCTATTGTTCGAACGCAAACACGGAATTCATGACAATGACGGCTGTTCGGTTAGCCAAATTGTCTCCTAGCTTTCTCTTCAAAAATGGAATGGCTAGAATGTTTATGCGGACTTCGAGAAGTGTAGCAGAGAGTGCGAGGAAATATTAGAATATATTAGCAGTGCAATACCCGCACACAAGCACTCAAAAATAAAGCGAAAGTGTCTTTATTCTGTGGCAAAGCCACAGCTTGTGCATTGCCAGCGTTTCGTCGTCCGTCTTACGACTCGGCGTTGCAGCCGCTCCGCCGCGATGTACGCAACTTGTGCATGTTTCTGCATCGTTATCCAGAGTAGCAAACATTTAAAACACTATTACTCTTTATAAAGGCTGATTTTGGAGAAAGAAAAGTTTTTTCTGTCGTTCATAGAGTCGCCCTTAATTAGTAATTATTGAAAAGCGTTAAATTACAGGCAGAATAAAGTACAGTACCCCATCCTTTTCCCCCTTTATCACAAAATCACAACCGACAAACTTGTACCTACAAATCACAGAAAAACCCCTCTAGTTGCAGATGCACTTGACTTGCATAGGAAATTGATATGCATGCTAATTAGCTCTCATTCTGAATAGTCTATCAGCGAAGGGAACATAAAAAACAAGCGAGAAATAATTGTATTTGCGAACGAAGCCTGAAAATGCTTATTAGCAGTAATCAGTAATCGAATCTGCGGCGTCTCGGGTTCTTCTGCTGCAAAAATTCAGCTGAGTGTTCATTTGCAGCTGCGGCTATTTAGGGTTGGTGCAAAGAATTTGAGAAAAAATTGCAGATGCATTAATGAGAAATGAAGAAGCAAAAAGTGGTTAATCATAAGGGAATGCAGTTGCAGATGGGTTGAGCAGATAATAAGCTTTCAGAACTTTAGCTAACAAAAATTGCCTCTTTTATACATTTTCTGTTTCCTAACCATTTTTCGAGAAATTTAGATGCCTCAAATGAATCAAGTATTCTGGAGTTTTATGCAGTTAGACTAAGCTGTAAGTATTTCTATCATACGCCATAAGCAAATTAATGCCATAAACGCACTTTCAGGACAAATAAATAAATAAATAAATAAATAAATAAATATGCAGTCTCCTGCCGCTCAAAGGTTGTTGAAGGCACGAGATTTTTTGAAATTTCCAAAATTCCTCCAGTTTTCTTTGGCATGACCAAGTAATTAGCCAAATAGGATTAGGCTTGTGGTACTTGCTTCGTACATGGAAGTTAGTCTTCGTAGACGATGGGCGAGAAAAAAGGAATCCACAGCAAGTTTCGCACACAATCTTCTAAATTTCCAGCACTTCACTGCTTCGGAGACAAGCTATACTTCATTTATGGCCAGCTGCAGATATAATTACCACTTAAATAGTGACTATGTCATAATAAGTCATAATGGTTACGTTTATGGTTTCGCGACAATAAACATCAACAATTTTGCTTCTGAAAAAGCTCTGAGAGTCTAATGATGGCCCGTGCTAAAATTAGAAATCTCGGTCTTGCTTGGACTTCTTTTGAATGCAAAAAGGAAGATATGCATTGATACAACTACTTAAGCCAAGTGCTTTATGCATTATAGAATCTGCAACATCATCAACACTTACAAAATTATAGCAAAATTAACAATTTACTTTTTTCCTGAATTCATTAGTCAAAAGTCGTATTTTATGCAGAAATGCAGCCAATTTGTAACTTCTTCAAGATGAGATGTTTGGAATATCTTCCATATAGTCACAGTTGTCGACATACAATCATGTACATTTGTAAATATACTTAAAAAGTCCACAACTACAAAACTAACCATTTTTCTTTTTTCAGAAACAGTTTGTTCTTCGAGTTCATTGATCAATTGCTGATTTCATAGTAGCTTAAATTAGCAAGAATGTCGACATGATATTGGGCAAATGCATATCGATAGAATGTCGACATAACATTCAGCAAATGCATATCGATTGCTTCATGTCACTTTCAGCTTTTATTTATTGAGACAACGCTCTAATCCTCGCTTAGTCTGCTTCAGCTGTCACTTCAGCGTTTTAGTCGATTAGAGTTTCACCTGTCATTTCCGTGAAAGCACTTAAATCGCGTAAACGGATAAAATTGATCATAATTCTAGGAAATTATAGAAATTACGCTGACTTTTATCTTATCTGATCTGTATGCCCATAATTTTTTTTCCTCCAAATTTCCGAGAAATCTATAACAAGCAACGATTTTGTGGAAATTGAGCAATACTTTTTTCTAAGGCGGGATCTTTTTCAGGACTTTAACGAGCATTTTATATTAGTAGCTAGTCGAGTTTCATTCAGTTGGTGAAGAATGATTTTATGATCTTAGCCATAGTAAATGCTATTTGAAAACTGGTTTCATTTGTGCAACGTGAACCTAGCAAGTGATTGTAATGATATAGTGTCAAACAACCGTATAATTTGCGGCATTCCTACTGAATCTAGAGTATATAATTAGAGCTAGACAGTGAAACACGGTAAATTATACATGGTGAAATGATTATATGGAAACAAATTCATGTCATGCCTCTGTTGCAGATTGCTTAGCAAGATTTTTCTAGCATTTGAACGAAAAAACACATTGATGGATCGTTCAACACTTTTATTCAGGCCTATAGTTAAGACCGACTCATTACACATAAATCAAAGGTAGCTCTTCAATATATTTTGTGTGCTGATAAACTAGTCTGATTGATTGGTAGCTAAGAAACCAAAGATCGAAATTCAAGAAGAAATCTAGTATGGAAAGGAGATGGTTTTGCCTTACCAAACGTTCTCGAAGAATTTTCTTTTTAGCAATAGATATTTAAAAAGGGCACTTTGATCAACGTAGTTCATAATAAGGCGTATATCGAAAATGCTCGTGATTGAAATTTGTGTAAACCTGCAGAATGATGCCATAAATAGAGTTACGATCATTCTTCTAAATAAGGCATTGTTGCGGAGGCTGAGAATTACACTTCAGATTTTCTATTTTCTATTTCCATGTAATGAACTCGTATCTAGTAATACAGTACAATGATTTCTTTTGATAGCATATCGCTTTAGCGATGTATCGATTTATGAATGTGAAGTCAAATAGTTTGTCTTAGATGTAATTTAGTAGCATGATATCAAAACCCTAAAAGAAGTGATTATAATCGCTAAAAATTATACAACCTCAAAAAAAAACGCTCTTAACTTCATGTTCCATGATCATCTTTCCGTAAATCTTGGCATTTTCAAGATATTAAAGATAATCATAAGCAGTCAAAAGACATAACTTCCTTTGGAAAAACATAACAAGTAGTAAAGAAATTTGAAGTCAGCATCTCAAGTCCTTCTTACTTCTTTTGATTAACATCACATCACGACTGGCCACCACGAATTCTTTCCTCGTATATTTTGTGTCCTAAATGCTGCGTTCACGATATACGTAAAATGCATGAGCGTCTGCTACGAATAACTTTTCTTTCGTAATCAAATTTTCTTCACGATGCTCGCGATAAGCTCTTCCCAGGTTCAAAGGAAGCCGTGCATTCCGCAAACGGCTATCAGTTGCCGCTCAGTACACACACTCACTCCTGAATGAGAAGAGTGAGAGTTTGTGAGTGGGGCGAGGGAAGTGTTGGGGAAGGATGTGAGACGTTTCCCACGATTTCTCGCCCAGGGCGTCAATCATCGACCGTCGGGGAAAACATAATCGCTATGTTTGCTGTTATCATGCGGCGATAAATGCTCTGTTCGCAAACGTAAGTGACAGCGAACAAGACAGAGACATACTTCATCGGGGAAGAGGGGGGGGGGGGAGAAAATGCAACGGGGAGAATTGTTTTCGGGTATGCCTTGACCCACATCCAAAAAATTATTTGAAATTTCCGCGGCGAAAGAGGGAAGGCTGCCTCCAAAACTAGTTCTCACGCACTTCTTCTGCATATTCTGGGGATTATGCACCGCGGAGGAAAATATAACGGCGAAAGGAAATAAAACTCCCACTGCCGGAACAGCCGCACTCGTTTTTCTGTTCATGGAAGTGATATTTGGCTGAGTTGCACGGCGATTTGGTGCATTTCGGGAACTAGCAATGAGAATTTGATTGATAGATAAGTAGTCTCAAAAATGATTTTTGACTCACTGTAATTCCGCAGAAAAAGTTCTTGACATATTTTTGAACGATTACGGGTCAGATTAGAGTGCAAATCCTACATTGATACCCATTTTGTTATATGATCCCACTAATCCTAACTGTTACGAAATAAAAGGGCTGGCCTGAACTTTGGTAAAACATTGCGATGTTCTGAAAAATCTTTATGAGCATTGCTCTGACGTAAGTATGTTAGTTTTGTCGAAGATTATCAGTAAGATAAATCGCAGACGAAAGAACGTTTGGCTGTCAGTAGAAATTACAACAAAAGTATAAAATTTGGAAATTTCTAGAAACGACTAGAAAATAGCAAGACGTAACTTCGGCGAACTTGAACACAGAAAGCGACATTTGTTCAAGGTTAACCAAACTTTGCGAAATGCATTGTAAATGTCACAGCTGGAAGCAAAATTCTTTTCAGAAGAAAAATCCTGTTCTACCGTATAAACTTTAGCAAGATACTAGAATCGATTAAAATAGATTTCGTGACAGGAATTTGACAAAGAGCAATGAGAAGTCACAGAAAAAAATCACTATTGTGAAACAACAATCCCACAATGGGGGCGACAAGAAAAAAAACCATTGACTGTATTAGTGTCTGAATGAATGAGAGCGATGGGACTGATGAATGGAATTGGTAGAGAAAGGAACATATGCATGAAACTGTAATGTAGCGATTCGGATGCAAAATAAGATTGAGGTAAAGAATGATTGTGAGGTTTTGAAGAACAACTCGCCTTGAAAATGACCTTCGAGAGACGGAGGGTCATAAATTTCACGGCATAATACCGCTTGGTGCACTTCTCTTGCAAAAATTATGGCCAAGCAGTTCAAGAGAATTCCGAATTTATGAAGCAATCCTTTATTTTTAGTATGTTGCACTAATGATTGATAATGAGTCAGAAATCATAGGAATGCGGCTCCAAGCTGATAAAGCGGTCTTGGACCAATGACCACTTCAAATTAGACGAATCGAGGTTTAAAAAATGGTGGGAAAGATTCTGATTCTATGAAATTTGGAGGGCTTTTACTTGACCGAAAGTGCAAATATCTATTGAGGAGAGATTCTGCAAATGCAAAAAACGAGTGAAAACGAGAAGTCAAGTTGTTTGGGCAACAAGTTCAAGGGCATGTGTTTATGCACGAGCAATTGTTTTTCTTGCAGTGTCGAGATGAACTTTTACAATGATGCGAGGTGTCAGGTTTGATGTCACCTGCTGCCAGAGTAACTTATTTTCAGAGTTGAAAAGTGGAATTAGTTCACTTGAAACCCTTGGAAAAAGATATGAGAGGGTCTGATGAGAGTTTTTGGGAAAATAATAAAAATGTACCATTTATTTTGAGCCCTAGGGACTAATAAACTTCGCAAACAATGTCCGAACAGGCTTGATCGTGTGGTTGACAAGTTTATACCTGTGGTCTATCTCATCAAGAATTCATTATTATTTGACAGGAAAAAACAAGTTGAATCTTGTTTAGACAATCTATACAAGGCGAATTCGAGTCTGAAAGTCGTGAAAAAAGGAACAAATGATAAGAATCTATTAAATTCGAATTAGACAACATTGGGACAGCAGTCAATGAAATTATTTTTTATCAGCCGAAAGACAGATTGGCGAGTTTTTGTCTCTCAAAAGTGGCGACAATGAGCTGAGTCAACAATATGTGCACAAATATGTTTGTGATACTGGAATGGCATACCATTTCCCCACTCATTTCCGCTCCGTAAACAAAGAGGTCGGGGCAATAACACGGCGATTACGAACCTGTATCATGTACAACTGCGCGATGCGATACTCCTCGACGGTCAGCGGCAGGAGTATCCGATACTCCTTGACCAGCATGATAGGAGTAGTCAGACAGTAATAATCGTATCGCAGTGTGTTCGCCTCGAATCTGCGACGTCATGACGTCATGTCGTGAGGGCTGGCACAACTGGAGGAGGCCCGAGGCGGCGGCCCATATCTGCCGTCGTCGCCACGCCACGCCCTGCCGTCGCCGTCGCAGCCGCGGTGACGGCAGGCCGCGCCCCTCGCGCCGCCGCGCGCGTCGACGAGCATACGCGCACGCGGCGGCGGCGGGCCGAGCGAACGCGGACGCTCGCTGGTCGTTGTCCTCTGATGAGCTGTGTGTCGCGCTAGTCGACCGCGAAACTGCGCTGGTTTTCGATCCGCGATTCACGCACGCCGCAGACCCTCGCCGCGACTCGTTGGAGAGCAGAACACGAACAGCTGGCAGAAGCACTCGACGTCGACGGCGAGAAAGAGTTACTTGCACCCCGAACGCTCTCGAACTCTGGCTGTGATCCAGTGTGCTTTGTGCTGCGGTAAACAAATGGCTCAACGGTGATTTGAAGTTCCTGACAATGACACTTCGCGGATCAACAGTCCGGTTGCACTTGCCTCGTGATTATTTGAACGGATGAAAGTAATAGGACAGCAGGAACAGGAGCTTACTGAGTAGTTCCCAATTCGCGCAAAACAGCAAATTTACTCTAATTTAACAATCCTGTTAGATTTTGAACAGTGCACTTTTAACTAATCTATATTTAGAATTTAGAATTTTTATCTGGTTGAACCACACACGAGGTTGACAAGTGTTTTATTTATCATGCATCCCCAGAATTGTTCCCATATGAGCCATCAACATGGCTGCCTTTCGATCATTTTGACACGTTAACCCCAGTAAATTCAAGGCGCTTATTCGAAGTTGACTTGTTAGAATGATCGGAAGACAGCCACATTGATGGTTTATATGTGAAGAATTCTGGGGGCACCATACTTCGGCTCACATTTCGGCGGTCGCCTTCGTCAGAGCGTGTACGACTTTACACGAAATAATCCTAAAAGATTTGTATAAAATAATAATATTATGTTCGAGTTATGCTAAAATCTATTGCTGATCTCCCAGATAGTCTACCAACCCTGAGAGATAAAAAACCTGGTTAGCTTAGAAGTGTTCACGCAAAGTACGCTCTTGAATAACGCCTCAACACCATGCCTTGCGTATTCCAAATTCCAAAAATTATACTTAAAATATCTTTACCTTAAGAATTGCTTGGGTCTAAAATTTCGAGGGCTTGAATGTCCTTACACACAAGAATTAGGTAGTTGTTTTCGTTGTGTTGGCTGGCCATCCTATCCATGCTCCACTGAGATCGGCACAGAAATTCTCACCTAATTTTTCACAATCTTTTTTGCCTATAATCAAAGTTTGACAGAGCGAGCACATGGCGAGTGGATGACTGATGTTAGTTAGTGTTTTTCAAGTGGTGCGAACATTTGCCTACCCATCGTTATAACCCTCATTAATCATGCATGACTTCGATTCCACTGCAGGTGTGAAGACGTGTAGGTATGAAGCAATCTCTGCACTTGTAAATCAGCATTGCTTCTCATCAATTTGAACAAAAAAATCTTAATGCTTGATGTGCAAATTGTTGGTCGAGGATAAACGTATGATAGGGTCAGATTGCTCCATGAGTCTTGCGCCAAAAAACACTCGAGAAGTTTAATTGTACTTTCCCGTTATCCGGATCCATTTTTCAAAGAAGGATATTGCTTCTTTCCTTGTGCCATATTTGGTTTCAACTTCACAGAAAGGAGTTTCAACCTTCTGACACGTTTCAAAGAAAATTTGACATGTCCATCTTCATGTTTAGCAGATTATACCTAGAGTTTGTATTGCCTTACCTAATGAAGTAAGTTTAGTCTGTTTTTTTAGTCAACAATAACCCCTTTTTCGAACTAAACAACTCCAAATGAACACTATTATAATAACAACGTTATCCTGTTATCATTGAACAGATTCGACTTGTCCAGAGTAGAGAATTGCGCTAGATTTTCATCATCTAGGATGCGAAACGAGCATTGGCGATGTACTTCAAGCCATCATTCATAGTCTTTCCTGGCTAAATTCGCATGGGGATAAGGTTTGAACAGAAGGACGTTTTTGACATTGCTGAGTATGATGTATAATGAACAGTATGATGTTCTGTTTCATGTTCGTAATTGTTTTCCTCTTATGGAAAACAGTTGAACAGCTTTTGGGTGATCACAAATGCCCTTTTAACTTACCGACACTAATTTAGAGAAAAAACATTTCACAGTGGACCAAAACGTGTCAATTTTTTTCTGAGAGTTAGCAGGGAGGCAGTCCTCGAAGAATCTATGAAAAAATGTTCTCAAATTAAATAGCGTATTATATGGGAGGCCTTTGAAAAAATGGGTCCGGATAACGTAAAAGTCCCGTTTACTTTGAAAATTTTCCCACAAAAGTGTCGATCTATACAATTTTTGTAATGTACGCAGCAAATAAGTTCTATGTTTGAAAACTTCATTCTGAAAATGTTTCAAGACAAATTTCAATTTATAATATATATTTTTTGTAACATATCAGATTAAGTAGTGTTCTAATCCACTAGACATACAAGAGATCTAAACAACGAAGTGTTGACTAGGTAAACTGGATACCTCCAGTTGTTAGAATTTTTCTCTGTGTTGAGTGAATTGAAATCGCAATCAAGAATAAAATCAAAATTTTACAGGCTTTCAAGCATTTTTGAGAATTGTAAAGAATACAATTCGACCGTTTTATTTACCAACTAAATGTCAATATGGGTTTCTGTTTGGGTACATCTAGCAAGCGTATAACTTTTTTTTGTAAACGATAACGACTGATTTTGGTGAATTTTCATAAACTAGGGGAATTACAATTTAGAAGTTTTGCACATTTTGTCTGTTTGACAAGCTTTAAATTGTTCTTTCTCTAATTTCAATCATCAAAGTCCGAAATAAAGCAGATCACAGGACTTCGTGCAAAGCTTTTACGAGTCTCTAGTCTCGGAGTGCAATATTCTGTAGTCTGGTAGAAATTGCTCATAAATCCTGAAACGTATTTTTATTGTGCATTCTTTGGCCTAATTTTTCTTTATCGCTGAAAGACTTCTCTTAGTGCACGTGCCATCGAAATGAGCCGTCAACACCCATTCGTCAACGTGATTTAATTACTGTTTCAGACCCAAAAAGATTCTCTGAGGCGCTAAAGTACATTCGTAAAGAGTTTTTGCAATTTGCTGAGAGGAAATGGCTCATCGCTAGAGAGCACAGAATTTATTCAAAATAGCAGAGGGGCAGTCTAAGGTCAAAAGGGTCTTGTCTCCTTCCCTATTATTTATTTTTGAGCGGGGACTACGAAATACCTATTTTAGGTTGAGTCAAAAATTCTGTCGCTTTGATTTTGGAAAATTCGTAATTGCTTCCTTTGTGAAGGCATTGAATTACAAAAAGTATATTCAGATAGAAAAATTCATGCAAAAAACGTCATTTTCGCCATTTCTTGCATTTTTTACAAAAATCTAACCCTTTGTAGAAAAGCTTATCAGCACAACCTTGGCACCATTGAGAAGAGGAGCTCGCAAAACCTATAAAAAATATTCCAAGATTTCTCTGCAGCGCTTCAGATTTATGACGATTTATTTTCAGAAATCACGAGTTTGAGTGGTTCTCCTATTCGAATTTTTACTTCTGAAGTTTTTTTGTCGTCAAAGAGCGGCGAAGACGAGGTCAGAAAGTAGATGATTTCTTCTATCTAAAGGTTTTTTTGTAAGTCAATACGTTGGGAGCAGTCACGAATTTTTTAAAATCAAAGCGACAAACTTTTGAATGAACCTAATAATAGATGCATCTTGAATTATATTTTCCATGTTAAACATCTGCTTCTCGGTTACAATAAATTTACGAGCACTTAGCAAAGCAGAAATCATTGTTCTTGAGGATATATAGCCAGTTTGAACATCGAGATACTTAGTTTTTCTTTTCGTATGGTACAGCTGTCATTATTTTTATCGCTGTCTCCAGTTGGCACGGTTTTATGTTTCAGGAATAAAGTTTCAGTGCTGCAATTGATTACATCAAATTTACGTCACAGAACTTTGAACTTCGTGACAGGATTAGAAATCTCGAAAGAAAAAGAAGAAAAGTGTCAGTTAGATTGAGTAGATCCGGCTGATTATGTTCTAGGGACCGAAGTGCTCTGCAAAGACTTCGAATTTTAGAAGTCTTGGCTGGAAAATAAAAAAATCAACCCTACTGTCCATTGCATGCTCCTGTATTGGCTGGGTTAACAGGTTATGAGAAAAAAACCGAGTTTTATTCATTTTCACGATGGGGCTTCTTGTTCTGAGATGTAGATTGTGAAATGTCGACCCCATTGTGTCTTATGTAAATCCAATGACAACTGATCTCAGTACCCTACTCAATATCCGGTTTCATATCTTTATGACTCAAATATTTACAAGATTTTCATAGAATACTTTCAATACTCTCAACAAACCCTACTTTGCTGTGCGCTGTATAATCTCACAGCATTGGATCAATTGAAAATTTGGAGGGTATGTTGAGTTTGAGGTATCTGTATAGTATTCAACAGATGAGTGATCATGAATTCCAGTGGTTCTCTGATAGAGCAATGCCTTAATGGAAAAACTGGCAGGACGACATAAGCGGAGCAAAAAGGAGCAAGCTAAGCTTGGCAATATTTTTCGTCAATCAAAGGCTGATTGACTCGATAAATAATTCGATAACGCTCATTGAAAGTCTAAGCATTTCTCCCTGTGGATCTCTATCGGGTACCACTCGAGCACTCAATTCAAATCTGCGAACGCTGGTTGTAATGAGCCTATATGCCAGTTTTTACTCGCCCTAAAACGATAAGAATCTGTAGTTTTCAAGCAAGATCGTTGCTAGCGCGTAATGAATAATGAGGTTTCCAAAATTTTCAGACAATTTCAAATTATTGTCCAAAAATTAACATAAGAACAGATAATGTCCCAAAACTATGAATAAATTATTTGTTTGTGGATATTACTCTGGTTTCGACACCTTAAACTCCTGAATACAATAAAGTGCTCACTTTAACTTCCTGTTAGATTTACCGCATAGGTGCAAATCATCGACTCCGTTCTTGGCTTACTGTAGAGGTACGGTAGGAATGATACACACGCTTTTGTGAATCAGCTGCTGCTATCTGAGAGATGTTACATCTGATAAGTGGTTTAACCAGGTTCTCATAGGCTAATCCAGAATTTGTACAGGTTTAGAGCAGTGGCGTACCGAGGGGGGGGGCGGGGGGGGGGGGGGGCGCGCGCTCCCCCCGAGAATGGGTCGCCAAATTTTTGAAAGTTACTTATATGGGTTATAAAAATGTGCAAGTGACTTGTTTATACTTGTAAATAATTAAAATAATTTTTAAAAATTCAAATTAGCTTTGTAAAATAAAAATTTTCGGAGGCGTGGCTGACGCCACGCCCCCTTTTTCCAGATTTTAGGGGTTGGGGACCCGCAAAAATCTTAAAAAGCACCCCTAAAATTTTTTCGGAGTGCGTGGCTGACGCCACGCACGGTCATTTGAAAAAAATTTTTGTCGCGCCCCCCCCCCCCGAGCGGAAATCCTGGGTACGCCACTGGTTTAGAGATATTTAGATTTCTGAGAGTCATGGGAAAAATGATATTGCAGTATATTTTACAAGGATTCTTCTCGAACAGACGGAGTGAAATTAGTCATCAAAATCAGGAGCTATGATAGTCCTTGACATAGTATTGAATATGATACGTTTGACAGCACGCGGCTCTTAATGACGATAAATCGCATGGAATTCCGTACCGTAATGTGGCAAAGAAAAAAATTGATTTGCTTCATACTGTAACTCTAAATGGAGCTAGTCTTTCTTACAGTACCCTGAATGACGCTTTGAAGACTGTAAAGACAACAGCACATACTTTGACACCCTGTACAATTTAAGCTTTTCTAGTATATATGTCAATTCCTTTTATGGCATTAACTAGTACAGATTAGTGCTATATTACTAGACAACATTACTTTGAACAATGGCACGCAGTGTCATTGCTGTAATTATCGCGGTTGAATGAACAGGAGGACCGAATCAGCCACATCATTAACGCAATCATGTGAATAATACAGTTTCAAACAAGGGATTGGAATAATTCACTCAGGAATTCTATTGAGGATCCCTTATCCTATTTGAAAATGAATAGTGCTGTGTCAAATCGTCATTGACCTTCATTATTACTGATGTGACCAATGCAAAGCATCTATGCTGCTTTTGTTTTTGTCTCAAAAGTGATGCGCAATAGCTTCACGGTAAAATCTCTCATTTTACAGTATAATAGGTAGCAACAGAAGCTAAAGGTGATTTCGCAAAAAAATCTCCGTGAGAATTACAGAGGTTTTTCCGCGTTCGTTCCTAAGTACATCAGAAAATCAGATCTTCGACTTCAAAATCACATACTCCCCATAAATTTGCAAGAAGACATGATTTTTTTTGCGGTTTGAAAAAATCGTATTCTAGCCTCACAAAAAAGTAATTTGATAGTCTTTCACCTCTTCTTGTAAATGAACAAGCCATCCGGTTTCTTGTAGATCAGTCCAAAGCTCTCTTACAAGAAGCTCTAGCTTATACGAACTTTCCAAAACGGCTGTCAAAGAGTGTTTCAAAATGTTCAACTGTGGACGATAAACGAATTTCACTGCACATAACAATCTCGTCATTGACTCCGAGAAATCCCAAGGTGGAGATTAACCGAAAATTGCGCAAAAAAATGGGATCTCGCCTGCATGCATCACACCACTGGGATTAACTTTGTTGAATACATGCACAACAGGTCCTACTTCTTGCAGTTGTGTGAAAACCACATATTTTGAACTGAAAAATCTTAGCGTCTATATAAGTGGACTGAAAGTTTGGGGACTTGATTATCCATAAATTTTGGTAAAATATAAGTCAGTAAGTAACACACATAATTCAGGAGGCTGGAGAATTAAGTGGCTGTATTCGACTTCCTCAACTGCTAAGATCACGACTTTTTATTGGTAAGCTGACTTTATCAACAGAGAAGGGGCAACATTCTGTGTGTATATAACTCTGACACTAATAGATACGCTTCAAAAGATGTAATTCTTTCTTCCTTTGTTGTGGAGTTTGCCTAAACCTGAAGTAATTGCACATAAGCGTGTTACAATGCCTCTGCATCCATTTTAACACGTTTCGGACCGGTGCTGCACATGGTGCAGCACCCTGCTTTGAGGGATCTTTTTGACATTTACAGAAGCTTTTCTTTTAGTCCAAGGTTATCATGTCAAAGGCCCAAGCTTCTACTTTTCACATGACTCTGTAGAGTTGTGTCGACGATATTCGTTTAGGAAATATGAACACAAATTGAACAACAGTTGCAACGAAGTGCGGCAATGCGAACGATGCGTGCGACGTCGCAACTTTCATTTGCTTCGAGATCGAAGAGAAAAACCGTAGTTTCAATACTGATGTGTACCCTCTACAACATAGATACTTTGGGATACTATAAGAAACCCAGTTCTTGTTCCAATCTCTCAGGAAAGCACAGAAGTATTTCACAAGCGACAAAATTCAAACACTTCGAATCCATTCAAAACCTAGGGTATGGAACTTATTTGACAAGGTGATTACAGATGTAGCACACAGTTTACCAAATAAGGCCCCTTTGTTGACCAATGGCTGAAAGTGCACTCTTTTTCGCCGCGCGCGATTTCGCGGTCCGAAACGTGTTAACATTGTAGATGTTTAGCTTTAATCGTAGGAAGGGAGAAATATAACGTTTAGAGGATTATGAAGCATCCAATGACCATTAAAGTTAATTCATAAGCAACTCTTCTCTGTTAATTCTAGCGCATTACTGGCATTAACACGCGCGTGCTTATCCGTATTACTGTACATAAAATACTGTGTGCACTACGTACTAACAATATCACGTACCGTAGGGCAAATATTTTTAGCGAAATTTGAACGTGTGCATTGACTGGTGTGTAAGAAAGTTGATTAGGTCACTTTCAGAAGTTGAAGATTTTTTCAATGGTCATCATTTCTTTACAGATATGATCTCCGCTTTATAAGTTCACTATCGTGGCTTGTATCATGCCAATTACCATCTGTTTATCCTTGTGTCTGACGTTTTCATTGCGAAATGTTGAACTTCGTATCTTTTTAGTTCTGCCTAGATGGTAATGGCCACTTCAATATCTGATTTAGCCTCTTCGGAGGTTCGGCCAGATTCACCAACCGCTGGTGCTGGTCCAGTGGAAATGTCAATCGATGATCTGGATAAGTGAGTCTTTCATTATCATCTTTCGGAATCCAGTCTACTTTTGTTCTCTTCAAGAGTGTCTACACATTGTTTTTATGAATTTTCATTGTATGTATTTTTCATATCTCCGTTCTTTGATGTTTTTTTCATTTGCTCGGCTACTTTTCTCAAAGTCTTTTTTTTTCAGACACATTGAAACTCTTATGAAATGTGAATTGATTTCTGAACAAGACGTCAAGTCTTTGTGCTCTAAAGCGCGCGAAATCCTTGTGCAAGAGGGAAATGTACAAGTTATAGACTCACCTGTTACGGTCTGTTTTCATGTATTTACCGAATTGCCCTTCTTTATGTTAATATTTGCCTTGTCTTCAGATATGTGGCGATATTCACGGCCAGTTTTATGATCTCATGGAATTATTTAAGGTATCACCGTTTGGTGTTAGTCTGGTCAATAACTGTTTTTATTTAGGTCGGCGGTCAAATACCCGACACGAATTACCTGTTTCTTGGAGATTTTGTGGATCGAGGTTTTTATTCAGTGGAAACGTTTCTACTGCTTCTTGCGTTGAAAGTCCGCTATCCTGACCGAATGATGCTAATTAGGGGGAATCACGAGAGCCGACAAATCACACAAGTAGGTTACTACTGATTTTGTCTTTTCAGCAGTATCACATTATTAGATTTGATACCCTGTCGGGTAGCGTTAATAATGTTGATGATTTCTCTTTCTTTTGCGCAAAAAGTATCTGTTTCGTGCTCACTCATGCGACGTTAGATCAGCCTTTGTTATGTTGAAGAAACATATTTTTGCATTTTTTTTCACCTCATATTAAGCCTTTATTTTTATCTGCAACTGCTTTTTTCTTTCCTCCCCAGAGCTCAGCGATTGCATCTAGCTCATACAGTCTGATCTTCTTCGTTCACCATCAGTTCACAGATCAGCTTCCTCGTAAGCGCTGTTGGATTTTGCTAGTTATTAAGTTCATTGCCTTCTCCCTTCCCCTTAATGTGCAGCTCTGCAAAGAAGGTGCTGAGTGCTTTTCACATCGATCCAAGATTTCCTGAGTACGTGCTTCCAACGTCAGATTATACATAATCTGGCGGTTCTTCATGATGTGTTATACATAGAAACTGTTCTTCCTGAGCGTGGCATCCTCATGGAACCGATGAAACGATTTCATTCTTCAACGTAATTGATCATATGTGTTTTGTGGTGTTTGTATTTCTTCCGCTAGAGTGCCTCGTATCACGTGCGTCTTTGTAGAAGAAAAGTACATACCATGTTTTAGCATGAGACTTGCACCGTCAGTTACAAAATGTTGGGGACATCAATTTTTGGAAAGCAACGAATCTTAATACTTTTTTAATCCATTCTCTACAGCTATCTGCTGCATGATAACTTGTGTGTATTATGTATGTAATAGTGGCGGTCCGAGAAGTTGTACGGAGGACTTTGAGGTTGTTCGGTAGTGCTAGCCACACTTATCGAATGCAAATTCCTTTTCATAAAGCTTGTTTGATAGCAGTATTGAGAAATAACTGATAACTAATAATTATGATAATAACTGAAAGTGAAAATTCAACAAGTTTATCAAAGTTATCATAATTATCAGTTATCAGTTATTAAAGTTATCATAATTCCTTTTCATAAAGCTTGTTTGATAGCAGTATTGAGAAATATCCACCTATAAAAATAAAACAAAGCATTTGACATTTTTATAGCAAGATAGTCCGAAAAGCAATGCTTCAACTGAAAATTCAACAAGTTTATCAAAGTTATCATAAATCCGCGTTGTTCCACCTCTATCCAAATCTGGGAGCCGATTACAACTGAAAAGTCTTAATTCAACTCTCATATCTCTAGCATTCTTCACCCAAATGCTTCAGTATGAAATACGTGTGAATTTTTCTATGACGCTTTTTTATCTTGGGACACTAAATCATTAGAAGTTTAGCATGGAACAAAGTTTTTGTCAGCCTAGAAAGATTCAAAGAAGTTGCTCAGGAGACTTCCTCGAAACAAGCGTAATTTGAATTTCCGTGTTCGTAGCAGCTACTTGATCCTTTTTCTTCGAAATTCATATTAAGGACTGTGAATCATTGAAGGTCTATGGTTTCTACGACGAATGCTTGCGAAAGTATGGAAGTGCTGCGGTTTGGAAGGCGTGCACCGAAGTCTTTGACTACCTGTCCCTTTCAGCCGTTATCGATGGAAAGGTAGCTTTCTGTGTTATTTCTCCAAAGCGTTTCTCATAGACTATTCGCAGGCCTTCTGCGTTCATGGAGGATTATCTCCATCTATACAAACTCTAGACCAAATAAGAGTAATTGATCGGAAGCAGGAGGTGACTATAACATAGCGAGAGAATTACCTGTCAAATTTCTGATCGTGACATTCTAGGTTCCCCATGATGGTCCCATGTGCGATCTTTTATGGTCTGATCCAGAAGACTCATCAGTCGGCTGGGGTATGAGTCCACGAGGAGCTGGATATCTTTTTGGTGCTGATGTTGTCAAGGTGGGTCTCACGCTTCATGATAGTTTCATCCTTTTGATCATAAGTTTCAAAGACCTTTTGCGATACAAATGGCGTCGATCTCATTTGCCGGGCGCATCAGTTGGTTATGGAGGGCTACAAGTGGCATTTCAACGATACGGTGTTAACGGTCTGGTCAGCCCCTAACTACTGCTATCGGTTGGTTACTTTTTTACTTATTTGAAATAAATTCTTTTCTAATCTCTTATTTGTCTTTCATCTAAGTAGTTTATCATCCTCCATAGAATTTTTGAATTTGTTATGAATTTAGATGCGGGAATGTGGCAGCTATCCTGGAATTGGACGAGCAGTTGAATAAGGAGTTTACCATATTTGAAGCAGCTCCTCAAGTGAGTCAAATCATTGTAATAGTGCGATCGCTCATGCAGATCCATCGCAGCCATCTATGAGCTTTATTTTCAGGAAAATCGTGGTGCACCAGCGAAGAAGCCCCAACCGGACTACTTTCTTTGAGTGGACAATGCGAAACGAATGTGTGCTGTGTGTGCGTGTATATGCGGTGAACGCTCAGAAGATTTCTCATGATGATTCCTCCCCATCTTATGAATCGGATATTCGTTGTTTTGAACAAGCTGGTTGTAAATTATCGGATAAATATAAACACATTGTAGTGATTGGTTTGTGGTGCAAAGTTTGCTGTAAACTACTGACTTGGAAGCTAAATTGGTTTTGGAAATTGAAAATGTACATTGAACACCAGGGGATTGAGTTGTTCGCCAGATTGGGAATGTTTGCTCAACACATCCATGAAATAAAGTGTTTGATATAGCTGTTGTTCCTTCCAAGTCTTTATATAGACGATCATATTTGTCAAAACCATCTGTTTATTTTTGTTGCATATTTTCTCTTCAAGGTTCCTTATTTTCTGGGTCATTGTAACTATGATAGTCCATTTACCCGGTAAATTTGTGCATACGTGGCTCTGACTAAATGCGAATTATCTAGTTTCTTATCTAGGTTGCATTTTGAACGTGTTTCCCTTGTGACTCCGTTTTTGTTCATGAAAAGGTGTGCTCTACATCTAAATTTTGGTAAAAATGTGAACGTTTGTTTAGGACAGAATGCTGCGAGTTCTCCAAAGGTCAATCATCTCATCCTCTCGTCTATACTCAGCGGCGACTCCGAAACTCTCGTCTGAACTCAGGAATAAAATCGATAACATGGTGAAGGTATGCTTTTGACATATTAGCTTACAGTTTTTGCTTTAAAAGTTCTACTGCAAAACATTCGCCTCCATTTACAGAAAGATGATGTTGTTGTATTTATGAAAGGTACACAGGAAGAACCGATGTGTGGTTTTTCGCGAAATGTGAAATTGGTAAGTGTGAATTTCTCAATGTCTACTTTCATCTTGACTGTAATTTATATTTTCTAGGTCTTAGATTTTCACAACGTTAAGTTCAAAGATTATAATGTACTGGAGGATCAAGAACTTCGAGAAGGAGTAAAAGCTTACAGTGAATGGCCTACTATTCCTCAGGTGCTACCACTATTTACGGAAGTCGTGCATCATACAAGAAGTTTCAGGTATTTGTGAAGGGAGAATTTGTTGGAGGATGTGATATTGTGGTGCAAATGCATAAAGACGGAGAAATATCGTGAGTGTATTTATTCTTTTATGGTGTCACTCAAAAAAAAAAGATTCTCGATTTAGTGATTTCTTCGACTCGAAGGGCATTCCAAACAAGTATGGAGAGAAAAAATAAAACCGGAACGATTCTAATAAATGATTTTGTAGGGAGATTATTCAGTTGTTATAGGTACGGATAGTCACAGATCTGTAATATTTACTGAAAACGAATAAACAATTGCAATTATGGTCTATAGCAAAACTAAAGTATCTACAAGCTTATTGATCTATTCACCAGTTTCACCACAATAATTTTGTGTTGAATATTTCTCTCGCCTTATGTCGTGGATGAGCGGTACACTCAACGTGTAAGCGACCATTGATCCGAATGAAGTAGCAATTACGACAACGAAGTTTCAGACGTGCTTTTACCTATAAATATATGGCTATGTGTACGGGTTTTTATAATTATTCTGAGGATAACAGCGCATGTATGACGAGTTCAAGTGATGAATAAAAATAGTGCGATTGAACATTTATGGGTGCAGCTTCACAAGTCACAGAGTGAAATTCCCATGTCTACACTTAGCATTTTTGCCTTGCTCCATAATCTTTCGCCAATCTAAGTTAGAAAAGTTACAAATGAATTTTTGCCCAATACACAAATATTCAAACGCACTGCTTACGATTAGCTATAGACAGGTTTTTGGAATGAAGCCAACAGTTAGAATTGAATTAGCTATATCTTTAATCGAGTCAATTGGCGCTCTTTCACAAACCGAATAGAAAATATAAAAATTCATAATTTGAAGGAACATTCCGACAGTAGAACAAAGTGCCGTCATGCAGTCATCAACTCTTGAACAGCAACCACTAGAACATATGAGTGTCTATTCCAAAGCTGTCTATTCTCTACTATTCAATCAAGTCAGAAATGGTTTTGAATCAGTCTTTGATATCCAACAAAAGACGAAAAAGCAAACAAGATATTTCTAACCTTGAACCCAGCTGAAGATTCGATCATGAGCGGATTCCGTACAGCAAGAAATCCTTTTGCAACAGCCGTTCCACCACTAACTATCCTTGATATGATGCCGGTCATCTTCAAACAGGATATGAGGCTGATTTCGAATTGAGGAGTTTACGGCGCCGAAAATGGAAGAGTGGATGGACAGATAGTGGATAGGAAGACACAATGGATAAAACATGATGTATGGCAAGAAGACAGGACATACTGTAAGCAAGTACAAAAAATAGTTGTTCGCCACCGCAGTAGTCAGTCTCTATAAACCACTCTTTCCCAACATTTTTTTGAAATTCTTTCATGTAATCTAAACTACAATCTTAACTTTCAGATTATTCTGTAAGATAAAGCATAGCGTCATTGTAAGATACAAGGAAGAAAGAAGTGCTGCTTGTTCAGCGAATACCACGTCCAAACACAATCCCCATTAGCACAGCAAAAGTCTACCCCTTTTTTAAATCAAAAGAAAATTCTGAAGACACACTTAACAACTGGATGTATGCAGTTTAGCTTTTCAAACTTGCCTATTCGCCCATAGATTTATAAATATGATACCGTAAAATCCCAAGCAAACAGTGCGCATGCACATTTTTCAAAATTTGAGTTGGTTTGGAGCACGCCATGCACACTTTGAGTTTCTTTTATTTCTTCTTGTCTCTGTTTTTGTAATAGTACGTCGTTCATCTCATAAAGTCGTCATTTACTGCCCTTTGTCTTTTGAAGCGAGGGAATCGGCACAAAACGATGGAATTGGGTGTCAGTAGTTGCCATGGATAAGGATAAAAAAGCAGCTTAGCAAAAACCCATCATCATTTGCATCTGCAGCCTTATTCTTTGAAAATAGACTAGATGAGGAACGTAATTATCAGGAGTTGCTAGATATGAGAGTAGTATGAATATTCCTCGGCTTAGGGGACAAACCGACTTTTTAGTAGTTCCGAAGCTTGCATTTACAAAGTGACTCTGATATTGACGACGATCAAAAGTGCGACGCGGGCGCTTGGCATATTCGGTCCTAACGATAAGTGCCATAGAGAGTACCGAGAAACTCTTGCTAGAATATAAAACAAGACCCAGATTTCTCCGTAGATACCATTTGCGCGCATTCTGCCTTATTAAGTATCCCCATGCAAAGTCATAAGTTCTTTGTGTTACAGATGCGAGAACTCCATCTTACGCCCAGGAATCATGCGCAAAATCAAGAAACACCCGCCAAATTCTCGCCTGAGGCTCAAATAGAAGCAAAGAGGAAAGTCGCTTCAGTCAATAGGTAATAGATTTGCTTTTGTCGGAAAAGGGGAACCTCAAGTATCTTTCAGGTCAACACGTTTGAAATCCTCTCTACTTCCATGGGCTGTCGCTTTGGCTGTGATTTGCATTGAGGTTGGGTTCCCTGGAAATGTGTAAACTTCCGATTTGATGGTTCTTCCAGATTTTTACTTTTCGCTCCAGCCTTGGGTCCTTTTTCTTTGGGGATTACCTTCCTCATTCAGTAGTGGTCTTCTTCGAGTACGCATTCTTTGTGTACCTTCTCAGTGTCATCCTTTGGATAACATATCAGATTGTGAATACAAAGTCTCATACAACGTTGCCTGGTTAGTTGCAATCAATCCCTTCACTTTTCGTAATGATTCTTACTGAATGTTTAGCCAATTTCGGCATGATTTTGCCTTCGCCACTTTCACATCCTGTCAACAAAGCTGCTACTAAATCACCCGCACTAGATAGCTCAAGTAGAGCGGATACCTCTTGGGTAGAAGATCACCATTTCGGGACTATGTCAGAAGCACCTTTACCTCAGAGCCGTCAATCGCAAATCAGTCCCAATCGGTCGTGGGTTTCAAAACCTTTTTTTTTTCGTTTTCTGTTCTTCAATTATCTTTTTTTCCAACGATGTGCTGCTATGTGCGGCAACAATTTTGATGCACTTAGTTATTGCAGGACCAATCGCGCAGATATTCGCGCTTTTCCCACACATAAATTTGTTACATTATGAGCAAAATGCTTGAAGGCAACGTCCACAAATTTGAGGTTGGTCGAGATTTTGGTGCAGTAGCGAAATCCCTAACTAGGCAATTGCCCGAGTCCCGCTGCAAAAGGTGTATTTCGAAGCGACAATACTGCTCCAGATGTGGATGCTGTTGGGGTTGCCAAGCCTACCAGCGTGGGCTGTTTGAAAGCTTGAGCCAGGAACTGAGCTGTAATAGCTAGAAATGTCAAAAATGTGTTTTTTTTTTCTGCAGTAAAAGACGTTTTTAACATTTCTAAGCACTAGAGTATAGTTTCAGGTTCATCACCTCCAAGCCCTCAAGTTGAGCGGTGCGGTCTCAGCAGCATCCGCGCTTTTCTCCCTTCGGGATCAACCTATTGCAGAAGAATTGGGCACTTAGTTAGAGCCTCGCTATCATATTGCATCAAAATTTGGCCAATCTCGGACTTGGGAGACGATGCCTTTAACTAATGGCTACACTTTGTTACACTTGTGTCAGAAAGAAGCCACTTGATGTGACATCATATTGTTTTTTGGGTGCCTCCAGTCTTATGAAGTCGCTAGTGCTTAACTGATTCTAGTGGAATACACAGAAAGTCAACTTGCTCTGCAGTTTTACCAACTTGTTTCAGACTTCAATGCAGGCTTACTCAAAACTTCATTTTTGAAATGAATAGTTATTTACGCAAATCTCAGTTTTATCTTTTGAATTCTCAGTCACGAATTATGTATTTTTAGCGTTCTGAACGACTCCTCTCATTTGCTGAATCTCAGTTCTGGTAGTTTTGGTAACACTTCCATACGTGGATATTCTTCCAATGTTGTTGTGCCGAAAAGCAGCCCTTTCAACAAATCAATTGATAGCATCCATACAAGGGAACAACTGGAGCACCTTCTGGCGAAAGAGTAGGGTCATTGCATTTGAAAGAGTTTCGCCTACTGAAGCCATTGATCTCAGTTCTCCATCTCATATGGACTCCTCGTCCATGCGTAGCTCTTCATTCACTTATTTCAATGTTCTGGACATCGGCGCTCCAGAAGAAAGAAGGGGATATCAGTTGTCGGAGCCATTGAAAGCGGGAGATTCAAAAGAAAATAGTGAGTTTCAACTCTCTTTTATGCGATCCATGAGTGTGAACAATTTCAGTAACCCATTTAACGTAGAAGCTCAAATTCATAATATTCTTGTTTTTTTTTTTGTAGTAAACCATCTCACCGAAATTTAGACTGATTCATAGACTTCCTTTCGCCTCATTTCATTCATCTAATACGATGAAGTTGCACTTTCAAATAGGTGCAACTTGGTAGTAGAATGGTTAGCATTTTGAGGCTCTATCGGTGATGGACTCTCTAGATAGCGGATATGATCTAGCAGTTTCATATTGGTAGCTGAGCGCTTTCCGTCTCGTTTCCTATAGGCGGCTCCCCCCTCCCCCTCTCCCCTACCCTTGTTCATGAATTGTTGTGTTAACGAAAAAAGCAGACTGAGTTACAGCTAAGCGTTAATTTCATCCACATGTCTAGCCAAAATTACTTGCTCGGTATTATTTTTGGCCGCTGTCACTTCGGCGAAATCCGGCGGTGAGTGTGAACCGAGTTTGCAGTAGAAAATTAACAGCTAATTCATGAGGCGCTAAATAAAAGCGCATCTACTCTGCATTGTGGCAATTTTCCATTTACGTAGTTTGGTCGTTATAGTCGTTGTGAAAATGGGACCAGGAAGCCGTTTAATGCTGTCTCCTGCTAGCAGTGAAGGTGATGGACAGGATGAATTGACGCGACTGCGCTACACGCTGCAGCATGCACGACACAGTCCCAGAAAGGTACTTATTTTACTCAAGTCACATGTGCCTTATCATAACTCCGTATCTAGGGTCCTGGTATACTTCGCCGCAGTGAATCTGTAGAACGGCGACGAAGAAGTTTAAGTATGTCATCGCCAGAGCGCTCTTTGCTCCCCAACATTCCGCTTCCAGTGCCTACCGAAATTGACGCAAAAAGGTTGCGCCAATTCTCAGCTGACTCCTATCATCAATACCACCTATCTTTTTTGCAGTTCATCACTCAGAGAAGTAGACTTAGTGCGTGGAGAGCAACGTTTGAGGGCATGGATTGTGAATACTATCTTGGAACCGCTAGATAGACGAATAAAGGAGACAAATGCCAAGTTAGAAAAGGTTGCTTTCATCTTATAATCGAAGCCTGCGCAGTAATATCTGATTTTAGGAGCATTCGAGCCCACCACTAAAGATTGGTGTTTCGTCTGTGGACGCTTTACAATCTGCTATGATTACGCGCACGGAGCTTTTGGATACGATGCTTCCGTATATTCTTCCATTTTTGTCGGTGCATAATAATCAGGTTAGATTTTCTTCCTGATGGTTTAGTAGGTTTGTGTTCACTTTGAAAATAAGCAGGGACTACTTTTGCCAGTCCATTGTTCATTTTTTTTCATATCTGAAGATGACACTTTTCGCTGCCAATTTGCTCCCTTTATGCTCCACCTCGTTCTGCATCTAATCCATATGAACAAGAGATCTGAGCTCTGCAGTAAAAAATGAGTAGTCAGATTACATTGATCACCTAGAACTATGTGGTTGGCCGTATCTCGGAGCTGGCTGCCGATAAATTTATGATGGATTATAACTGGAACAGTGGCGGCAGAGAGCCAGTGCAGGAGAAAGGTTAATTTTTGGAATCATTTTCACTTGAGAATCATTGAACACTACACTCTGCTCGTTTTTTTTATGGCCATCCTGTATTCTTCAGTATCACTTGGAAGAGGTGTCCGTAGACCTTGGAGTGACCAAAATCCCACTGACGCTATGCTTATTTTTTCGCTTTTTTCTGCTTATATGGATAGCCAGCTGACTTCGAATCCTCTTGTCGGCTCCTGCAGGTGGGTCTTGCGTTATATTGCTTGTTTCTGTATATCAAATCATGCATCTAGATTGGCGCAGCCATTCTCCGCGGTATACACTCTGAAGACCCCACAAAGACCCACTGCTGTACATCTGGCTGCCGAGAGCTTTTACTTGCATATGGTGAACTTTCATTATTTACTTCGAAATCACTCAGTTTACTGTTGACTTTCTAGAGTAACATCTCTCCTCCCCATTTCGATTTCGTTTTCAATGACGCAGATGGGTCACCAACACGTGCGGTCATTCCAAGGGGTGCCCGAAATCTGTTTGCTGCTTTGTTATCGTTCATAAATCACGTTAAGGTAAGGGTAGAATGAAAAGAATATTTACTAGGTTGGAACATAAGTTCTAACACCGATGCAAGGAAAACTGTTAAAAAGCTCGGAAGCCTCCATACACATCATCGATTGATTTGTAACTCATACAGGAGCTTGCACACCACGCGCGGCAACCGACGACACTCTTACTAGTAAATTCTGAGCAAAACTTCTAGCATAAAAAACTGCAGGAATGTATACCACTAACTCAAACAGGCAAGCAGTACATATTTACAAGTCAAAAGAGACAAGCAAACAAGGAAAACTCAAGCCGTCAAGTAAAGCGCATGTGTGCAACACGCATATCAAGCTGCAAATGACTCAGAAAATTTTTCCCTTGTACAGAATATGCTGCATTTTATCGAGTTTGAGTCTACTAGAAACTCAATTTGAAAAAAAAAACCCTGCAAAATTGATATCAAAAAATATAATCACCTGAGATATTGATTGTTATACCCTTTTCCTCGATTAGAAAGAATTGATCACAAAATTGAAATCAAAACTTCGATTATATATTAGGTTGATTCATAATTAATGCACGTTTTTTATACTTCAGCTTTGAACTAAGACAACTCTTTTTTGAGAGGAGATTCCTGGGCGCGATAAAAACTGATGTATCCACCAATTAAATGGCTATACAACAGATACTTTTGCGTAACTAAATCTATCATAAGAAAGGTCTTCTGGCCTAAAGATTGCCAACAATTTTTTACGGAAGCCTCTTCTTTGAGCGAGCATAACTTATGTTGAAATGAAGTAGGATGAAGCAGACTTCACTCTTCGTGTAGTTAAAAGTATTTTGAGTAGTGGTGCCAAGCTTGGATATTACAGAAAATTTTTGAAAGAAAATATCGCGGGAAAGTTGAAAGTACTTACTTTTTTCTAATATCTCAGCGGGTTCAAAAATCGGTCATTTTTGAAATTATTTCATTTTTCTCCGCTGGAAAATGATAAAACCCTAGCACTTTTCTATCATCAAATGAACTAGGGCTACTCTTGCTAAATAGTGCAAAAGATCTGCAATCGCCTTTTGCTTTAAAATTTTAATGGCAAGAAAGCGCCGCGACGATCATTCAAGTTCGCAATCAAATTTCTCAGCTAAGAATTCATGGAATATTTTGTTCAAATAGCATCTTATAGCACAAAGTCTCCTAATCCTTACGCATATTTTCTGAAATTAATCCAGATATTCCTCATAAATTTGGGGCGAAAAGATTGAAAAGCAAAAATTTTCGCAGTTGGTCTCTTTCATTTGAAGGCTTAAAACTTCGGTACGAAAGGAGATGTACGAAAGCGAAGGCCTACATAAGAAACTAGAAAGAACGCTTTTTCAGACAGCATAAGAAGCTTTCAAATAAATTGATTACACATCAAATAGCAGCTCTTGGAAGAAGAGGTGAGAAAAACGTGCATTAATTATGAATCAACCTAATATTACATTAGACCTCACAGCATTTTCATCCAGAGGATTTTATTGATTACGATTTAATCAGTATTTTTTCCAATTGTATTGCTGCGCAGTTCCAACGATGATTTTTGCTACCGTAATGCATGTTATCCTCCCTAGCATACATCTGGTGCAGAGAGCTTGTTAGTAGACTTGAATCTGGCATGTACATGTTTGTCCAAATTAAATATCGTTAAAAGCATAAGCTCTTCCACCAAATCAGAATACCCATACTATTTGACTATTTCTCATCGGTTCAAGATGGAGTTGCTTCGAATTCAAACCCTTTCAGGTGCATAATGGTGGTCGCTTAGACCGAATGAGCATTGGTCCTACGGGTTTGAATATTGCCTGCGTTCTGGAGTGATCTTGAAAAATTCTTGCTCATTATTCTTTGTTGAATGTTACATCTCAAGCTGGGTATCCATACTTTTCACTAACTCGAAATTTGTTGACTCATCCCGTTGCGAATGTTTTTATTTCGTGTTTTGTACTTATTCATGTTTTCCTGTCAGGATCTCTATTTTATTAGTTTACAAGACGCCTTGTTTGAGATCAGTTTTTGTCATAAATAAATTGATTATTTGTAACTGTGGAAACAATGATTGTTTAAATCATTCTGCAGGTGTGTCTTTCGCTGTGCATATTAGATGTTGGTGACGGTAATTGTCGAATGTGCAATTAAGAATGGGTAATAAATTACCAGAATGGTTGAGCTGACAGCTAGAAAAGGTTGAAGCAGTCTCAAATTGTCCATTGGTTTGATGCTTACATGAAGCTAAACGGAAATGGAAATTTTTCGACAGCCGGTGGGTTATTGGATGTATTTGTAAATTGGTAGTTTATTGTGAAAAGATTACAGATGTGTTCATGCTTCGAGAGTGAAGTCACTGGAAGATTTAATTTATTTGAATACGCCACAGGCGCGCCCTAGTGACGGGTTAGTAATCAACAGATTCTCGAAAAAAAATGTCACAAATACAGAAACAAAAAAGCTTAATGCAGAAAAATAAGGTTGCTTTTTTGAGACCATTCGCCAGTCCAGGTCCACAATCTAATACATAGATGATAGAACACAAAATTCATACTATTTTCCTTGCTTGGTACTTCACACGACCACGCCATATATGGAGCGAGGTGGATCTTGTAACACTACTAAAATCCAAAAGCGTTAAACTGTAGGTCTCTGTAGGTCTTCGAAATGCTGGGATGCTGTATGATAAACATATAAAAAAATTCGTTTCCGCTCACTGGGACAAGTAAGCCTTCTATTCTTTTTTTATAAAAAAATCACCAGACACTTCAAAAATAAGAAGTATTCTCAGCCAATGTGCACAAAAAATGAGTCGCGAAATTTTGGAAAGCGGTTTACTTGAAGTCATGCATGTATCTATTTTTTCCTTGTATATGGCAGGAAAATTTGTGAACTTCATTGAATTTGACTCGATAGGTTTCCTGTTCTTCCCAATTTTAGACTTAGGCGAGGCTAGCGCTAGACGATCATCTAAAAAATTGTCGTCGCTCTCTTACTTCCAAAAATTTGTGGGGTCTCACTATGTCCTGCGTACGAAGTGTTTAACGGCACTAGCTTTATGCTCGTAAGAGCTTAACATCGACTTTTAGCGCTTTGTATCCGGACAAAATATGGTAAAGATACAATAAACATTTCTGCAGACGGTCATATCATATGGACATCAGATGCATTCACTGTATTTTTAATCGTCTTAAATAGATTCAACTTGTTGAATTTTTGACGTTTAATCAGAACTGTGTTATTGGGACTCCATATAAGAGTCGCTTACTCTTGTTTAACGGCACTATATTGTACGTAATATGTTTATCAAACGAGAAATGACTAAATCACAATGAACCCGTGAAGTACTATACATCATCAAAAATAATGAACGATACTATTGCATGAAATGTTGGTAACCATAACAGTTGTTGTTGGGGCTTCCGAAACTTGACTCTGAACCGCTGTACTCGCTAGGGTAGGGCGTTCCTTGAGGATAGATAGTTGGCGGAGGAACAACTGACATTTCCATTCCGGGAACAGTTGCCGCAGTGAGAAGTAGGCGTGGTTGTACCTAGAGGTAGCAGTGAATGATTTTGTGATGTAGCTTACTAATTCAAGATCAATGTTATACTTGGATGAGCGGAAAAAATCCTGAAAAAATGTTTTCCACGTAGAAATTGTCTCTGGGGAACAAATTAAAGTTATTTGTGCATAGCAAGAATGGAGCTCAAAATCTTCTATAGTAGCGCAGAAAAAGAAATTATTTGATCTCAACTGCGAAAGCCTCTAATTTCTGCCGTAGGTGGAAAAAGAGAGAAAAAATTTTAGAATGTTTTCCTCTTGATTTTGATTTGTAGGCCCTCTGCGGAACTTTTCACTCAAGAGAGAAACCTCAAAGTGTTTTCGAAAAAAGAGTTATTGTAGAAAAATTTGTAAAACTAAAGCTTAAAGATGTAAAGATAGAGTTTGTCCGTCTCAAGCATGTTAATCTAGACACCAAATATGAGCGGTTTTGGTTGTCAAAATAAAACAACAAAGGCAATTTTTTTGACCTAGTTTCATTCCTTTCCTTAGACTTCATGTAGTGAATCTTCACCCATCCCCGACTTCGCGGTTAAGAGCTAGCATACTTTTTCATCAAATAACCAATCCTGCCTTGATCCAAAAACTGTAACTTATTGTCAGTGCTCAAAACTGACAGATTCGCAGGCTCCTTTTTTAGGAGTTTTGTAGGCCTGTAGATTTTTCTAAAGGGCAGAAACGAAACGGAGTTTAGAAAGACTATAATTGTAAAATCAATTTTGTTTTTGTGCTACACAGTTCGCAGTGGACTTGCAAAGATAGGGAATTTTGTGTGAGGATCTATTTCAAAACTCACTTGTAGCAGATTTGCCAACATATTTGTGGTAGTTTGACTAAGTCCAACTGACAGCTGGTGAGCGTACTCAAGGGGAGTAGGTTGTCGACCAGTTTGCAGCATCCTCTGAAGAGCTAGGATGTAATTTCTGAAAAAAAAAACTCAGTTTCATTAATGTGGTAGTCATAAAATGAAGTAAATTGTAACTCACTTAGCTAATCGAAGTGTTTCGATCTTGCTCAGTTTCTGATGTTGTGCTGTGATTGGTACATACTAAAATAGTGTATTTTGACAGTAAATCAGGAAATTAGAAAAAAATGACCATATGCACGGAAATACAATAAATGGACGAAATGTAAAGTTTAGAAGGAAATCACCTGTCTCAAAACATCAAGCGCATCATTGAGGCCATGCATACGTTGACGTTCTCGTCCGTTAGCTTTCATTCGTCGCTGCTTCTTCTTGAGTGATTCGTCCATTGCTGAATAACAGTTGCGGAATCGGGGAACAGACGCGCAGTAAATCGCTGAATGACCAACGGCAATAACTCATCCGTTGCATTTTATACCCCGTCGATGGGGGTGCGCGCTCAAGCCGCGCCCCCTCTCTGACGGGATACGGTAGCGCGCAGGGGAAGGTTTGCCCGGGCTATGTACACGGTAAACATAGAAGCGTAACATGTGATGGGGTTCTTATGATATGCTGTTGCTTGTCGTAACAGTTGGTGTAGATTATTTCTAAACAGCGTGTCCCGAAAATGTATCGAATTTTGAATGTTCAACTCAATGACTTTTTGTCTATAGATTTCGCGGATCTTCAGGTACCGTATTGCAGAGCTGGCTTTGCAATTACATATACAGTGGAAAACGGGACTTCAACTGCTTTTACTACTGTAGAATTACGGTATGAATGTTTGTAAGGTTTTGCTCCATTAGAGCAAATATGGCTTCTAAAAATCGTCTGAAAAGCTGAAAAACTTTGTCAGGACTGTATGGACTAGGGTCGCTTATTTGCATGCTTATAGCACTTCACCGTATAGCCTATCTCATAAGGTGTACCGTAAAAGCGTCATTATAATTTCCAAAATGCTGTACCATCCAAACTGCTCAATAAATTTGTACAATTTTGTTGCTAGTTTTGTGATTCTTAGATAGCCATTTTGCCGGGAAGCCATCTCGCTGAATTTCCACCCTAATTACACAGCAATGAGGAGGGAGCGAAGATTCGTTTTGTACGTAATCCTAACTCAAAACTTCTACATTGTGCTTCCTAAAGATGCGCGAATGCTGTTCGGACGTCATTAGAGAGAGTTATCAAGGAATAAAGATTCAAAACATTACATGGTAGAAATCATCAAAAGAATAACGAATAAATTAGCTTCATTTTGCATTAACTTACCCTGAATTAGAGAATAACCCCATATAACCTTCTTAAGGTAATTGGTCGAAGTTTTTTTGATGGATACAGTAAATGGTATCCTACTGCGCGAACTCTTCATTTTTTCTCTCATCCATGTCGATCCTCTATCGCCAATGCGCAAAAAGTTTTCCCGAGCTATTGTAAAGCATTTGGTACGATTTAGAAGTCACTGGCGTATTTACTGACTGTGTGCATACTGCTCATTGTTACTCTACGGATCCTCATCATCTTTTTGTTCTCATCTCCCCTTACCCCCTCTACCCTTTCCGGTGTGCATCATTTTATAGACCACTTCTTTGCATACCTAGAGTTGGGTAGACATTCCAGAACTATTCATTATTGCAGGATATTGTCCTAGTGTCAAGTTGTCGTGTATGAGCTGAATTCGTGAAACGTAGTGAATTACGGAGTAGCATATACTCTATTCGAATATAGTTTTACCGAAAGATCTATAAGGAAAGAGCTATAGGTTGGCGGGGGAGCATACGTATGTTGCAAAAATAATGTCCATTGTATCTTTGATTTGTAAATGCTTTTCGGAGCTAAATACGGGTATGCAAATGACTCTGGGATAAATACTCATTTTCAATGCTTTCTCGCAATCACCATCATCATGCAACCAGTTGACCTCAGCGTTGATAATTACCAGTTGGTATAGATGGTCCATAATCAGGGGGATGCGCATAATTGATCGCACTCAAAAATCGTCAATCAAGCCGAGAACAATAGCTGATGTGAACGGAACAAGTGGTGCTTACTGTGTAAATCCACTCACACGAATGGGCGATGAGCATGTGCTTCAAGGATTACTTGTAGAATTACTGTAGAGGGTACTGTGAGTACTCGGCCGAACAATGGCGTTGGGCTAAATGAGGCAAATAATGCGCCAACAGAGATGCTATCTTATAGCGATGAACGCGACTCTTTGTCTAGACAAAACCACGGCTAATACGCTTCTTAAGAACCGATCGTAATACTAGCAAAGTCCGGGTCATTGCTATGCTTTTTCGGCCTTCGTTAGCCGCGAAATTCGGCACCTTTGACAGAAGGCCACCATTGTTAACCCAATCATCCAGAGAAATTCGATCAAATTGCGGAAAGATGAGTTTATGTACATAGTCGCGATGTCGTCGCGACCAGTAATAACTTTCGCGAATGACTCACTTGACGACTCACATATGTTGCATTTCACGTTTACGACCCTAAATTGTCCGAAAGACCAATGAATACTTTCATAGATAAGCAAGACAACTAGGATTCTTCGTGGAGGGATTATTATGAATACAGATTGAAATTTCTGTGTACGAACTCGCTACGATCACGATAGGAGGTTTTAGGGCGAATGGAGTTTTTAAAAATCATATAGCTTAACCACTTGGGACATCAAGATTATTGTAGTTTTTTCCCTTTCCTATTTAGTCCCAAAAAATGTGCGCATTGTTTGATAATCAATAACTTTCTTGCTCCATTTTCTTTTGCCGATCTTCAGGTCTATTCTATAAGGCTAGCATTAACATAGATTTACAGTATAAATCACCTCTTATCTTTTTTCGTTAGTGTAGAATCACTCTATGAACTTTGGGCATACAGCGCATTGTGAATAGGCCTGTTGGAAAAAGAGTCGAAAAATTCTGAAAATTAGTTTAGCAACTTTGTCACGCACGCTAAATTCATCATACAGCTTTTACAATATTCCTGAGCATTTATAGATGTCACATTTTGAAGAACTCTGGGAAAACAGTTGTAAAGGATTACCTGAAACGTATGAAAGAAGCATGACTGTGATGTGGACATCTTATATTTGAAATTGGCGACATTGATTAGCCTAGTTTGGGAGTTTCTGGCTTTTTTTGCTCGGAAAAGCGGTCTCAATAACTCAGAACCCTCGTCGAGGTTCCTACTGTAATTCTCAGTCCGGAGATTCGCGTTATACTGTAAATCTAAGTTGAAGCCAGACTCATAGAATAGTACCAAAATCTTCAAAAAAAAAAAAACGAAGCATGAGCGTCTATTGACTATCAGACCTTTCTAAATTTTTTGGGACACCTTGTATTTTGTGAGTTCAAACTGCTCTAAAAACTCCAATTAACGTTACCTCGTCTTCAGTCATAAGGCGATTTTGAACCATTGAGGCGTCTAGACTAGCGGAATAGTGAAGAGGATTTTTTGAGATGGACATGGAAGCTTGTGATTTTTTTTCACCTTGCTTCTATTACTTGTTCATTCTGTTTATCGAAGGATCGACACCATTAATGGCCGGAAGTTCCTTAGCTAGAACATTGTATGGTAGTTCGAAAGCTGCTCCTCTTTTCAGAAGTTAGCTTGAGCCTCATACCTTAGATTCCAAGTAAGTCACCAGTCTCCTGTGGTTTCATATTATCTCACCTTCGTTTGCTTCTCTCTGAAACCTTGGAAAAAAGGTGTAGTGACAGCGTGCAAGCGAATCATATCTGAATGCTATGATATCAATTTAGAATCATTGCATCACTTGATTTTGTATCACTGTTTAGTTTAAATTTCATAGTCTTCAAAGGTACTGTACTTATTGACTTAGGAAGGGGATCACATATGGTATCACCTCGCCATATGCTCTATAACACCTAGTTATGCGCGAACTGCTGTCGGTGCATTGTTGCGTCATATACGAGTCATTATACGGTGCAGCTGCATTAACTCTAAAAGATACATTTTCTCAGCGATTTCTGAAAGCTAAAAGCCGAAGGTTCAACTCTGGGGAGAGGGGTGGGTAGGTGGGAATGTAGAGCCATCTTCAGATCACAACTGATGGGATGTTGTGGTCATGCTTGCCGGTGACCTCCCAGATGGTCGCATTTGCTGAGCTCGGCTTCATCGCCATCACTGGAATTGGTAATGATTGATGTCCCTGGAAAGCAAAAACGCCGTGCGGTGCGATTTATCGGCGGTGCTGCAAAGACGCCGCACGGAGGCGTGAAATCGCGCTGATTGAAAGGTGACGAAGCGGCTCACTGCTGCGATGCGACGATGCGATTCACAGCGGGATACGGTAGCCGCGACCGTATTGACTGCTTAATCAGCATCTCTTAAGTGTGGGCTGCTCTGGGAATAACACATCTTCTTCTGGGAGCGATCGCTACAGTACCCAGTCCTGCTAATGTTTACTGTAACCGATCTCCGACATGTTTGCATACTGTCACTTGATGATGATCACGGTTACCACATCGGGTTTATTTACTTACCACTTGATCCGTGCTTGACTAGGTGCATGGGTGCAGCATGTCAACAAGGGTGGACTAACACAGTGTTTGATATCCATCATGATCAGTGTCAAAATATCAATGCAATAAAAAATGAAATGCATCAGTAGTCTTCAAAATTCCATTGTTGACAAAGCTGTTCTTTTTCTTTACATTGGGTTTGGACTACTGGTGTCCAAAGAAATATATCGAATGTTTGATCGCTGACAACCTCCTTGTTCGGATAGCTTTCGCTCAGATTTAGGTATCGCATTCTAAGCCTGGCTTTATCGAAGACGCATCACCGATACCTCTTCCTTACTGGAGAAGTGGGGTATGAACTTTCAATAGTCTTGCGTCAGTGAGAGCCTATATTGTCCCGAATGGTCTCCAAAAGAAGCTGGAAACTTTGTTTACCTTTAATAAGCATTACTGGTTTCAAATGTGAGCTTTTCAGCTTGTAATGTTTTTAGTCACTAAGGTATGACGAGAGAGTTTCCTTAAAATTATCAAAATCAAGATCATACCATTTTAACTGCTCTGCAAAGGTTAACAAGGTTTGCTCACACCTTGCCGATCTGCAGCTGATTTCTGAAGTTTATATTGTCCTGGAAGTTCCTATTGTAGTCCTACAGTAATGAAGAGGGTCAGGTAATTCATTTCGTATTACAAGTTTGATTAGTCGAAGCCTGTGTCGCGACCTTGCCGATCAAAGTTCGCAAGTGTTTCAGGCAAAGAAGCATCAGTCAGCGATCCACGTTCGATATATCCTTTGAGATTCTATTTTTTCCAAAGGAAACCAGAATTTGCTATTCTCAAACAAAATTTTATTGCTTACATTAAACAATTAATATTGTATCACTTCAATGGTTTACTTGATAGATACAGTTGACGATCCTAAAAATGATTATGAATCAGATGGTAAAAGCTCCGGCTTAAGAACCGGACATACATCACGCGATTTCATCGCCTCGCGATTCTCCCCGCAAGACAACTGTTGCGAGTCCATTGCATGTCGATTATGTTGCATCTCGATTGTGATAGTTTTTCGAAACGACTAATCGCGACTAACTATCACAGCCGAATCGCAAGGTGATTGGCATGCAATGGACTCGTAACAATTGTCTTGTAGGAGAATCACGAGGCGATGAAATCGCTTGATGTATGCCTGACCCTCTAGACTCAATGAATGAAAGCTGAATATGATTATTTCACGTAATTTTGTTTGTTTAAATGCATCGTAAGCGATGCTGTACAGTGATGATAGTAGTTGTTGTCAAAATACCCACTTTGTTCTTTGAAACTGTAATCTCCTCACTTTAAACTACTTATCCGTGTCCTGCATAGTTGGTTCCGTTCTCATTTCTTCGTGACCGTGTGCTTTCCCACCCGTTGTACTTTTCCTCAGTGACTGGGATGTTTGTGTAGGTTTCACAGCAATTTCTGCACTTTTATCCTTCTTTATCTCCCCTTCTTTACGTCTACTTGCAGGCTTTTTCTCTTGTGACTGAGAGCTGGGCGAAGCGGAAGACTTGGCTACCTTAGTGCTGCTGGATGACCTCTTTTCGCTAATACTACCTGCAAAAATGAAAATCGAGATGAAGCGAGCACCAGAGAATTACTATTACTTTTCTGTAGGTATGGTGACTTCGTCGGTGAGGGTGACTTTACTGGTTCATGTGATCCCATCTGTGTTTCCATTTCCGCGTACTCAAGATCTTCTACAAAAAAAACTTTGCATCTGAGATAAGAAACATACCTTTCATTCAACAGGCTTGGCGCCTGGAAGGCGGGGTTTTGTGACCTAATTAAGGCCCGCGACACAGTCCAGCGCGCGTGCTCTCTAATCATAACCTAGCTTGGTTAGTTCACGAAGCCCCGCCTTCCAGCCACCAAGGCAGTTGAATCAAAAGGTACATTTAGAACTTAATGCGCAAGTGCAGTGTGTGTCCTAAATAGGGTCACTTCAAAGTGCTCATCCGTAACGCCAGTTCTTGCGTCCATTTACGAACTAGTAGGTCTGGCGATTAGTATAGTGCCTTTGTGGCGAGGACAACATTTGCGCGGAATCAAGCTATGCGAATGACAACAAATTGCTTGCGACTTGCGCGTGGAATGGTCATGGAGCGCAAAATTCCGCGCCCAAATGCTGTCGACAACGGACAAACGCAATATGCCAAATCTGCTATATGCTGTGAGTTAATGGCGATTTTGAAAATCTTTTCAGAGGGGATGGGGGAGAAATTTCCTTCGAAAAGCGTTAGCCACGTTCCTCAAAATTTTTTGGAGATTTTCGAAAATTTTTGCGGACTCATAACTTCAAATTTCCGTATTGTTTCTATCAAAGCTAACGATTTAAGAAACATTAGAATCTATTCTAATTATTTTCAAGCAAAAACGAATACTTGCACATTTTTTCACATCACTTTGATCACTTTCAGCCGGCATTATGGCGGCGAATGGAGAGAGGGGGGGGGGGTAGCGACGGAGCTGCTAATGATTCTTCTGGAATTTCAACCTATCGATGAAGACAGGCCATGCTATGCTACCTAGCAAAAAGTAGAACGGCCTTTATCTGTCGCTGAAGGTGCTCATTTTCCAAGCTCAGTCGTGGGCGCTCGGCTTACAAAATTCGAAACCGCTTTATCGATGATATGTGTGGAAAAGATCCATCTTGGCGGTAAGGTTATTACAATCCCCTAATAGTTCAATGAAAGCCGTAAGGGCATTGCTTAGGGTTCATGTACATACTGATTGGAAGGCTTCAGCTAAGCCTTCCAATCAAAGCCTCTAACCTCCTCAAACCACATCGTAATATTTCCAAGCAGAGTAACCGAAGTCTCGGCCTGTTAGAAATTACGGCATGGGCCGGAGTTTTGTTGCCTTCGTTGGCCAAGAATGAATGATATGACCCGACTGCTCCCATTGTTTTCACATAAGACACCCAGGTATCAGCCAGATCTGCCTGAACAGTGCAAGAACTCGTTGTTCCTACCCATTGGTGTCATAGTCTCCAGTAATCGTAGATAGAATGGATCATCGTAATCTTTACAGAATAGTATTCGAAATTCATCCGTGTTTTCTATGTTGGGAGCGTTTAACGAGAAATCTTCATCTAAAAAATTTGTGATCCATCTCTTCTTTCTATATTGTTTTATATGAGACTAGCCTGCTTTAATCGACGGTGCTTTGAAAAGTTTATCAATAGCTATAAGTTGAACGTCTCCAAAGTATCGATATTTCTATAAAAAGACATCTTAGGTTTCAGCTGTGGGATTTTTGCCCCAAAATGTGTTTCTGAACTCACTGTTTGAGCAGTAGCACCTTTAGGATCGTGTTTTTTGTTAAGGAGAGACATGTCATGCAGACTAAATCCACGGCAATCGTAGTTAATCTGTAATTTTGACACTCTTGCGTGTCCTTCAGCTTCTAGCTGAATTTTTGCTCACTTTATGTACAATGGATTCACTTGTATTCAAATCGCCTTCTTTCTTTTTGACTCGCGCTAAAAAGGCGTCTTATCCATTCGAACGTGCCATCAGCTGGGGAACTCACAACAGCAATTGCCCATAACATTCGTTAACTAAAAATGATTCATACTTCGTTTTAGGACGATATTTATATGAGCGCAGCAGTAATGATGATTCTCTGCTGATGGATACTATTTGCGCAGTGAGTCTCATTCGAGCTTGGAACATACATGAGATTTTACCTCATGAGTTCCCTCTGCCGTATTTGGGCTGCGTCCTGATGCGTCCTGTGCCAGCGCCGTTCCAACGCAGCTCCAGATCCACAATCTATCAGTACGGCGCATTCACATAGGTGCTGGCACATGAGCAACTTTGGATGCAGTGATAATACTTAACTATCTTTTTAGAAAGCAAGATTTTGAAGACTATAATTTTCTCTTCAATTTACGTTCACTTTAGAAAAATAAAAGAAAAACGCTGGAAATTTTGGAAAATATTTGCTTTTAGAGTTCAACCGTCCACAAATCTTCTTCCCCGCTGATTGATGATCAGACAAATAGTTTTTATTCCGTTTACAGCCTCGTTTACAGCGGAAAAATTCTGAAGATTTAGTAAATAAAGTTTTTGCCCGAGCAGATTCGTAATTAGGTTGTTCCGAAAGTAATGTCGCTTTTTCAAATGAACGCCACATTTCATGGAAGGAGGTCTTAGGAGGATTCGATGCAGCATCTCATCATCTATGGTTCTAATTTCATTGCATAATATTCAACCAGTTCTCGATAAATACCATAATCTGCGACTTATGCTTCTTGCCATGGTCAAGCTCTGCTATTTTTCTAAATTTCTGTACTTATTCTCCAAAGAAGTGCAAGTGACAGTTGGAAAGAGCAAACTCTGTCGGACACAGAATTATTTTTTCTGTTCCTTAGCTTGCTCCTCAGAGTTTCTAGAATCAATTTTTTAATGCCATCAAATTCCATATTTGGTCAACTCAAACCTCACAGAACAACAACCGGCAAGCAACTCGGGTGTCATTTGACGCAGCTTTTTCTCCTCTTTCTACCAGTTTTTTTTTTCGATTCATCAAGTTTTTCGGGATAAAATCATCATAATTCGGGTTTTCCAGGGCGCCCCAGGCTCTACCCGGAAATTTAGAAAGTCGCTAATCTGAGGCGGTGAATGCTCATTTGATTTAAAATTAGTGTCAAACCATAATTTATCTTTGTAAGTTTCAAAATTCGAAGATTGATTGGTGTTTGTTGCATTTGCGTCTGAGGCGAGAATGCTAAAATTCGTGGTCCCATCAAAAAATCTATACAAAAATTATGACGAGCTCTGGAAAATAGAAGAAAGTTGTGCTGTTTCCTAGGGTTTGCTCTATCCATCTATTACCTGGACTCCTTCCGAAGGTTGTTGTCAAAGTTTAGAAAAATTGTGAAACCTGGCCTTCTCAAAAAGCATGGGTCGCAGATTTTGATAATTTTTCAAGAAGTTACTGAATTTTGTGCAGTGGTTGTATAACCACTAGAAAGAGAATGAAATTCTGCATCGAATGCTACCAAGATCTCTTAGAAATCTTTGTTTCTTCAAATGTGGCGCCCGCTTGAAAAAAGCGAAATTACTTTCGGAATGACCCAATATAATGGAGAATAGCATTTGTCGAGTTTTGAATGAACTTCAGACTTAAAATTTCATTAGATTGCTTTTCTTTCTTTGGATTTGCAGGCAAAGTGGTAGCATGCCAGTGACGAATTTTGTAAAAAACTTCAACGAGATTTTTTTTCTGTTCTTGGAACTGGATAATTGGATACATTTACTACATGTAGATATACTAAACGCTCCACTAAGCACTATTAGAAGTCTGATATGAAAATGAGATCTGTACATTGTGCACTAGTCTCTACTCTAGTCCTAGTCGTTATTCGAAGAGATCCGTCCACCATTGATGTAAGTCTGGAGTTGGTTCAAAGTTGTGAAACTCCATTGAAGGCGACGTCGTATGCAGAGCCATCACGTCAGTGGCTGAAATGTTGATACGTCTTTGAACATTCTAAACTGTTAAATTCTAAAAATGTTACCGGGATTATTTGTCATTGGTGTATCTACGGAATGTCTTCGTTCTTGCGGTGAATCGCTGGCTTCATCCAGATTTTCCTCCAAGTCAGGCAGTTCATAAGTTGGCATCTTAAAGAATATACTATAAGAGCTTAAAACTTGAAACGTAGGAATGAATGATTACCTGCAAATTTTTCAGAGTCCCTCGTCGATCTTTCAAGGCCCCTTTCGACTCTGCAGCCTTTTCTAGACGCTTTGCCAGACTACCAAACATGAACTTTTTGGCTTCTCCCACGAGTTCAGGAATAGAATTCCGGCGTGCCCTTGGCTTTTTTCGGCTTCCATTATCCTCGTCAATGCTCTCTCGAGACTCGAATGACTCGAAGTTCTGCTGCAAAAAGGGCAAAATATGCAATCAAGTCTTTGGATATTGTCAGAGAAATATTATATCGTGCAAATCTAAGAATTATATGAAAAATTTGAGTGGTCCATAAGTCTTGCATCAAAAAAATACAAAAAAAAACAACAGCACAAAATACACTATTTAACTATGCATATTAGAAATTTTGTTCGTCACAAAAATGTGACCAAGGAAACTTTAATCAGCTAATCGTAGATACCAGCACGAAAATCGAATTTTGTTGGATTTTCTTATTGTTAGCAATTTTAGCGACCATTATCTGAAAAACTGCAACATGACTGTTTTTGTTTATCAGCTTCTATTCCGATGATGTCACTGTAGATTTTTGAAGCACTTCCAGAAATTGCACGATCTTCTCTTTCTAAGCTATGTTGGAACAAACATATTTGTTGAAATTATAGAGGAATACGATTTGCAAAATTTTTGGCGCAAGCTTATTGACCAACCTAAGTCTCAGTCTGATTTCATTCAAGCTGAAGCGGCGTTTTTTTTTCACATTTCGGCAGAATGCTTTTTTTTAGAAGCTGAGAACTGATTAAATCATAAATAAAGTGTCCATTCAAAATATGTCACTTCTAAAATAAATAAAAAAAGGACACACAGTCGCCGCTGGTGGAGTCGCCTGAAGGTTGTACTGTGAAGGAATATGGGGAACAGATGGGATGAGACAGCTGAGACGATGAAGAGCTAGTGCTGATGGTAGGGCGCCTTCAGGCTGTGTCATCATCTGCTAAATGTAAGCATTCAGCAGCTACCGTAAACATAATCCTTATGTTTGACCAACCACACTCTGCTTTTGTTTGATCCGTCGAAGACATTGCTCCAACCATGCACGAATTGTCTGCTTTGCCACTTCTTCCTCGATCATGTACTCTAGCTCTTCCCTCTGCAGTAATTCTTCTAGTTGTAGACTCTTGCGGATGTCTACGCTTCGATAGGAGAGCATACTGTAAAAGATGAGATCAAAGAGATACGGTAATGCCAAATTTGTCACTCACTTCAGCACGTCATGGAATGACACATCCTCGCCGTTATGTAACCGTTCCATCTCGTAGCACATATGCTTGAAGAGGAGCCGATCTTTGTTCGGATCGACTTCAAGCCTTCCACGAAGCAAGCGAAGAAGGAACTTTACCCGGCGAGTGGGAATCGAACGCTAAAGATCAGTTTTGGGAGCTAGCTGGAGGCGTGTAAGTCAGGATATGTGGTGCTACTAGAGGACAACTTGATTTGGTGACAAGAAAACCTTCTTGTCTATATGGCATTGGCGGTGAAAGAAATTTGAAAAAGCGTTTTTACAAGGCTAATTTGATTTTTTGAAACTTTTGTACTTGGAATTGTTTTTGATCTAAACAGTCGAGCTCGCTATTCTATAACACAAATAGACTACTTTCAAGGATTTTGCCACTTTTTTGGGAGGGGGAGGGCAGGGGTTTCAAGATATAACAAACCTTTTGTTCCGCATCCACGATGTTCCATACTTGCTGAAAGTTTCTTATATCAGCATAAGACAGCAATGCATCTTCTTCGCTTGAATAGAACAGTGAGAAATTCTCCATGATGATAGCTGAAATTTTATAGCTTTAACAATTTCTGCGGGAAAAAGATTTTATAAATTTTAATCCTTGTAGAAACTAGCTCACCTACTAGTAGATTGAGAACAATGTAAGTAATGATCAAATAGAATGAGCAGAAATAGAGTATAGCACCAAAGTAGTTCCCGCAATCGGTCTCCCAATAGTTCAAACCTTCGGCCCAATAGCAAAATGGTGGGGAACGCTGAATCGCAATTTTTTGAAATTTAAGAAGGATGGACCAGCGACTATCCACCCGGAATGGACTCCACCAGCAAATAGGCGAAAATCTGTTTGCTCAGTGAGATCACGGTAGTTACCGTACCCAAGTTCTATATATTTGAATTTGCGTATTATCTGAACAACTGACCATGCAGTCGTGCATGATGTCATTCCAATCTTCTCCGGTTACCGAACGGAAGAGTACGACGAGCGCTTCACGGCCGTTGCGAAAGTTTACATGTCTGAAAAACTTTAGCGCTTCATGAGATTTTTTGGAAAAAAAATTCATGTTGTTTTCCAAGCACTTCTTGGCTGCGTTCAGAGTTGTACGTGTGCGTGCGCCATACTAGCGCCGTGCCGCGAACACGCGGACGCTCCTCGTAAGGATCGACCGACGGCGCTGGCACGGGGTTAGCACTAACAAAGGCAACTCTGGACGCAGTCGCGAGCGCGAAACAGCCAAATTTGAAATTCTAGAATATAACAGAACTGTGGTAAATATCCGGTTGTAAAGTATTAGATATTATTCTTGAGATAAAGGGTGGAGTCTGATAGGATTTGGGCGGGGCCTGATATTATTCTTGAGGTAAACTCACTTGCTGACAGCTTGACCATACTTAACCATACCAAACAGTATCACGCCGGTATAGGCGTAGAATAGTACCAGAAGAAACATTGCAGCGATAATGAATAATGATCGAACCATAGACATCAGCACAGTCAGCATAAGCATTTTTAGTGTAGACTTTCGCCCTGAAAAAGTCCCATCGCGATCTTAGCGGTGAAGTGAGTAATGCTGCGTACCGGCTATGGTGAAAAATCGTAGAATTACGACCATATACCCGAAGGTGTAAGTTAGCCTCTTCCACTCGTTTATTCCTCCGGCAATGTACGCAGGCACTGGAATCTCTAGTTAAAGATAGCACTAGAGAAATCTAAAAGCAACTAAACCTTGGAATAGAAAATGAAAAACTATCCAGGTTAGGCCTAAAATAGTGATGAGAAAATCGCCACGATTCCGTCGCGATTGCCAAAAACCGCGAACGGTAAACGCGACAGCTTTCAAGATAATCTGCAAAAGAGCTATTTTGTGCAGGAATTCTCTTACGAAGTAGTTCGTACTCACTTCGATTGTAAAGAGTACATTACAAAAAGCGGACAGGATAGTGAGACCGAATAGAACATTCCTTCGCTGCTTCTCTTCCTCGACATTCCAAGGCACCACAAGCGTGAAGGAGTTTACCACGACCAGTATGGCGAAGAACTGGATTCGAGAGGTCAGTGAGTACTTGTTTGTACGAACTTAACATCAAAAAGTCATAAGAAATTGAGATGGTAAGCGAAGAATTGCAAAAAAAGGCTTCCTTGAGAAAAAGAAGATCCTGCATTTTTTTAACTTACAAAGAGGTCCTTACTGGACACCTAGAGAACGTCGCATGGATTATCAAAAATTAAAGCAAAAAATGCATTTCATTATTAGACCTTTTTCATCTCCTCTTTTCCTCCTCCTCCCAATAAAGGTCGTTTAGATATATTCAAATCCTGAAGTTGGGTCGTGCAATTTTTGTAAATTATCTACATAAGTTATGTTGCGCTAGGCAGCTTTTGAGTTTTTTAGAAATTCAAAGTTAACCTGTAAAGTTTTTTACTAAAGTTTTTACGTTGTCACACCCCCTCTCCTAGAAATTAAGGGTCGGGCATACTTCACGCGATTTCAGTCGCGACGCGATTTGGCAACATTCCAACTGTCCATAACTCACTATAAGCACATTTCAGATGTGCAGAACATAGACCATTTTATCAAACCGTGTAAGTTATACACACTATGCATGCGCAGTTTGCTAGTATCGGATCTGAAGACTTTTGGCGAATTGCCAAATCGCGTCGCGATCGAAATCGCGTGAAGTATGCCCGGCCCTTTAGGAAGCAAAAATCGTGGAAAGCAGCAAAGAAATTCTTAGAGCTTGACGATAGACGCTCGATCGAAAAATTTCTTGCTCCCCTTCCCCCGAAAGAAATTCTCTCACCTTCACTGCAGATAATTCAATATTACCATTTGCTACATGATAAATGTGGAGACCTCAGAATGTGTGAGTACTGCCCCCTACCTGCTTGAAACCTCTGCTTAATGTTAACTCGTATAGGTAACTCCGCAGTTTAGCACTTTCGGGTGGTTTCGGTGGTACATGCAGTGGCTGAGCCATTTTCAATCTTGCCTTCAAATCATGCCATCGACGCTGATCAACAGTGAGTAAGGCGGTGCCCTGAATTAGAATATTCACTGGGAAGAATATCTTTACAGCGTCGGCTGCTTACCCTGTTCTCAGTATAGTTCGCAACCACTACACCCACAAAAAGTGTGAGACCAATCATACATCCGATGAATACGTAGATGTGAATGAAAAGTACGGCCCACTGAAAATTTGGAGTTGATAGATATATTTTGCGTCGAAATGGTCCGTACCGGTCCCTGTCGCAAATAGAGAATGTCTCTTATGACGTTCCAGCCCTTGTAAGAAAGAGTCTCGAACAGAGCTAGCATAGCATTGCCGATATGATCAAAATTGAAGTTACGGGGATTGGTCCTGGGGAAATTTTTATCACACAAAATGTCTAATATCATCATAAAGCGTACTTACCATACGCGGGGTACGAGAATTTTCGGATGGAGATTGTCATCGTTCTTGCCATAAACTTCCATTCTTGTGACAAAGATTTTCTGTTCAAAGACACCAGTGCAGTTTTTCTAAACACTGGATGATCTCTTGCCAAGAAACGCTTTAAATTTCTGCAACGATGACAAAGCGCCGTTTCTTAATTCTCATGAATCTTAGAAATAAAAAGTAAATTGTAGAATTTGAGCAGAACTTTTAAAAGAGCTTATAGGCAGTATAAAAGTTTTCTGTGCCCAGTCTTTGCAAAGAGCCATAGTAAACTGCAAAAAAATTTAACGAGTTGAGAAACAAGCGAATCATCAAATAAAACTTTCTCATAACAATCATACAAAAAATGACTTGCTAAATATACTAGAAATGAAAGTAAAAGCACATCAAAAATTACTCCTGTGAAGCATTTGCGGCAATTTTCGTGAACCCTTACCCTTTCCGTAACTGTCGGATCGTTGCATGCAGCCAATTTCCCACCAACAATTTGTACACCAAAGCTAGCGAACATGAACATTAACACGATTAGCAAAATTGTAACCTAAAACGAAAAAATTCACAAAGTCTCCCAGGAAGGAAATATGGGGCTCTAACCAGAAGAATCTCCTTGAATCCGCGGCACAGCTCGACAACAACTCTCCGGATGTGTGGGACGAGCGCATATATTCTCAGAGGTCGTAATGCTCTCATGATCATCAGCAGTTGAGCCCAGGAGTTGATTTCGACGTGGGATGGCATCCAGAGAAGGTAAATGAGGCTTGTCTAAAAACCCTTATTTTTAGGCAGCGTTCCGAGTCGCACGTGTTCCGGCGCTGTGCCAGTGCAATTGCAGCGCTGTGCCAGTGTCGGGCTGGGACCCTTTTTGATGCGACTGGTATTGATCGAATGACGCCGGCTACGGCCTGGAATGGTCCTGGCACTGCGCTGACACAGACGAACTTAACCTATGTTTAGCTATTGAATTGACTTTGAACTTACAAAATAGATGAAGAAGGTCATTATGTCCCCAACATCCTTCACCACAGCCTTGGGTGTGAAAAATAATCCATTCGCTATAACTTTTACCATCAACTCGAACGTCATTGATACAACGTAGAGATACTCCGTTATCTAGAAAAATGGCCTTCTGTTAGACAGAAGAAATCTTCAAAATAGGAAAAAGAACCTGCAGGTATGGGTTGTTAAAAATTAGGTTCTCGCCAGTGGTCGGCCATGGGCTTTCAAAAAGCATCGACCAACAAGAGAGCGATGTGACTAGCACCATAGCCCAGTCCAAATATGTCATGAGACCTATGAAGTCACTGAAAATAAAAATCTTATTCTAATTTTCTGTTCTCCAAAGGGGAGCTCACTTACTGAAGCTGTTTATACTTCAGTATGATCTGCTTGCCAGTCACGGGATCTATCCTTTCTGGGGAATATTGTGCATAAACAATATTCTGACATAGGACTCTCAAACGAGAGTCCCTTCCCACAGTGAAAAGAGGTCTATCGAAGAATGGGTGATTTTCTCGCATTTCTTCCTCGATACGATTTCTGAAACAGGGAATCACCTTTTGAACAGTTTTGGTTCTGTCATAACTCACCTAGTAATTTCTGCATGGGCTCGTTTTTGTTGCAATGCCTTAATGTCAATCTCTCCTTGTTTTGGCTCCTTTTTAGGAGCAGAGTCTGATGGACGAACGTCACCATTCTCCTTCAATCCTTCAATGTGATTTTTACCTTTCAAAGACTGGAAGCCTCGATTTCGAGGCCCGCTGAAATAAAGAATACGGTCAAAAAAATGCTTATAAGATTCCAAATCTTATAGAAGCCCCTAGAAATTGAACTTACATTGTTCCTTTCGAATTTTTCAAGTTACCTCTTCCAAGACTAGGAATATATTGAGAATCAGAATAAAGAGCTCGATGACGGTTAGATTCTCTGGAAAACTCTGGTGATCTGGAAATTGTTCGATAAAATTAGGAATGTTTCATCTGAAATAGAAATGTTATCGTCAGCAAGTGAAATCACGAAGAAGCTGCGCGATTTGTTGAAAATTGATTTCTGTTCAGTGGTCCAATTTCTAGATTTTTTCAGATCTTGAGAGTTTAGTAAAGCTTGATAAAAAAAGACAAAATTTGTTTAGTAGACTTGCAGTTGGGAAGAATTAAACAACTGGACACGAGTTTTTGCACTTCATACAGAAAAATTATGTAGTATGGATAAGCTAACGTTGATCTCACGATTCTATTTTTGGGAGAGGGGGAGGGCGCAAGACATAATTTTTTTAACGGAGGGGCTCCGCATTAGTCATGCCTTTTTTTTTGATTTCTGGGAAAGCCTGAGGATTATATGAAAGCTCGAAGCTTTGAAATTTCAAGAATGGGTTGGGAAATAGGCGTAAGCACCATAAATATTAGTACAAAGACGATTCAAATTAATATGGAACTTTTTGAGTTGTTAGAAAGCAAAAATATGTTACTTGCACAATTTTATAGCAAGAACAAACCTTTCAAAAAATTTCTAAATGGATCCCCCCCCCCGCCAACTTCGGTCCGTTATTGCTAAGCTGAGTTTGATCCGAAGTATTGTTATCGTTTTACCAATGTGAGGCTTTCAAAAGCTTCTTCCCCATCATGCGGAAATAAGCGAGTAAAAAACATATTTTTTGCGGATTCTCGCTGCTCCTCCGTGATTTCTCACTCGTAAAAGTATTCAGTCTTTATACTCACTCGAGCAAAGCGGATAAGATATGTCGGCTGGAGTTGTGTCCGATGTGTCGCATTCGTATCCTTGTTTGGGCACGAATTTGCGCTCCTCTTCTCAAAATCGAACGACCGATAGACTGAGCAGCTAAACTTGAAAATAGCTGTGTCATGGCACATAAAAAGCATGCGCCAAACCTTCGCTGTTTTCCGAGTTGCTGCGATCAGCTTCGTCAGCGAATTGCCTTGTAAAGGAGTCGCGAATCTTTGGAAGAGGAAATTCGGATGTCATCTGAAAGGCGTTTCAGCAGTATCAGTTCAGGTTATGGTAGTATCCAACCTTCTTCAATGAAATCATTTGAGGCCTTGTCGGAAATTTGTCGAAAACTCGAAGGCGCCATGGAAGGGTGGTTTTGATGGTGTTCTAAAATATCACTGTAGAGCCGTCGGAAAAGCTTGTAATAGAATGTTTTTCCATAAAAATTCAAATCATTGTGAAAAACCATTTTCACGGCCTTGCTGCAGCCGCACGCCCCTTTTTTCACTATACGCGCTAAAAATTGGTAGACCCTACAAAATTTTTTTCTCGGATGGCACCCAACCTGAACCATCATCCCCATGAGAATTTCCTGCGATCGAGACAGAATTTGATTTTTTGAGTACACTGCATCTAGGACTTTCCTTATCTGTGTGGTTTTTGAAAATTTGTAAGTTGATGACTGCAGATTAAAGGCAGCGTCCAGGCAGATCTGGACCTATGGGGCTTTTACGTGGAAAGTACTTTTGGGGCCCTAACTAAGGCACTGCCCAAGCGGCAACTCAGGTAGTGCTTTAATGGCTGAGATATTCCCCTCGAAACTGGCCCCCGCCAACATATTCGCATGGATTCATGGCAGTTTCGCGCCAGGATCCACGCTTTGCGCCATGAATCCATGCGAAACACGGTCGCGGGGTCCAGTTTCGAGGGGAATATCTCAGCCATTACAGCACTACCTGAGCTGCCGCTTGGGCAGTGCCTTAGTTAGGGCCACAAAAGTACTTTTCACGTAAAAGCCCCATGGGTCCAGATCTGCCCGGACGCTGCCTTTAAAAAAAAATAGCTGCGTCACTTACTTGTTCCCTAGCTTTCAGCTGCTTCACCTTTTTCAACTCTTCGTCCATTTCCAAATTATCCAAAATGACAGCAACAAACAGACTTAATACAATCTGAAACAAATGGTTTATGTTTTCGAACAGGAAAAGGCATACGGTATATTCCAAAACCGATTTGAGAGATAACAGCGATTCACCAATGTGACCAGCAAATGATACCCGACGAAATAAATAGCCACAAATGGAACCATAGACTCGTTTGTAGCTCGCAAAATTTCTACCACAACGTCAGTCCAACCCTCTTGTGTGATAATTTGGAACATGGACATAAATGCCTAGATGGTAGGAATTCTAATAAAAATTCTAATAAAAATCCCAAAACGAGAGCTTTTCTTCTATCCTCACCATTGGAAAAGTAGTGAATTTCTTTAGCTTTGGCACATAGCAGAATAATTGTAACGATATGGCAGAGGTAATGAACAAAAGCACCATAGTGAACACGACCAAACCACCTAATTTCTTCCCAGGACCGAAAATCTGCAATAAACCAAACTTCTGTTCGCTGTGTAAAAAGTTCAAGCATACCTTATAGACAAAATCTTCGAGCATCGGTGAGGCTTTGATAAGGCGAACAAGGCGAAAAACTTGGAAATATGTAAAAATGTTCATGTTGTAGAGTGGTCGAATAAGATTGAGAGTTGAGCCTAAATACGATAAAAACAGTGACGATCGTTTTTTTTTTGTAAAGAAGAGGCAGGGGAGAAATTAAAATTTGGTACGAAGGTCCATCCCTATAGAACAAATTTTTCTCAGGCCTGTAACCTCGAAATTCAAGAAAAAGAGCTTTAACAATGGATTACGCTTTCGCAAATTTTTTTACAGAGCTGATTCAATTCCAATTTTTAAACTTCAGCTTTCAGTTCTCAGAATTTTTCAACTAACGAGTTGTAGTACGAGTAGTTGAACTAGTGATGGTCGCCAAAAAATTTTCTTTTCAGGGGTAAGATGCAGGAGAAGGGAAATGAAGAAAGTTAACCCATCCAAATGTAGTTGCGTTGGGGTAAAAAAATACCAGCAAACAGAACGTTCTGGAAAGAAAATAAAAGTATCACTCACCAACGCAAAGTATCAACTCAAATTTGTGCTGACCGCGTCGCAGATAGCCTTTCCATCCAAACCCAATCACTTTGATCAGTGCTTCGATATTGAAAATGATAGTGAAGCAGATCTGACAGGTTTTTGATTCATAAATCGGAGATTTCCTAGTGCATGGAAGCAAAAGCGAAGATAGACTGACCTCTACGTAGTAGTAAATTTGCTTTCTGATCACATCCGAATAATCATGTCGGTATACGAATGAAGCATTGATCAAAGCATTGAGTAGAACCAGAACCATCATAGTAATTTGGAAAACAGTACTATTTACGAGCTGAAAATCTACTTCATTGTATTCTTTAAGGAAATGAAACGTATCTTTTTTCGAGCCGAATCTATTGCAAGCCCAGTTATAGCAAATTTTCCCCTTTTTCTTCTTCCTTTGCCTCCTTTTGACCACTTAATTTCTCTACTATGAAATAGAAGAAGTTGGATCTTATCTATCATATGTTGCCGTATTTTTTGCCAGGTATGGTAGATCAAACTAACAAACTATGGTCAGTTTTCTTTTCGAAATAGTTGTTTAAAATCCATTTAACTCACCCCACGTACTTGATTAAGTAAGGAGGTGGTGCAGGAGGCACCAAAGGGCTGCCGCCTATATCCGCGGGAGATAATTGAGAGCGCGAGCGCTGTGGAGAATATTTTGGCCAGGATCCAAGAAAACTTGGCAATGACATGCTGTAGGGACAAATCTTCATAACTTTACTGGAGATGACTTTCAAGAACTTGAAAAACAGATTTGTAATGCAAATTTGAAGGCGCATTTACTGGGCCGAAAATTAAATGAAAATTCAGAATTGTAGTGGTAAGAAAAGTCAACTTTCTTATAGAAACGTTTTTTCATGAGTTTTGAAGTTTAAAATTGCTGAAAACAGGGATTTTAATCCAAAATTCATTCTTTTTTATTTGAGATAAAGGAATAGTTTGCCTTTTGAATCAATGAACTAAAGCAATCAAACGTTGTAAAAACGCGTCTGGAGGCTTGCGTCAAGATGCAATATGCAGTTTGTCTCATAACTTCAAACCTATTCTTATTCTAAATTTTGACACTAAAGACTTCATAGGAATTGTCATTAAAACTGTGAATCCTTTCGAGGTTGTACACAATAGCAGAAGTTCATCACATGCAACTTAGTTGACTGTATTTTCTGATTAACACTCCCTACTTTCTCAACTTCGATTTCACACGACATCGAACTTGAAAGTCAGTTTTAACGGTGAATTTTGAGGGTTCAGGTTTTGGTGAAAATAGAACACGAGTAGCGAAACAGCGTTCTTCATCTATCCGGTAGGCGTATTACTGAAAGCGCCTTTCAATACTGATTCCGAATCTGTCCTTCGTGTCCTTGAAAGTTGATTCCAAGAAGAGTTATAATGGTTTTTTCTAAGGATGTCCTGGCTAAGTTTTCCTGGACCCTTGCCAAAATCTTCTCCACAGCGCTCGCGCTCCTAATTATCTCCTACGGCTACAGGAGGCATGCCTTTGGTTCCTCCTGCACCGCATCCGATTAAGTAATGTATTTCTGCTGTTTGTTTATCGAAAAAAGCAGTTTGGCTAGCTTTTCTACTTTTTATTTTTGTCTAGAATCCCTTCTCAGACAATCGCAAATGACTTCCGGAGCAAAATGAAGTTCCAAAACTTCCGGGGGACACTCCTGTTGGAGCTGCCAGAGAAGGCGGGACCAGTTAGGGCGGGGCCCACCCACACGGCCCAGTAGGAGGGTTCCCCGGAAGTTTTAAAAGTTCAGTTTCCCCCGGAAGTCATTTGCGATTGTCTGAGTTGTGTTGGCGAGCTATGCGAACGATTATTTGTCCACGAATAAGCATTTGTAGAACAATTGTGATTTTTCATTACTAAAAATATAGCATTAGACTAGCAACATTACCAAGTGCAAGAACTGTGGACTGTTGGTGCCCCTGTTGTAGTGGTCCACCTCTACCAATCGCCAACCTCCTTCAAACCGCTCTAGTCTCTGAAAAATAATGGCTCAAATCGGATCAGTAGCGCTAGAAAACAAAAATTTACTTGAGTATAAGTGTCCTCGCTAGCTGAGCTGTTGCTTTGCCACATTTCGCTGAATTGTACGCGAATTTCTGCGAAAGTCTCCGTAATCACAGCAATGAAAACGTTCTAGATTTTCATTTCATTTTCAAGCAGGAAAGTTGAAAAAGTTGACTAACTTTGACAAGCCATGCGAGAAAGAAAATGAGGGTGACAAAGTAGAAGAATGCGACGTATGAGGGTAGCGTGTCCAAACAGTCGTATAGGACGTATACCCAACCCTCTTGGCTGGCTGCCAGGTAGACTGTGAATAGGGAGGATGCTGGAATAAATTTGCCTTTTTCAAATTACTCGGTGATAAAGTTGATTGTTTCATTTTTAAGTCAAATACAATTCTTTTGAAGAAAAAAACTTTCTTTCCTCAAGTGGGCTCTAGGGGTTCGTCCAGGCAGATATGACTTGGGTTTCCCATGTGGATACCACAGGGAGCCTTAAGGAACCAAACCCAAACGTCAGCTCATATTACTCTTTTGTGGGCTAGCATGTGCTCTCGTTCAGTACCGTACTTTTCAGGAATGACCAATCAGCATAGTTGATTACGGTAGAAGGTAGTAGCGTCTGGGCTAGAGTTTGGATATGAATTTCTCAGCCACGAGTGACTTTAAGAGCTGTCGCTTGAGTAATAGCTAGTTAAGAACTTCTAATTACTTTCTTTTCAAGAAACCCAGAGTTCCAATTTACCTAAAGTTTTACATCAATCTCGCTCACCAAAGTCATTAAACATCCCATAGAATCCCTCGACATGCGCTGACATATCCAATTTCATGCACACCATGTTGTCTGGGCATTCATAACCTCCTAGAATGTACAAAATGGGCCGTTGTGACAAATGTCCTTCCTCATGTCGCTATCAATCATTTCTTTCCTTTTATTCATGACGCACGCTAATTCACCTTCGCCTTTTTGCGAGCACATCGTGTCGGGAATGGCCAAGTCGGCAATGGTGACATTTCGAGGATCCGTTCCGCTAAGCACACAGTGGTAATCCATTCGTCCTACAACGAGTTGCTGATTGATGAGGGGGCCGCTAATGAGCTAGCGAGCTGACTCACCAAACAGCTGAACTCCCATGATAGCGTAGAGCGCCATGAAAAACATGAAGAAGATTGTGACGTTCTGAATTTGTTGCGAAGATCGTCTGAAAAAAATCTGGTCATCTTTTATTTGGCAAAAATCTGAGGGAGATTTCTCAAAAGACCAAAATAATTCAAAAGCTTCTTGTTTTTCTGTTGAGGAAATTTGGGCCCAGAACTTGGTAGATAAGGTCATTCAACTCACTTGATGATTTGCTTGATTCGATTTTTCGGCAATTTGAATCTGACTAACGACCGAATGAACCGCAACATGATGAATGGTCGAGGCGAACGAATCACGCCGAACCATGGTCGATACTGAATCCGAAGATTTAGAGTTCCAAGACAATGAAATAGTGAAAAATGTAAAAAAAAAGCAAAATGAACCACTAGTCCAAGTGATGGCACAAGAATGGTGAAGAGTTCATAAGCATGTAAGGCACAAGAGAGAACATGCATTAGAAGCATGAAGAAGTCGAACTGGGACCATTTTGCTCGTAGATAAGAGGAATCGTGCTGAAAAAATGATCATGTAAAAAAAAACTCCAAGAGCAAAGAAAAAGTTATCAGAAATGTGTGCTTGAAAAATTTCAAGGGCATGAGGATGGCAAAATGGACTTTTCAAAAATGATATTTTTTAGCACTGTCAGATTCTAATTCTCTTCCCTCTTGGCATCGGAAGTTGCGCATGGGTAATAAAATAAGTACCCTAATTTCATGCGTACAAGGCGCACCTTTTTCGATTTTTCGACTAAGCCCCTCAGCCGCTTTAAATTATTTCGGAAAGCGATCCCTATGTCGTACATTCTCCTAAGCAATATACAGCAAGGCATAGGGTCCTTTGATTACGAAGTTCTTTTATTTGGGCTGGCCGATTTTGGAAAAAATCCCCCGCACCTCGTACGCGTGAAATTAGGGTATCTGATTGTTTGAAAAATGATGAGAAACAGTATTCCTAACTGTAATATGAGAGTCGCGCACTTCTTCCTGGCCTTGTTTTTCTTACCGGTTACTGGTTTTTCTTATAAGGTCCACTGTGCTTTTTCGAAGAAAAGTTGAAATCCTACGTTAGCGCGAATCTCTGTTTCTAATGGCGACAACTACCATGTACAGAACTTTGGAACATCTTTAACATGGAAAAGAATATTTCAAAGCTATCAATTGCCCAAGTACTTTTGATCAGGGCTTGGCACAGGTGGCTTGTAAGCAAGCTGGATATCGTTTTTTGGGACAAAAATCAAAGTATCGTTTTTGAGGCCGAAAAGACGAGAAGTTTTTTTAGTCGACATTTCGTTTTTAGAGGGTATAGGGTCAAAGGGGACTTCGTAAAAATTCGCGAAAGTCGAAGGGGATTTCGTTTTTTGCATTTTCCAGAAGCCATCTCGTGCCGAGCCCTGCTTTTGATACCAATTTCAGCCTTTTTGCCTTACATTTTTTTGTATTAAGCGAGTTCTTCGAGTAAAAGCATATGATCACAGTCAGCGTGCTCTATCTCTTATCCCTAGGATCATTTTTCCATTCCGCTCATACTTCAGGCCACCACATAATTAGGAATCAGTGCGCTAAAGCTGGAAAGTGCAGTGTACCCTAGCAGTTATATCGTAAACACCCCTCGTTAGCCTCTGCTTTGCCAAATGATGCCCGAGCGCCAGCGCATTCCCTTAAAAGGATTGGAAAATGCTTGAAAACTAGACTTTGAGTAGCCTTTGTGAGATTTGTCATCTTTAATTATTCGTGGGGGAGAATTTCCATGCTTGATGTTGTTCAAGAATATCTTGAATTCGCATAGAAAAACATCAGCAGTGGTGTGAAATAAAATTATTTATCATGCAAACGTTTTTATTGCATGATTTAGAGCATCGTTCGTGCTTACAGCTTCCTATAATTCAATCTAAGAAATTTGAAAATTGCGCATACTTTATGAGTATGAACATTCTTTTTCTTAGTGCAAGTGCTAAACTATCCAAAAAGTAGATATAATGAGCCATAAAAATTTGAATCGTTTAGCATCTGCATAACGTTATAAATTCTGGGACAGATTGGACTTTGGAGCTCAATCGCACCAATCTACGTTTGTTTTAAGAAACAAAAAACAAATGCTACAAAGAAAAGAAAATAAAAGTTAATACAGATCTGCATCTAGACTACAAAAGCATTCGTAGTTACAAATGCTTTCCCTTAGGTAAAATCTAATTTTTCAACAGGGTTTTGAATGTCTGAAATTAATCAAGAGCTTCAGGTCCATCCTGACCTTATTTATCTCTTTATTTGACTTCTAAAGACTCATGGGAAGGAACAAGAAGTTGATGACAATAAGCTCCTCGTGGTTTGTAAATAACTCTATTAGGTTGATGAATTTATCATTCGAAAAAATATTGCAAAATATACTGAATTAATATAATAGTATCTAAGAAAATGTATCATTTGTCAAACGATACTTTAAGCATTTCAATCATTTTATGGAAATCACAGACTCGATATGACTACATAGTCAATTCTTTTCCGCATAGAGGTGGGTCCTGGTCTTCACCCAATTTTCCCAAACCTCATCTCCCCTTAATTTTCGCTTTTGTTTGTTTCTGTGCGTGACGGGGCAGCTCATTCGCGTCGCTCTCTCGCTCTTCTCACACTTGGTCATTAGCAATTATGCCTGGGGCACGCGAAGAGGAGCGCCGTGAAGACGAGCAGAGAGCTCTCCAAACGAGGAGAGAAAGCTCTTCGGAAGACATTCAAACACTGTCAATAGCAGCCTTCTGAGCAAAGTCCTACCTCAAACCTTTACTTTGATACATTTATCGGTATAGGTAGGTTGAGTAGGGGCACTTACCTGCCATAGGCCAACGTGGTGAACGTTGATGGCTGCTTCGACGATAAAAACCAGAGTAACGATGCAGTCGTTGACAAAGATTGCATAGTTGAGAGGAGGCCAGAGTTGAATGGTTTCTGGAGTATGTAAGCAGACGGAGATCATCGACAGTAGGCAGGCCAAGCGGACGAGTTCCTTCAGCACGTCGTTTTGAAGAATCTCTAAAAAAAGACATTCAGCTAATTATTTTTCCGGTCTTTTTTTTTTTGAAGACTCAAAACGCTCGCAATTTTACATGTATTTTTGGTATCTTTCGAACATGGGAGTCATACAAATGTTGCTTAATAGAGGAGTTGGGGCATTCTGTTAACGATATTTGTCTTTTGTTTATTTATTTGTTACGCGGTCACATTAGACAATCAATGAGGGTGCTGACATAATCAGCAACAAAGATTATTTTAAGAAAACAGTCATTAAGTCAGCTCAAGACCAGCTCCCAATTAGTGTTTTGAATTTTGAAAATATACGATTTGGAAAGAAGAAGAAAGAATTTTTTCACCTGGTTTCAAGTAAAGCTCTGCAAAACGAATTGAATTTGTCTGCAACACATGAATTTGTAATCTTGGTGTTTAAAGTATTTTTTCCAATAGTCAGATAAGCCCCAAAAATGCGCTCCTGCGCGCTGTGGGAAATTCTGTTACTTAATGTTTTTTCGTGTATGTTTTGCTATAATTAAAGCTTGTTATAAACCCTTACTCTGTCATGCAATTATTGCAGTACAAAAAAGAAGATTGAAATTGCAGAAATTGATGTTTTGAAATACTGGCGATAAAAACACCTGTTGGTACTTTTACATTCATAGAAAATTCTCACTAATCGCAATGTTTACAATTTGTGTAGTTTCAGCAACTGCCAAGTCATTTGTAACTATGTGAGACTGCACACTATAAGCGACAACCGACGACACTCTTACTAGTATCCTTAGTAAACCTTTTTTAGCCTGAAAAAATAGGAGTGTGTGTTACTCACTATCACATATTTCAGTCATATGACAATAAGGAGAAATCAGTGGCAGCGAGCAGGTTCTGGTCTTACAAGCCGTGAAAAATAGTGCGTATGGTGTGCAGAAACCATATTAAGTTATGAATGACTCGGCTGTGAATATTAATGGAACTATAAAAACATGCGCGAAATTGTTTTATAAGCATCGTGAATCTTGATTGTGCCTACCTGACGGCTTCTTGTTCATGGCGCTCGGCTCCAGGTTGATGATCTCCGTCAGGGCCACCACGGACTCGCCTCGTCGCTTCTTCTGGCCACCAGCACCTTCGGCCTTTCCATCGGACGGTAGCGACGACTTGCGCCTCGTCAGCATCGTGGCTGACAAGGCAGCCGCCTTGCAGGCTGCAAAACGCTTTGTGAAAACCAGCAGAGGAACTTATGCTGAAGACAGAGACGTCAACAAGAAGTCGTCACTCGCAAGCGAACTCGTCCACCTCAAGCTGCAACACTGCGAACGATGGGCAATTGGGGCGAGAATTTAGAGAGACGACTAGCAAATTGCTGCTCTGCTCAGCAGCTTCGATTCGAATCCACTCACTCACTCACTCAACCTTAGGTTGCTCATCGTTTCGAGGGGAGGAGTAGCGGCGGAAGCGCGCAGAGTGTGGGAGAGCGCACTCTACTGGGAACATTCATACTTTATAGCGTGGAAACGGAGCTCATTTGGTTTTGCCGTAGCAAGCTGGCTTAGGGTATGGCAAGTACAAGTGAGAAAGGGGGGGGGGGTGGGGGTGGGCGTGAGGGAGGAGATCATCTTCAACATCAATCGGAAGTATCAAAGACATCAGCCTTGCAAATTTAAAAAAAATCATAATTTTTCTCCAACTTCGATAAAATCCCAAACCTTAGTATTTTTTAATAGAGAAAAATTTGCGTTTCCCAAGAGCGCTTGCAGCAAAATGTGATTTTGTGATACTGCGATGATACAATCTCATAGAAGGAAACATTCAAGCATTTTTCTAAAATTCTGCTTGCTAATGACTAAAAATCACTGCTAAATTCAACTAAACTCTCATTTTAGATTTGTTTTTGGTATAACATGCTATTTCAAATGAGGGAAATTCTTGCTAATCAGACATGCCCGTAAATATTTTGATCTCCTTTTTTAGCCATTTTCTATGTCTATTTATGCTTTTCGAATTTTTTTATTCAGTTTTGTGCTTTGAAGACAAAATGCTTGAGGTACATCATAAGAAGTAAATGATGGACTTGGAAAACTTATTTGAACATTCATGAAACGAATATTTTATGTTATTCAGTGCAAGTCTTATGCGTGAGTCTAACAAAGTATTTTTCGTCCAATTTTTTTCAACCATTCGTCTTCCAATTCAATTTTGATAACTTATGATTTTAAATTTGATGTCTGCAGTCGTAGATCTAGCCATACTGCCAGATTTATGGTTGCTTTTATTATTTCTTTAGATGGATATTTCCTTCGCTTTGTGTGTTTTCTGCCAATCTCCTACTTCCCAGTCATTGTTTATCGCTGAGTTCTGCTATTTATTGCGTTGAATGACGATTATGGCAAAACGACGAGCGGAATGGCCCTCAGCTGACTCGTTCAGTGGCACTTCAAGTCTCATCAAAAGTGAATGTGGTTGCTGTGATGTGCACAATGGAGTAACTTTATGGGTTTCAGTGATTTTGAAATCTGAAAAAAAAACAGCTTGTTTTTTCTGATATGCAGGAAAGGGAGACGAACGAGAATGGGCAAGGTGCAAATGTTTTTCAGCATCAACTTAGCTTACGATATGTTCGTCTTCTTGGGAGATTTGCCATGTACAATCTTATGAAATTTCTGCAAATTAATTATGATAACTCACACCGGTGGCCTGTCACATATATTTTCTCTTCATGATTTCATAACTTCATCCTAATTTTTACATGTGATCGAAACGTATTCGTCTCCCAGAATACACCTGTAATAGTTGAAAAAGGTGTTCCTAAGCTTGACGATAATGAGAAATCTCAAAAACTTCTGATCATCTCGTCTTTCTCAGTTTCTCAGTTATTTATTTGCTGCATTATGACCTCACCGCAAGAAAAGTAAAACTACCATAGCAAATATTTCCGCTTTGGAATAGAAATGCAGGATAGTTTCTTACTGGTATAGCCAGAAAAATGCTGAGTTTTTTTTTGGCAAAAGATAAATTCACCTCAATTTTTAGGAAAACGAACAGTTTCAGCTCTTCCAAAAATTCCAAGGATCTTGAGAACATATAGGTGTCTTAGTGCAGCAAGAAGCGCATAGAAGCGCTCAAATTTCTTGGTTAACATAGTGAGAACGTTTTTCGAAGCACACGCGATCTCTCGCGTAATGCTCTGCATCTATAATTCACTAAATGTTGTTTATGGAAGCTGCTTTGTCACAGCAGCATGCAATTCGAAACCAGTACTAGCTTGCATATCTATGAGCAAACAAAACGTAGAACAAGTCATAAGAGGCTAAAGTATGCAGAAAAGAATATTTTAGAAATATAAAAGGCAATTTTTGGAAAATATTCGCTTTGAAAATTCGCTCGTTCCTTTTTATTCAACCGACCATCAAGACCATTTCTGGCAATTTTGAGCAGCTTGTGGGGATTACGACGGTTGATCAAGCAATGTAATCTCCAGTGATACAATCGATACGATCAGCTACCGTATACCTACGTTAAGACATAGTGAAATAGAAAAATTTATCCTCAACTCCTGATTGTTTCATACCTCTAGATAGATAGTCAAATTTAGTCAAATATGTCAATAAAAATAAGAAGTTTGATAAATAAATAATGAATGACAAATGAATAAATGGCTTGATAAATAGGTAATTTTTTTCTCAAAATCACGACAGTTTCTGCTTATAATTCACCAGTGCTTACTTGAGATGGAATATGTTAAGTAGGGGGAAATTAAGTTTTACTCCATCAATCTTTAGCGTAATCTTGGTAAACATAAACAGTGAGAGCATATAAATACTGTTTTTGATTTGTAGTCAATTACAAAAAAATTAGACTTACTGATATCCATAGTACGAGACCTGCTAGAGTCAAAAGTGCAGTGAGACGGGTGTGTTCCAATCCTTTTGATGGGATAAATGCTTTTTAGTATGAGTGGAATATCGGGTATGATTAATGGCTACCACTGGGAAACATTATATTACCAGTTGCTTGATGGATTTAGTGGAAAAACATTGGAAATACTTTATCAGCCGGTTTAGAGCACAGCCATAATTTTCCGTTCTTGGAAATAATATTACTTCGATTTCAACCTATCCAACTACAGGGCAAAATCTCTATTTGTGTATCGCATATAACTGTCGCTTTTAAGTAGAAGTGTGCACTTCAGGTGAGAGAATGTAAGTGAGGAAAATAAAGAAAATGAATTGTTTGCAGTTGTGGCATACATTTTGCGCACAGGTGTAAGCAGTAAAACAAAAAATAAATCGATAGTTGGAGATAAATAGAGCAAGACGGAAGCGGAAATGAAATTGTGGAAACGAATTAGAGTTCTAAGACTGAGTAGAGCAAATTTCATTTCCGTTTTTACTTTTTTCTCTTTCTTATCTTCAGGATTTTCTCAAGATACTCTCAGCCAGCCCGAAACCCAATTTCAATATGGAAAAGAATATTAGTTATAATTATAATAAAAATGCAAAAGGTATTTGCTTAGCTTTGGAAAAGAAATCGACCTGCATCCTGTAGGGCAATCTTTTTCCGGAAAAGTCGAAGGACATACGTCAGCCACAGCAATTAAAGATGTGATATATGTACTCTACCAATGGAGACAAAGCAAGATTGTTATCGTAAGGAAGAAAAAATTCCTAGCAGCAGTTAACTCGAAGGGAGTGTGGCGAGAGCCTTTTCTCGTTGTTTTTTCTGATGCAGGCATGAATTTGTGCAAAGCAGGTACTTGTTAGCGCTCATTAGCCACTGAAGAATTGCAGGGAAGAACGAAGGAAATAAGAGTTGGAAAGTGTGAAAGGACGAGTATTCTCGCTTGAAGGCAATCCGCCACATCTGTGCGACGCGTGCGAGTTCTGTGAGGAAACATTGAAGTTCGTAGCGAAAAACTTAGTTATCGCCGTTGGCGACGTCGTAATGTCGTTTGCGCTTCGCTTTGAAATAAGTTCCGGGAGCGAGAAGCTGTGGAAGCAGCTCTGGTTTGAATATGTGTATGTGTGCGATGTGCAGTTGGCTGTTTTTGCACGAGTTGTCTCAGCTGTAACATGTGCGCCTAAAGCAGCTAATTATAAGCGTCAAATCACGGCAGGAGACTCTGCAGAATCTAGGAAGTAGAATAATAACTCCGTAATTTGATATGCGCGCGGCGAGCGACGACGACTCCGTCGCGACGGAGTCGTCGCCCGCCTACAGGCTGCTGCCCGCGCTGCTGCCGTCGAACTCGCCTTCGCCTCGAAACGACGACGAGGAAAACAGCGAATTCACCTCGAAAACACACGAATGCGTAATGTCAGCGGGGCTTCTCGGGTGCTGTGCTTCGGGGATTAGAAGAAAGACGCACGTCTTCGGCTGCTGCAGTGCCGTCGTGAAGCACACGTGCAGTTGCCGACATGCGCATTCAAGCGGCCAGCGGAAATGAGTGCCGATGAACAATGCACATCTCGTGTGCGTGGCTCGATGACAATGCACCCCATGAGGTAATGAAAGAATCACTCACGAGCCCCTATGGAATTCCAGGTCGCGCTGCAAGTAAAATGTTGGACCCGGGGCATACATCGCGCAGTTTCTGCCGCACGGCGGTCTGGCAGGTATTTAGTTTTTTACAACCAATAAAGAGGTATGTGAAGCTATAAGAAGCTATGCGTACCATGCATTTCAAGTTTGCTAGTTTGGAATTTTAGATGTTTGGCAAATGGGCAAGATTGGGCAAGCTGTGCTCAGAGCTCTATTACAGTTTCAGTGCACCCTCGGTTTTGGAACCAACAATAACAGAATAACAGACTTTCTTTATGATAAATGGGGCAACAATTAAAAATTCTGACAAGGAACGTATTTGGCAAAATTGGAAAGTGGCGAAGGAAAAAAACGAAGACAATCGCTGAAAACTCAGCTCGTTTTATGCCTGCGAAATTCCGCGAAAACGAAAGGCAAAACTCGACAATTAGTCTAACAGTAAAAAAAAGGGTTAGGCATAGTGCTTGCTGTTCAATCCAGTCCTTGCTCTACTTCAACTTTAATACTTAGTACTTAATCTCAAATTTATGAGAAAAATTTGTTTCATACTTGACTCCTCGTTTAATTGACTGAAGGTTTAATTTACGGCTTGAAAACCTTCTTCTACTATTAAATTTGATTTTATTTTAGTGCTCATGTATCCTTAAATGACTGCTGAGTCTAAGC